GAGTTTGCCGCAACCTTTGCAGCCTCTATATAGTTCTGCTGGGAAAGGAGCGTCTCAAATTGTCTCTGGAGAAGATTATCTGCACCTGGAAGGCCTCCCTTAGCAGCCAGCTTAACAGCAAGCGATGTGTTGGCTGGATTATCGAGGAGGTAAGGAATGATGGTGTTCTCATCAACGCTGACGGATAGGACTTGACCCTTGCGGTTGACCCCGACCAGACCCGTGGATTCCGAGTCTGGAGTCGTAACGAAGATCGTCTCGCTTGAGATGCGGTTCATGAAAATGCACGTGCCGGTTTCTAGGTCATATAGATGAATGAAGCCGAATTTTGTGACGAGATATACAATGTCATATTTCTTCGAAACCTGCATCGCGACCGGGAAATCATTGGTCGCCTCTGGTGGGAAGTAGATCTCCACGGCCTTCTTCGCAAACTTCGGATTGGGTTCTTGGTGATCGATCTCCGCGATCTGCAGTTTTGCTCCGGTTTGGGTGCGAACAGCAAACGTGAAAAGCTTGTGCGGCAAGGGGGAGCCTTCGACAGAGATGGATGCGAAAGCGGCGGCATGGCCTTCAATGTGCTGTGAAATACCACGCTCGACGGAGTGAAGCTGCATCGTTCCAACAATGCGTCCTTGCTGCTGGCTGATACCGACGACAGCCATCCATTTCTGATCTTCGTTGACTTTGTAGCTGATGATTTGGCATCCCTACAAGCAATGCATTAGCACGTGATCGCAACGAGGAAGTATTCAGGACACACGTTTAGATTAGCGATGCGGTCAAACATCTTTATAGGCGCATGCTGAGACGGATCGAAGACGTTCCAATGGTAAACCGCAGCCTCTGTTACCAGGCCCAAACTCGTCTCGCTGAACCATTTCCAATACACAACATCCTCGGTGAGCACGGCGGATTTCAATTTCTCCTTCGCCTGGAGGTCAAAGACTTGAACGGTTCTACCCTGGGCCTTGAGGGCGATGATGTTTCGGTTCCAATGCATGATAGCATTATCGGCGTTGATGGGCCGACGAACGACTTCATTATTATTCTTGAGGTTGATGATAATGACTTGCGTTTTGTCACTTTCGGGTAACTTTTGACGAACGCACACGAATGAATCGGATTCAAGGGTCTGGATGGTTCAAACACATGGGCGATTAGCGGAGAGGAGAGAGTTGTAGGGACAGCAGGTACACTTACACATGAATTGAATCCGATAGATGCGGGCTACAGCACGCGTGATGTTAGCGGTGCACGAAATGCCAGAAACACCTCATGCATTCATCCTCAGAGGTTCGAATACACGAGGATATCCCAAGAACTTAACCGACTATCGTTGAGACGGTCAAAAAGAGGCGAAATACATACCACAATATCGAGGTTCGTCAACTAGAGGAAACAGGTAGATTAGCGATCCAAAGCCCAATCGCGCATTCAACCCAGGGTGACCGGCCGGGAAACAAAAAAAAAGGAAAAAGATAATACCTGAAGTAGTTCCGTAAATTTAATCGGAAGAGGCGCCATGTTTACCGACGGCCGTCAGGCAGCTCCCTCATCCAACAATTCCCAAAGGTATGCAAAGGCTGAAGCGTTCGGGAGATGACGCCAGCAAATCAACAAAAGCCCAAACCTCCGCAAAGACCGCGAGAAAGCCAATTAAAAAAGGGGCGTAATTCCGTAAAAAGTGTAATTCCCAAGCGAGCAATGAAAGGCAAAGAAGAGTAAAGAAGAAGAAAAAAGGAAGAGGGGGAATATGGGAATGAAGGCTAGTAGAGAGGGATCGGGGATGAGTGAGGTTGACGTTGAGCGGAAGTCCAAGCTGTTGTTTCTGGCTCCTCTCAGGAGGTCTGGGCGCTAGCAGCAAGTCACGTGTTCCCCGGCAACGAGACGCATGTTCAAAACGCAAAACAATCACGGCGAACGTCTGTGAAGTCAACAAAGACAGCCGCCGCCGGAATCAGACCACCAGGCTGCATTCATCTCTACGGAACATGGCGAATGCAGCACGTCCTGCACAGCCTTGTCGATGCCTCTCCGCCAATCAATCTCTGCGGTTGGATACAGCATGCCCTGAGAAGGACCACCCTGTGGTCCCGGCTCAGTAACTTCCGGCATACATGTTTGCTGGTGATTGAGGAAACTGGCATCTACTCAAGTGAACTGAATGTATTTTGACGACTGAGGTGAAGAGGATAAAGCGAGGACATGCGGTGAAAGCCCATTGCAGGAATCCAATGTTGAACTTTGTTTCACTTCCTTTTTTTCCCCTAAAACTACCCTGGCATTAAATAAAACAAAGGAGCATTATCACATCATATTTCAAAAGAACCTAGCATCATCCCGTCAAATGTATAAGCCGAAAAGAAAGAAAGCCTATGCTTTTTCTAGCTTTGTTGAATTTAATGGTGGAACAGGCGGATGCCCTGTTGCACAAACACCATACCCAATTTCTCGGCCGTCTCAAACACAGCAGAGTCATTCTGGCTTCCACTCGGAGCTGCAATATACTTAACTCCGGACCGTGCAGCACGGAAGACGTTGTCCACGAAGGGGAACTGTTCTCTAGGTTAGTATAGTGGATCAATGGCCCGATAAATTAAATGGAGGTGAAATAGCACGTACAAATGCATCCGAAGAAATAGTCACCTCTCCCAATTTCTTCCCCCATTCTTCTCTCTCTTCCGGTGTAAAGGGTGCCGGGACTTCTTCAAACACTCGTTCATAATCTTGCTTCTCGACCTCGTTCTTGGGAACCTGTCCTGAGCACAGCATGTCGATTGCGTTGCTCTTCTCGGGTCTCTTGACGCCCGCCTTCCATTTGATGTTCAGCGCGCGGTCGTGGAAGCGCATCCACCAGTTGTCGGCCTTGTCTCCGGCAAGGCGGGTGCAGTGAATCCTGCTCTGTTGACCTGCTCCGAGACCAATTACTTGGCCATTGACTGCATAGCAGACGGAGTTGGATTGGGTATATTTTAGGGCGATCGTGGCAACGGTAAGATCGCGAAGTGCAGACTCGGGAAGGCCCTTGAGATCCTTTGGTGTGATGATGGTGTTGAAAGTGGACTTTGGAGAGATGACCGCGTCATTGCGGTGCTGCTGAAGCTGCACGCCATAGAGAGTGCGAGTTTCTTCCTCGGGGGGAGTGTAACTGTCATCCATCTCGAGGACGAGGTATTTCCCTCCTTTCTTCTTTGCGAGCAAAGCAAGAGCTTCGGGTTGGTATCCAGGGGCAATCACACCATCGGAGACCTCACGGGAGATGATCTTGGCGGTGGGTACGTCGACAACGTCCGACAGAGCAATAACATCACCAAAACTAGACATGCGGTCCGCGCCACGGGCACGCGCGTATGCTTGGGCCAACCCGGACTCATCAATTCCGGCAATGTCCTCAACCATGTAGACTTTCTTCTCCTTCTCGTTCAGCGGAATGCCGATAGCCGCACCCGCCGGTGAGACGTGTTTGAAACTAGCAGCAGCCGGATAACCGAGCGCCTGTTTCAGCTCCTTAACCAATGGCCATGCGTTCAAGGAATCCAGCAGGTTGATATAACCGGGAGAGCCGTTGAGCACTTTGAAAGGCAATTTGCCCTCTCTCATAAACGCAGCAGCTGGTTTCTGGTGGGGATTGGCACCATATCTCAGAGCAAGGTGCTGAACCCCTTCGCCGGCATACTGCTTCCTGAAGAATCCAGAGATAGCCTCGTCATAGTCTGCGGTGTGTTCAAATGCCTTGAGGGCATAAAGGCGGCGGTTCTTCTCGGAGATCTCTCCCTTTTTCAGTTCGCCTAGGAACTCGGGGTAATCGTTCGGATCACTAAGGACCGTCACACGGGCATGGTTCTTCGCGGCGGCACGAAGAAGGGTTACACCACCAATATCAATTTCCTCCACGGCCTGAGCGATTGTAACATCTTCCTTGGCCACAGTGTCCTTGAAGGGATATAAATTGCAGACGACGAAATCGACTTTATTGATCTTCTGTTCGGCGAGATCCTTCTCGTCGGACTCGATATTCCGCGCTAGAATACCACCGTGAACGGCGGGATGGAGGGTCTTGACGCGGCCACCGAGCATTTCAGGGGCATGCGTAATGGCGGAGACGTCTCTATTATTTTCCTCGCAATGAGACAAATTATCATCGGATTTTATGCGAAAAATAAAAATAAAAACGGAGCAGTGCTCGACGGCCTTTTTAAAGACGGCTCTCGCTCCGGGTTGAACTCACTCGACGGGAATTCCAGCCTCTCTGATCATCTTGGCCGTGCCGCCAGACGCCAGAATGCGAACATTGTTCCCGGCCAGGCCCCTGGCCAAGTCCAAGAGGCCGGTCTTATCGTAGACGGAGAGGATGGCTACAAACACAAATAATCAGTCAAGTGTTGTTGAAGCAGAATGCTAGGTGAACGAGAGATAGAAAAAAACATACCAGATTTCTGCGCCATGGTAGCCACCAGGAAGATCTAACTGCTCAAATTCTCCTCAATTGACTCGTAGGACGGGAGAATAGTCGACAAAGAAGAGAAAAAAAAAACAACAAGGCCAGTCTTGTCCTCTCCCGACTTTTCGTCTTTCCGTTGTGCCCCTCCACGAAAACCATCCCACATCGCCGGGCAAACACCGCAAACACCGCAAACACCGCAAACACCGCAAACACCACAACCCGATCCGGCCTAGCGCCGACCGGCACCAACGACACTTTTTCTTCCGCGAGCGAAGTTTTTGTTTCTCCTTCTCTTCTTTTCTTTTCCTCTCCATGAACAACGCAAATTTCAACATTCTACAGTCCTCTCCTCGCAAAGGTTTCTCCTAAGAAACCCATGATGTCAGGAAGTATGCAAGATATACTTGTATAGAATGAAGAAAAAATCATTAAGCTTCGATCTTGGGTGCAGTGTCATTCTTGAATCTTCGTGGATGGGATTGCAATGATTGATGCTACATTCTGCTCTTTTTGTTTTTCCCCAACCATGATGTCCTCCGTAGTCGTATTGTTATCCGATCCCCGAACAGGAGCTACAAGAGCCATACCTGGCTGAGATGCCATGCCTTAAAAAGAAGTCTATAAGTCCCCGATTCCTCGCTCCGCCGTTCAACCAAACCCGTAACAATGCAGATTAATAATAATAAGTTAACGATAGAGTCATAAACCGTCGAAAGGTGAAAAAAGAAGCAGATCAAGCCTGTTAGGAAAACTCGGACGTTCTCGCAGGTCTCCTGGATATTCAGTCTGCTAACCTCCTGCCGATATTTCCAAAGCATACACAGCTGCAGAACAGCACGCTAGCAATCCACGTCCCCACCGCAACGCTCTCTTGGGTCATTCCCATGATATTTGTAGTAGATGGTATCGGGGCGCCATTCATCGTAGTGTCTGGAGAAGTAGCTGCAAGTGGGGACGAAAGCGACGCGGTCGCCGGTGAAGGTACAATCGTAGGATTGATCCCCAACAGGGCCAGCATGCCAGTTATCCCGACCAATGTGGAGAGGACAAATCCCGGCTTGGAGCGATCAATAAGATACCACAGCACAGGGTTGGCGAGGGCGAGGGTGAGGGAAACTTGTAGGGTGGACTGCCAGGGAAGCTTCCTCTATCAGACCATCGTATGGTTAGTATAAAATAGAAAAGAACAAAAAAAAAAAAAAAAACCTGCGGTTAGGCCATGGATGGAAACACTCACGATTGCAAAAGCAATACCCACAAATGCCCCAATACTCCTCACCATAGGGCTCCATTCCAAAAGCCCATTCCCCTTAGCCGTCCTCGCCGCATTCTGACTTCTCCCGACAATCAAATCATCCCCCCAGAGAAGGTCAAACCAAGGCTGCAGACTCCCCAACGCAACACCCGCCACGCCCCAAAGCGCCAGATATCCCAACGACCTCTGATCAAGATCAATATGCTCCATGTTCACCGGCACCCGTCCGGCCACATTTGGATGGCCATGCAGATGCGTGATGATCCCACCATACGCCATGCCAAACAAGAACAGCAACACGCTCCTCCGGATCAGAGGCAGCACGTATCCCCTGAACCCATGCTTCTTGACAACGTGCGCCTGCAGGACGGTCTGCTCAGAGATCCCATTGCCGGCGGGCGAGAAGTAATCCCGGCCTTCCACCGGCGGGGAAGGCTGCAGGTTGGGCGTCTGCGCGCCGGTATCCCAGGGCGTGCCGGACTCATCTCTCACGCCTCCGAACGCGGTGGGCGAGTATATCCCGTACAGAGTGGGCGAGGTCAGGTTCATCATGGACCGGGAGGATGTCAGATCATCTTGCTTCGGGTCGAGAGAGTCAGGCGGCGGTGAAGATTCATCGACGATCGGGGTGCCGGGCTGAGAGGATTCGGTAGAGGGAAGGTAGAAGCTCCGCGGACGAGATCGGAGGACACGATGTTCGGATTCCATATTTTTATTCTTACTTTTATTTTTTTTACGGTTTTCCGTGAATGTGATTTATGGCGGCTTAAAAGTAATGTTCGCTTTGCTCTGCGGAATGCGAAAAAAAGCCTCAGGGGGAGGATGTCCGCTTGCTAGCGACTGTGGTTTTCTTCCCTGTCAACTTCGAACTGGTCACGACAGGCTTGGAGCACACAAAGGAACGGCCTCACGCGACGCTGCAAATGCCCCCTGCACCTGGATTGTCGCAGCCCGTGCAGACTTTCTTTTCCGCTCGATTTGTTGGGGCTCACCAAACACCCTGCTGAGTCATCGATGTCTCTCTAAGCATGTGATTGCAGCCAGCCTAAGGTTTGGGCCAATGGAGATGGTGATTATGGCAATGATTTTGGATTCTCGAGCGGGATGTGGTGGAGGGCTCAGCTCATGTGCTTGTCATTTTGCTAAGCTTACAGCTCCAGCAGCAAGCAAAGTGCCACAGAGGTCCAAAGCTCCCAAGTCTCTCAAATCCGCCAACAAAAATTAATCACAGAATCAAGATTTATTCCTTCTTCAGGCTTAGCCTCATTTCGCTGTGATACCGTATTGTTGCTGGCTTCGCTGATAAACCTCCACATCTTCCTGTATCAACCTGTAACGCCTACAGCGCTCCTAAAAATGAGCATAAGAGTCCTTCGCAAGAGCTTTGGTGAGCACGTCAACTTTATTCGCGTCGGTTCCAATGTGCTTGATTTGAGATGTTGTCGTTTTGAACCCAATGTCTCATCATATGGTGCTGGATCTCAATATGGCGTACTCTTCTCCGGATTGGATTCGGCGCCCGTATTCTTGTAAGCTCGATTCGGATTCCAACTAGGGTTTGAGCTTCTTGTTGCATCTGTCTTGGGCCTGTTCGTAAGACCCCTTCAAAAGCTTTTACTCTTAGGAATTCGGTGTAGAATGTCTCTTAATAGGCCTTCGAGGTCGTTTATCCGGTAAGTCTGTTTCATTAAACGCCATGCCATATCTTTCCTGGATGAATTCTCTCCATCGAGGCGTAACGTTCGCCTTAAGAATATCATGTAGCGTGTAGTCGGGGTATTTAAACCCGATAGACTCCAAGTTCCATGCGGATTGCTAGGAATCTCTCTATATAATTCCTCTCTCCACCAGTAGACTGCGGTGTCATAGTCAATATTTCCCTTGCTAGGCGTTCTCGGCAGATCTCAGGTCTCTCTAGGAAAGCTGTCTCCACAGACTTCCAGAGTTTGTAGGCGACAAGGTCATCTGGTTCTGTGAAGTGGACTCTGGCTTTTTTAGTTATTGTACCGTCAATTAAGTCATATAGCCAATTATTCTTGGCTCTCCAGAACCTCGTAATGTCAGGATTATCTGGTGGTGGCGAACTCTCCTGCTCCTTTAGGACAATATCTTCGGCATGCGAGCTTGTACAATTCACCACAGCTTCAGCACCAGGTACTCGGTCTGCTTGCTAGTTGCGTGTAGCTTGCAGGGATTGGACTCGCTATCGTGCCAGAAAGCTACAGGGGTTGCACGTATAGAAGGCACCGCTCGTGGCGGGTGCGCCCTTCTAAGTGTTCGAAAATCTCACTATCCACAAGGATAGCTATCGAAGGTGTTGATTGTAAGCTTAAATAACCAATTGAGCTGTAAATCAACCTTATATGCTTGCTCTTCCGTGCAAAGGGCTATAACCTGATGGAGGTCTCGTATGTTTGTCATTCGCTAAGCTAAGTACCTAAAGGGGGAATTTTCGTCTGCCAATACCGGAAAAATGAGCTTTTCGGGCAACCGTCGGAAAACGTTTATCCGACGCGACCCGTCCATTGAACCACAGGTCGCTAGAAGCTTGAAACCGTAGATCAACTGTAGATTCACACTGCACGTACGGAGTATAAAGGGTCCAAAATGTATAGAGTTTGGAATGTATGATGCACCAATTGAGGGCTTTGAACCCGATTCGGAAGTTTTTCATTTGCTAGGAACTAAAGCTCATTCAGGCTGCTTGATTGTACTTTTGAGCAAATCAGCTCCACTGCCTCCAGTTGGAGACAGACCTGATGCAGACATGTTCAGCTGGGACTGAACAAAGGGAGAAGATGTGATCAGAGTGGGGAGGGGAAGAGCGGACACAGCAGAGGGCAGGGCAGCAGCAAATCAGCCTATCTTGGCTGCTGATTCGCAGACAGTGTCTTCGCTTTTTCCAAATATCAAAGTCAGTTCAATTGATTTCTTTGAAATAGGCCGATCACCCAGGAGGATGCGGATCATCGCTGACCTTGCATCCCTTAGGGCCAATTACAGGTCTAGGTGATCGGGATATTACAGTTGGTCTGCGGCACAGTCGGCACATTTTGCGGCTGCTCTAACATTCAACTTTGCTATAATATGTCCGATTCCCCAATCGAACAGCAATATTCTTTCTAATTCCTACATACTTTGTCCCAAAGAAATTCCGCAGCAACCCTCACTGTTCCTGCAACTTGAAACGCAACCACTGCGGAAACCGGTGTATAAACCTCGAGCAAACATGCGACGTCCGAGGTACTTGAGGCGCATACAGGACTATATGTTTTGGAAAAGGCGACTTCATTTGCTTCGAAGGCGCAGACAGCATGCCCATTTGTTGCGGGAATCGCAAGATTGCAATCGCGTTTTACCTTCAGTGGAATCCGACATTCGGCTGAACAATCAAACTGAGAAGTCAGGGTTGAATGTAAGATCTTGGATCCTCTGTCAGCCTGCCAGCATCATTCTAATCAGGCTGTGTACAGGATGCAGCAAGTCCTTCAGGTGCCTCTGATGCTCCGCCCGACGCTCTATCCGACACTCATTCTGAACCAGAAGACGTCAGGGTGCACGAGATTATACAAGAAGCAGTGGCAGCTCTACGCAATGAATCACAACAGTATGAAGAGCCCGAATCCGAACCCCAGTTACAGACTATGTTACATCCAGTGCACCCGGTTGGCAACGAAGATTCCGATTTTCATTCACGGCTAGAGGATCCGTTGGGCGACCAGCCAGCTGAGACCTACATCCCGACTACAATGAACGACCCGTCGGAGGTCCTAGTCCACGCGCGTGCGGAGCCTGATGAAATGCTGCACCACTTCACGCTCGCTTTAGGATTATGGTGCGAAAAATCGGGAATATCTCGCCAACACTACCAGGCACTGCGGGAAGTCCTACAGATTCCCGAAGACACCGGTGTACTGAGATCTCTACCATTGGGGCTGAGCACGTTGAAGAAGAAATGCAGAGCTCATCGGACGGACATCAGGTGATCTATGTGTGTCATGTGAGACAGGGTGCTAAATAGTTGGATTAAACTACCTGACAGGGTACAGCCTGGAGAAGATGCATACGAAGAGGTTACGGGGTGCGGAGTATGGAGTATAGCAGGCTAGAAATGTGTATTTTCAGGCAGTGGACCCCAAACAGCACAATGTGCAGCGCCAACCTTCATACCCAGACATTAAATACATACAGGGATGGTCCTATCCACATTAGACGCAAAAAAGTAATACAAAGTAAAAAGTCACCCTTGTGGGCAGAAATACAGAAGGAAAAAAAAGAAAAAAAAAAGAAAAAGAAAAAGGGAAAGAAAAAGAAGAACAAGATGGAGATGGTGCTGAAAACTATCCTCGCTCAGGCTTCCAGCATGGTCTCGTCATCATCCAGCCGGCTAGCTTCCATACCATCTTCCGGCGACAAGCTGTCACCTCTGGTGTACCCACTCTCAGCAAGCTTAGACACTTCCATGTCCACGTCTGACAATTCTTCGGTATCATCCTCAACCCCCTGCGCGGGTTCGGGTGCAACTCCAATGCTGCTTGCATCGTCCAGACGGCTTCGCGTGTCGTGAGGACTCTCGCCGCTCAGGATGTCCTTGTCGGCCTCTTCAAGGAAAGTATCCTCACCACGCTCGGTGTCCTTGTCGTCCTGGTCAGCAATCATAGACGCCTCAGGTGTTTCCACCTGATCGTGCTCCTCTGTGGCCGCAGACTTTGAGCCGAGGACCTTCGACAGCCGTGCTCGCGGGCGGCTTCTCTTGCTGCCCGCCTTCTCCGCGGAGGATTTCCTCAGAGCCGATGCACCCGCACGACCCGCGGGCTTCTTTATCTGCCCAGTTTCCTTGGATAAATCGGCCGCATTCTCAACAGCCTTCCTTTCCCGCCGTGGACCTGGTCTGCTTCTGGGCTTATTTGCAATGGGCATCGGTTGGCTGATCACCTCAAGCTCGCGGTGTTCCACAGCGGCACGGCGATTGTACTCGCCTCCCAAGCCGTTCGCCGGGTAGTCTTTATCGTCCGACAACACCGAGTCCCAGTCCCATCGTTGCAGTCGTCGAGCAACTTTCCGGATCATCGAAAAATAAAAGCTAGCCGCCTCTCCATAGTCTTCCTCCTCTTCCGGCTTCGGACATATTCCGCCTTTCCCCCAGGAGTTCTCGTCGTCCGTGTCGTAGCCGGTGGGCAAGCTTTGCAGCAGCCGTCCTGCGCGAGCAAACGGGACTTCCTTCTCCCGACGCGTACGGAGAGAATTCCACGCATCCATCCGGCGCTGAGCGAGAACATAATCAACGCGTTGCTTCCGGTTCTGTTCGAGAGCTATCTGGTGCTGCGTCATTGGGCGTGGACGTCGAGAGCCGGCGGGGCCATTGGAATGCATATCGCCGGAGACGTACTGGTTCAAAATTGGATGTCCGGCGCCAGGGGGTGCGGGGGAGGAGGTATCGGGGGTCTGGTCCATCCTCGTTTTCAGGACCAGGCGCTGCGGCTGGCTGCCCGGTGGTCGATTGACAGACGAATCCCTCTTTGGCCGTTTGACACGAGCCCTAGAGGTCTGTGGAGTGTGCCCTTCGCCAAGGTCTTCGTCCTCAAGAGCCCTTTTTGCTGGGTTCAGCGGCGTGGACGCGTAGACATCGCTACGGCGACCACCCCTACCTCCCCTCGAAACATTGGGCATAATGGCTACGTCCTCAGAAGCCTGATCATCGCTTGCATAGTCTTAAAAGTAACGATCATGTTAGCAACCTGTAGAAAGAAGCCAAAACCCTACGGTCAAAAATTGATAAAGAAATCGTGACGTATAACTCACCTTTCCTGGGGCGTTTGACATGTCGGAAAATAACGTCATCTTCCTCCAAGATACCTAAATAAATCAGTAACAGTCGTCTAGTAAAAGGGTGCCAAGGGAAAAAAAAAAGGAAAAAAGAAAAAAGAGAGAGAGAGAACATACGCTTCCGCTCCCGTTGCTTGTTTTCGCCATACTGGATTTCCTCGGGCGGGTCCACATTCTCGGCCTCGGCCTCTTCTTCGGTGAGCTCTTGCATCTCGGGAACCTTCAGCGGCAGCCCTTCACTCCCTTCTCCGACGGTACCAGGGCCAAATGGATTTTCCAACGCGGCTTTCTCGGAGAAGTCACTCTCCAAGTAGTACCACATCAGCCATAAAAAGGCTCTAGCGCGGCTCTTGCTGCTCAGAGTAGGTCGCATGACCAAGTCGAAGAAATCCCCGGGCGGTGGGAAGTGTAGCTCGGATATTCTGGGGGCATAATGGGATAAAACGAAGATGAGGTTGACCGGATTCGTGCGAGGGATTGCATGGTTCTTGATTTTCTCGATAGTACCTGGCTGTTCAACATCCTCCGATGCCCCCTTCAAGATGGATTTAAGACGGGGTGCGTCCTGTAGCTGCTTGTAGGCACTGGAATCTTGATGGGCCTGGAGGGACGGGATCGAATGGTAAGTTCGTAGCTGGGCACGCATCTCCGGGAAGACTTTTTTTTTTGGGTCAAGAATTAGCAAGGTAGGCGTCTTGGGGTGGTGGGGGGTGGTGGGTGTTTGCCTTGAAGATAGATTGGGACAAAAGCAGACTGGGGACACTTACAGTTCAGTGTAGTATTCATTCTCCCGAAGTTAACTAGGAGGCAGACCATGGCCATGTTGATGGCGGCCGACCTCTCGTTCTGAAGCTTATCCTTGAGGATCTTGCTCGTTTTGCTACTCTTCGCCATAGCATCTAGATAGATATCGGCAAAGGTATGGTTCTTATCGCCCTCGGGGAACCGAGTAAAGCAGGGGGTTTTGTCCTCGAACACGCATCTCAAAAACCGATATTGAATGTCCTTCCGCCAGAGTGGAATGCCGTCGTCCTTCTTGAGATGCCTGATTTTATTGCCAGAGTAGACGGATCCGATCGTGCCATTCGTCTGCTTTCTGGTGGTGGTGGCGGTGGTGGTTGCATTTTCGGTGCCCGTGTGGGACTCGGACTGCGGCCGCGGGGCGGAATTCCGACGGGTGTTCGAGTCTTCTGCCTGCACGCGACGCGAGCTCTTCACGGGGGTCTCTGTGGAGGTTGGTAGAGATTCACGGGACTGATCAGCTTTGTCACGATCGGGTTTCCGATGAGCTGATTCCGCCTCAGTTGGCTTGTCGGCCGACGGCAGACTTGAGCTTGGAGGTGGGCTTCTGGTCGCCAGCAACTCAGGAGCTTTGGAGGAAGGTTTGGGAGAGGTGGTGGTCGTAGTGGTAGCGGTGGTCACGTCGGGACAAGCAGCTTTGGACTCGGCCATTGTGGCATCCGGCGAAGTAGGCCGCTTCTCGTCCCCGTCTGTTGCTTCGACGCCATTCATCTGAGACTGCTCCGTGTGACGTGAGACGGGCTCCCGCTCAGGTTCCAGCTCAGGCTCAGGCTCAGGCTCGGGTCTGCGGGAGGGAGAAGGAGCAGCGTGGGCAGAGGCGGCGGGAGAGGGAGAGGTGTCGCGAGGGAGAAAAGCAGGGCGACTGGCCATCGTGAAGGGGGAAGGGAGAGGCGGTGGGTTGGGAAGTTGGAAGAGAGGAGGAAGAGAAGAGAAGAGGGATGGGGGCGAGGTTTAAAAGGGAGGGCAGTGGGTTAAATTAGTTAACTAGTTAGTGGTACGGCAGAGAGAGTGTGTGTGTGTGGGAGGACCATGATTTACAGTCAGAGCTGCTTTGCTGCCACCGCGACTTGGCTGGACAAAGCGACTCCCCGTAGGTTTTTTTGGTGTTCGAAAGAAAAATAAAAATAAAAAGAAAAAGAAAAAGAAAAAGAAAAAGAAAAAGAAAAAGAAATAATATCTCAATACAACAAGTTTGACTATAGAGTAGTTACAGAATAACTATGGAGTATCCAATATAGTTATATCGATCAGGTACTACGCATATCAAACACTGCAAAGTAACTAACTAGTTAACTAGTTAACTGTTCAGTAGTATCCAAGTTTGATCTAAACCAACTTTGTTCGATTCAATGGATGCAAATTATAGCATCAAGCACAGCTATCCTAACCACCACAGGAGAGGCTACCAAAAGCTTCCACATGAACTTTCTTAAGATTACAGAGTACATTAGTATAGAGACCAGAACTTGATATCAGGGGGGAGTCCAGGCTACATGTGTGGGAATATGAAAGTGATAATACGTCAGGGCAGATGAATGATGCTACAGTCTGTAAGTATCTCCAAGGGCATCCACAAAAAAAAAAAAAAAAAAAAGAAGGACCACCAGATAATGATCCACAGATTCGGCTTGTTTCGCAGATCAGCGAAGCGCGTTGCACGTACCAGAGTGTATGTAGTCAGATCCTCGGCCAAGGCACGTTCATAGTTCCCTTGCTGGGTCTTGTCTTCAACTCTGCTATGATATACATGCATCGCCTTCTGCTGGGGAGAGCATTCACCATCACCACGTCTGGTCCATTTAACTCTATCGTCGGAAATCATGGTGGTCATCAATTGTCATTCCCATATAACTAGCTCCTACGACTGATTCAACACCCCCTTCACACAGCCGAAGACATGCATCCAAGACAGCTGCCTGGTTAATTGGCTAAAGGGGTTTCGGCAGAAGTGTCTGATTTGGCTATTCCGTTTGTCCAAAGCAAGATATATATTTAAAATATATACGGAGCATACGGAGTAAATATACATATATATATAATATATACGATGTTATATATATAGGTAGGGGAAGTGCTGGAATGGCTAGAAGGGGTTAGATCGATTACGTATTGGGAAAATCAAGCGCCGTATCAGGGTGATCCATCTCCCCACGCTATCCCCAAAATGGCCGATTCTAGACTGCAGCCTTACCAAGATAGGCAATTGACCAGACTCCACTCTACCAGAACGGGTTAGCTGGGAAGGAGCTAGGCTTGATCTGGCAAGATGTATGTAACAGTATGTACATCATACCTACGGATGCGGTTTTTGCTGGTCACTACTGCGACTATGAGAAGGCCCGTCGAAGAGGGAAAAAGACGAGTAAAAGAGGAAAAAGAAGAAGAGAGAAAGAGGGAAAAAACAAGAGAGACAAAACAATATCATTCAATCTACTCCGTAGTCTAACGCTCCAAGGTCAAATTTGCTAATCTACACGCTTTGAGCCGCGAACCGTCGCCTCACCCAGGAACCGATGGAGTGCAGCCATCTGAAATACTTCCACATGCTCCACCTTTCACTGGCCTTTTCAACCCGGTGGTGAGAGCTCATCACCGAGAACATGAATGCACCTCCGTGGCTGACCGCGCAGATACGCTCCGGCCCGCAGCGCCAGATACCGAGCCCGAGAAATTTCCCGTGCGCCGCCATGAACGTCCCTATCATCCGGTTGTGCTGCAGACCACCGTCCTCACTCAGCAGGACGGGATACGTGGGCTGCCTGGCCTGGCGCTGGACGATGTAGCTTGTCTCGCCCGGCGTGAGAGCCGCTCGCCTCAAGCCATCTAGCTTCGCCTTCCATTCCCCTTCAGACGCTTCGTCCCCGAAGATGATCCCGGCGCCCTTGCCGCTCCGGATCGGCTTCAGCAGGTAGCCATCCTTTGCCTCCGGCTGGCTTTTGCACCGGAGCACAAACTCCTCCAACTCCGGCGAGCCCGGTATGAAGGTCTCCGCGATGCCGTCCCGGAGCATCCGCGCCTGGTCTTCGCTCAGAACGCCGTGCTGGCCGACCAGCGCGTCCAGCTCCTGCAGAACGATGCCAAGCATTCTCTTATCGTGCACCAGAAACACCGTCCGCAGGTCGTTAAAACAGCGGAGAGCCAGCTGCCGTAACATTTCGGAAGACAATGCTCGGAGTTCGCGTTGGTGCAGCTCCAAGCCCACCTGGTGGATCTCCTCCAGCACCTCTGCGTTGTGGATAAACCTGGCCGACCTGTGGCTCGCGGGCAGCTTGCGAGTCTCATCTTTGGCGAGCGCACACAGCTTGTATCCAAATTCAGAGTCTTCACATGGCAGGAGGCGCAGGTCGTCCGGTGTGATGAATTTGGGTGCCGTCCCCGTCCGCCGTTCCACCTCCACGGCAAAGAGGTGGATGTCAATCCCGTACTCTTCGCCTTTCAGCAGGTGCAGTGGGCGGGTGGGATCGAACAAGCTGAGCAGTCCCTTGACAACCTGAATATCTTTTTCGTCAGCAAACTTGAGCTTGTGGGAAGGATACGCATCTCGTGGGGACGGGGTGGGCCGTCTACCTGGTCGGGCTCCAAGACATTTAAGAGGCCCTTTTCTTCGTTTCCCATGTCACTCAGGCCCTGCTGCCCCGCTGCGCTTACGCAGAAGCCGTTGAAAGAGAAACGAGCATTGATCTCGCAGATAACAAACTGCTCTTCGACTGAGCCGGGCTCGGCACCAGGGGTTGCTTCGTCGATGAGAAAGTCGGGCCGCCAGGATCCAAGACACTGGTTGTATGGACGGACCGCGTCGGCAGCTTCATCCGCCATCCACTAGTAGTTTTAAATTATCCAGGGTTAGAGAGATATAAGGGACCAAACGCGAAAAGCATAGAAGGGGGAGAAGAAGTAGGCGCGTTTTACCCGTAAAAGATCCTCTTCCTGTGGTTCCAAAGGCATCCTCTCCGGAAATTTAGCCACGCTATCAGTCCACCATCTTTCCACGATATTGGTGATGGCCAGAACCAGCGCCTCATGCAGAGCCTGAATATTCTGGTAATGCTGCGGGTGAACCAGTATGGGATGTGGGCAGGCAGCCTGATAGAATCCTTTGGGCCATGACTCGCGAGAATACTGGCGGAGAAGGTGAGATTCCATCCGCTGTCTCTCTTCCGCTCGAACCGCCACATTCGCACGCAGCGGCACGACGGCCTTCTCGCTGTCGGTTTTCAAGAAACATATCTGCTGGAGACGTGCGCGATCGGCCTGCTCTATCTGAGACTCCTTCAAGACCGCCATGGTGTATGATCGTTCATGCCCTGAAGACTGCGCGAGCTTCACACCTACAAGGCTGAGACGCCGAGCTCATTCTCTCTTGAGTATGTAATTTTATTTTATTTTATTTTTTATTTTATTTTATTTTTCCTGGTGCTGAAGGGTCAGCCCGCGATTACTTAGTTATTACGCCATGCCGCCCGGTAAGGGGGGATTCGCACGCCAGCCCAGGCGATCGTTGCTGCAGGCCTGGGGTGATGTGCATCGGGAACGGGGCGAGCTGGAATGTCCGGAGCAACGACGGAGGAAATCAGTACAAAGTTTGTTTTCGTTCTCCACCACCCAAAGGCGGATGCATCCGATCGATTACGGATTGCATTTCGGGCGACCACTCCCTGGGGCCCAGCTCTCCACCTCGTTAGCCGACGATGCAGCAAGGGTCAGGGAGATAATGCCGCCACTGGCCACATTCCCAGGACACACACCCCTCCCCCCCCGGTCAACGATCAACACCCCACAAAGTAAGCCAGCGCCATTCACCCAGCTTCATCACACATCCCGTCGCCTGGGTTCGTATCCTGATCACGAGATTGCGGGTGATTATCAGATCTCTTGCTGAGATGTTAATTTTTGCCACCGTCCAATGGCTTCGTTTGCCTCGATTTTCCGGGCAACGGCACGGATGTCGTGCAGCGGTCGTTGCTGGATTGTGAATCACTCCACTCCCTCGTGCGACGGATTTGCTAATTAAAGAGTCTGATAATCACGTATGCAAACGGATCATTCACCGGGACTGTGAAGCAAAAGAAACGGCGACATACATGAAAGAGCGGATATTAGGGAAAACAATCTCGTTTGCTAATTGACATTCGCGCGAGACTTTGTGCTACTCGCGCAAATTCGGTTTCTCGCGTTGGGCAGGAATAATACGGGCTGCGGGGGGATTTGTATTCGGCAGAACCGCTGGCGTCAGTTGTCTGCAGCAGGCTTGAAGGGAGCTCTCCCGGAATTAGTTATCTGGACTTGCGGGTGTGCCTGTCCTGCTCCCTGCCCGATAAGTGTGCCAGTAGTTTGCCAGCAGCCCGTGGCAACCCCGAAATCAAATCTCTATACATTTATTTGAATATTCCGGACCGTGCTAGAGTAAAATAGCTCTTGGGGCCCTAGATCTATCAACACTACGCCCGGGTAGCCAGTGAGGCCCATCCAAGCAACCAGCATACGTCTCAATCTCAGATTGCCCGTCTCCGCACGCAGTGAAGCAACACGTCGAGCCGCTCAATGCGTCTTCGCGAATATGTACAGCATTATCCAAGGGCGGCAGTATATCACGGTCAGCTAACAACCTTTTGACCCAAAAATCAGCCAAAGGGTTGCTACAAAGCTTTTACCAAATCATACAAAATGCCGTGCTCCTTGCTTGTAGAAGGAGCCTGTTTTTCCCACCCAACATCAGGTTCCATGCCCCGTCAAACCCTCCAAGCTCCCATGCATTTGTTAAAACCCGAAACCCCCCCCTCCCCGGTTGCGGTCAATGACGCGACCCTGAAAGAATGTGCAGCGCTCTGAGCCCCGCAAGCAATCTATCGACCAGTCCAACACTAGAGTTGAAAGCCGCCAGCTCATCATTGACTTTGAAGCCAATCCCTTCCCTCTCGCTAGCAGTGCTTTCCGCCAGGCCGACAGCCCTTACTAAATAATGTTGCAGTGCTCTAAGCGTGCGAAGCGGGCTCGACACCGCAATTGAGACGTCTTCGGGGGAGTTGGATATCCATATTATCTTTTTAAGTCTTGGAAATCCGTTAAAGTCAGACCCAGTGACGTGCGTGTATGCTTGCTTAATCGTCAGTTGCAGCTCTTCCAAAAAAAAAAAAAAAAAAAGAAAAAGAAAAAAAAGGAAAAAGAAAAGAAAAGAAAAGAAAAGGAAAGAAAAGAAAATGAAGAAGAAGAAAAAAGAGGGGGGAGGAAAAAAGCTTTGCGAAAGAGCTGCTTACCTCCCATGAAAGGAAAACAGAGCCAATCCCCGACTTTTGCCCGCCGTGGGAGCACACAGTTTGTGGCTATCTTGTCAAAACTATCGCACGTCTGACCCCAGACAGTATACGGATCTCCGTTATCAGCAGCTGATACGTATGGCGTACCCGTACAATTCAGTAAAATAGGTTGTGGTACCACCTGCTCGGTCAGAGCGTTTAAGAAATTGTGATATATGCCGTCGTTAATATGTATGTCGCCAACGGGAAGCTTTTCGTCTGCGCCGATTCCATTACCTAAACACGCACGAGGACGAGTCCCGAGCACCCGACATACAAGGTAGAAAGCTTCTTCTGCAAAATAACGGCCAGGTTCAGCGACCCATCTGAGATGTTTCTCATCTCCGAAATACTGTCGAATACTCTTGCGTATCACCGTTGCTGCGCTTTCAAAATTTCCAAGTGAGAACCCGCCTCCGATATCAATCGTGCGGATCGGATGTCTCTGGTCCTCTCTGAGACTCTGGTTAAAGTCGTAGACCTCGCGAGTAAACGCTATCGCCTGCCGGTAGGCATCGAAGTCTGCTGCGCTTGAGCCCACATGAAAACAGAGCCCAATCACCTTCATGTTGAGTTCTTGTGCTAATACCAGGAGTTCTTTGGCTTGTGGTAGTTGAACTCCATATTTGGAGCCCAGCCGGACGCGGGAAGATGGGTCATCTGCCCACAGGCGAAGGTACAGCTCTGCGTTGGGAAAATAATCAGCTAGCTTTCGAAGCTCGTCCTCCGTGTCGAACATCGTTTGGGTCACGCCATGCTGTTTGGCATAGAGAATTCCGTCTTCCGACTTGAATGGTGCGGCGTAGAGGATTCGATGTGGCTCAACGCCGAGGTTTAAAATCCGTTGCATCTCGGATTGTGAAGCGCAGTCAAATCCCAATCCATGTTCTGCCAGAATTCTCAAAAAACGAAGGTTGTCGTTGCACTTGACAGCTGCAAATTGATGTTAAACCAAGGCATATTTCCGGGCTCGGGAGCGCCTGCAAGCTCACCGTAGAAAGGCTCTACATCAGAGAGCTTGCTTTCCCACAATTTCAGCTGGTTGTGAATGAAAGGCTCATCGGCAACGAAGAACGACTCTTTGTGACGGATACCTGTTTGCAGATGCTCTTGGATCACTGTGTGGACGGCGGATGGTATGACGCCCCCCGCACAGGCAGGCGGGATTCCTTTCTGGTTAACGACCGGCATCGAGGAGAATCACAAAGCTAGGCGATAAGACTGGGAATGCAACTGTTGCCCTCCAATAACTAGCGTATTTCACCCGATCCTTATATTTATGCAACGTTTGAACAGCTCGTTTTGAGTCCCCCTCTCACATATGTAGTAGCTTGGATGCGAATCCTATGTTTAATCATCTCGATCTTCGCCTCGTTTAACACGGCCGACGAATTGTTCCCCGAGAAGGCCCGCCGGTTGTTGCCCAGGTCTGAACTTTCCGTTGATTCGTAACGCCTTGTCTGTAGGATCGCCACGATGTCCGCTTTTAGAGGCTTGCCGGCACTTTTGTTGCATTTTTCTTTTGCCCCTCTGCTTTCAATTCTTTTGTGGCTAAGTGCTAAAAGAATCCTCGTTCGCATTCAATTGTTTCTATCGGTGCATGCCACTTGTCGCACCCTTTCCCCCCTGCCCCGGCAGCGGTGTGGCTGTCTGAGCATGCAAGGGGGACGAGGATGATAAGTCTGATCGACGACCAATTCACTTTGATGGCGCCGACAAGCCAAACTTTGATCGCCCTTTGCCAGGACGATTTAAAATATTGACTGCAGGCATAAGATGCTGAATTCCTAAAAAAGGTTTGCACATCCTCGCCGACGCTCCCGGCATGCGGGTGTCGGTGCTGGCTGAGCAAAACTCTTACACCGGTAGCTCGTAATATTTGACAAGCGATCGTGAAGCTGCCCGGGTTGCGAGCTTCCGGGATTGGCTATATCGTCGGTAGGCTCTGAATGACGAACTGCGAAGATCAAATACCGCATAATATAGTGAACCCTCCGTCAAGAAGGAGGCGCGGAGAAAAAAAGAGCTCTTAAATCCCTCCGTTCTCTCACTAAAGCATCCGACTAAAGATTCACAGGCAGGGAAAACATACAAAGTGTGATTCGGCATAATGTGGAGTAACCTTCGCAGAGCGTACAGGCCCGCGATGGGAGCTATTGGGAGGTCCCATTCGACTGCCCGTGAGTGTCGCACCCGCAGGTATCCTCCGGCATGGAATGATTACACAGAACACTTATCCAAGTATCTAGGTCATCATAGCTCCATCTCGCAGCTTTATGCCTCTGATATTCGGTGTGCAAACGAACAAGATCACGTCCGTTCCGTTCACGAGCTTCTGGGTGAGACGGGGGTCTTGAAGATCAAACTCGGTTTCGAAGACGATGAAAGTAAATATATGCAACAACTGATCCTCAGCCTACACAAGCACCACGGCCACGGCTTGCCCATTACCCATTCTGCATCCCGAGGCTGGTTCTGGGACGTCCGACCTCTTCCCGGACAGAATCAACAAGCAGCTTCGAAGCCGGCTCGCTCGGAAACTGCCAGAGACTTCCCCTGGCACACAGATTGCAGCTATGAGCATCTTCCGCCGCGGTTCTTCGCTTTGCAGGTACTACAGCCAGATCGTTGCGGCGGAGGAACGTTGTCGATCCTCGATGCCGATAAAATTGCAGGTCTATTGTCTCCAGCAACAAGAAGATCTCTCTCCAGACCCGAATATCGCATAACCGTCCCGGCAGAATTCATCAAGAGTGACGAGAGACATATTACTGCGCCTCTTCTCAGCAAGGATAGCGGCAGCGGTGCAGCTGAGCTACGTTTTCGCGAAGAGATCCTCGAGCCCTTGACCAACGGCGCGAAATTGGCGTTGCAAGAGTTTGGAGAGAGCCTTCAGAGCCCCAACGCAAAGGCTGCGACACTACACCTGACGCCCGAATTGCTTCCTCGAGGGTCGATTATTCTCATAAACAATAGACGTTGGCTTCATGCGAGGAGTGAGGTGAAAGACCCACGTCGCCACCTGCGCCGAGTGCGATGGGACGCCAGGCCGTTTGCTGCTGAAGAGGCATTGAGCCTATGAGCATCTTGCGTCAACGGTGATGGGACTCGGTTGATTGTGGAGGGTTGACGACATTAACCGACATCTCCTCCGTATGTTAGCACATATCTTACCACTTAGATCAATGATCGACAAACTACCTTACGAGGTACTACGGAGTGACCCCTGCCATCCACCCGAGGCGATCTTGGAGTCCAAATTGAGTTTGATTCAAGGGTTTCGGAGGGTAGTTCGAATAGGCCGGCTTAGCGTTGACACTTTTCAGGGAATATTTGGAGCAGGGAATATTTAAGTTTGGCTGGAATCAAAATTGCTGGTCCATCCGCCACTGATCGAGCTGGTGCCCAAGTGTGCAGTAGTCATATAATAGGGGAAGCAACGTCAAAAATTGACTCCACATCCCGCGAAAAAGAGAAAAAGAAAGAATATCCATCGTATGCACGCAGTCACACAGCCCAGCCCGATGTGTTCAGTCCACAGCTAGCTGAAGGTGGCGAGATCTCGTCTAACATATTGCCGCCCGTCACTCTTCACGCAAGCCACAAAAAAGAAACGTGCCAGAAGGATGATCGGGTGAAAGACAGAGAGCACATCTGCAAATGCATATTTCCATTTCAACCGAACCATTGCTGACATGCTTGTCTTGACACCCAAGTGGCTGCGCATGTTACTGCGCAGCTCCGCTAAGAGGGGCGCGCAATGCCATCCCTGGTCAGACTCCGAGTCTGCCTTCGTGCAAATCGGGCATGGCGACCCGGAGCGCCGGAGCGCGAAGGGAATGTGCGCGAGTGAGCCGGGCTATATGTAACGACACTGGGCACGCCCGGGGGAAACAGACGCTCTTTGGCCTGTTGGTCTGTCCTCATCTCGTCAACCAAGGAAACCGTCATCTTTGAAGAGAGAGAGGGAAAAAAAAAAAAAAAAAAAAAAAAAAGAAAGGGAAGAAAGGCTATATGAGAAACAAACCAGCATGGCGCCAGACCACTACTCACTCCAGGATATCCTTGCGATGGCCATGGTCCATCCGTTCTACTCTGCTGCAGAATATCCCCCGACGCCAGAATCTGCCTCTAAGATCCTAGCAGCCGCCCGGCTCAATAAACAAAGTGTCCTCGACCTCAAGCGTTTTCCTCTTACGCGGAAAGAGTCGCTGTAGGTACATGCATGCTTTGTATCCTCAGTTCCCGCTCACCTTCTTGCTGTGCGATTACACCTTTGCTAAAAAGAGCGAATAAAACCGCGTAGGTACCGCACAATCCAGAGACTATCTGCGGATCCTGACCCTCGAAATGGATACCGCCAGCAAGCATATATCAGCGTTACCGGCGGAGGGTCAGGCGGCGTGCCCATGGTCTTTGTCACGGACTCTGTTGAGAATAGACGGCAGCGGGACGTGACAGGCGCACTGGTCAAACATTGTCGTCTGATCGAGCCGGGCGATTGGATGCTCACGATGCACATTGCAGGGCATTTTTACCGGTATGACTACGCCGCTAACATTCATGTATCGATAGTATTATGGAGCTGATAGGATCTAGGGCTCTTGATTTGATGACGGAGATAGCTGAACAGGCCGGCGCAGGCGTCTTCTGTGCCGGAATCTACATGCCCTATGCTGATGTTGTCAAAGCGCTCATACAGTATCGAATCAATGTCGTGGCTGCAGATGGCAGCCAGATCGTCCAGCTCGCAGCTTACATATCTTCGCTTCCTCCCGAGGAACGAGAGGGCATCAATGTTAACAAGGTATTATACACGTCTGAACCCTTGGTTCGCACACAGAGGGCTTTCATCAGGTCTGTCATGGGGCCAGTTACCATCTGCTCCATTCTCGGCAGCTCGGAGGCCGGGACGTGGGCCGTGGCGAATTTAGACTTGACCGGTGACACAGACGACGACTGCACGGAATTTATCTTCGACACTCGATCAATGGTGATCGAAATCCTTCCACTCTCCGTAGAAGACCCCGACCAAAGCGAAAGCACTGCCAGCCTGGCTGAACTCCCCGAAGGTGAAGCAGGAATTGTCGTCCAGACTTCGCTGCAACGATTACGGAATCCACTGGTGAGATACGTGTCCGGCGACGTGGGATCCCTCCATCCGTTGCCAGCGAGCGCCCTGGCTAAAATCCCGCCCGCCGAAGCTCAGCATATGAAGCTCCTGCGATTGTACGGACGTGATCGTCGCTTCAGCTTCAAGTGGTCCGGCGCATACTTTGCCTTTGATCAGGTGGAGGCGCTGATGCGCACCGAGAATTACGGCATCCTGCAGTGGCAGATCGCCCTCAGCTACACGGATGGCACTCCGGAGACCGCCCTAGAGATACGTATCTTCCGTCCGGACGCGGACAATCCCAAACTCGTATCTACCAAGGAGCTGGTCGCGATACTTGAGAAATTTTTCGGGCTGCTTCCCATTAACGAGATGCTTTTCCGTGTGACTTTCGTTCAGAGCACCGAAGAGCTTGAGCGGAGCAAGACCGGAAACAAGGTGATCAAGTTTGTGGACCGTACAATGAAGGAATAAATATTGAACGGGAGATGCACACAACCTGGGCTCTCCCTCCCTTTCACACAGATCAATATTATTGAAACACGTGGGGAGTTGGGAGTCATAAAAGCAATCCCAGCCTTGCATCTTTCCTTTGCCAGCATTAGAGGGGAATCGGAGACGACTCAACTAGTATTTTGAGGATTGATTTCAGAGACAAGAATGAAGAATGGTCTACGAATGACATACCCAAAGAGATAGTAAATAGAAGAAATTTCTTGACACTCAGATATTATTCCATTACCGTATGTACCATTTTGCTAACTAATAACTACCCAGTAAAAGCGAGCGGAAAGAATCCGTCCTTTTTTTTTTGTTGGTTCTTTTTGTCCTTTTTTTTTTTTTTTTTGTTTTTGCTTTTTGGTTTTATCCTTTCTTCATTGCTTTGCCCTCATGAAGAATAACTGGAATCACACCGTCCGCCCTATATCATCGGGGCCATTTTCCAAGCTCGAACAAATTAGAGATTCGAAGAGGTCAAGACGCCGGTGAAAACCTCCAAGAGGGCGAGCAAGGGGTATTAGCATTCACCCGGAAGGTAAAGAGAGCAACAACGGAAAAAACCACACTCCGCCTCCCAGAACTCATTTGCCAATGACGACGCGCTTCGAAAAAGGACGATGACTCGAGAAAGCCCGCGCGCGCGCTTTCAAAGTCGAAAAATCCATTCCATCTGAGTGTGCGTGTTCAAATCTCCACTTTAAATTTCTCCTTCGCATCATTATGATAAGAGTTCGAAAGAAAACGAAATCGTCCCAAAGGATATCGAAAACTTTTTTGTAGGCTAATAAACCTCATCGAACCCCGCAGATGGAAAGAGAAAATCTGTTTCCCGCCCAAATACCGTGGGCCGGCTGGAAATTCAAACCAACGCCGCTATGCAATGCAAAACAAAAAGAACCCGTCTATTAACCGCCGTCGTTTCGCCCTGCGTGACAACCGAGGAGGGACACTCTTAGTGCCATGTAAACGTTCCGAAGCCCCAAATGACATCTATTAACACCAAGATCTCTCCGTCCAGTTATTTTTTTTTTTTGGAAGGCGAAAAGAAAACAGAGACAAGGAAACTGTCACTCTTTGAAGGTCAGGTAGAATCGAAGCACGTAAACCGATGACGAGCTGTAGAGACACAGCGGTAAAAGGTCATAACGAGAACAAACATAAAATACAGACAACGCCCCGTGAAATCAAAAAAAAAAAAAAAGGAAAAAAACTGTAGGATAAGAGATCTATTTAAAACGCACGGATCGATGCAGTTCGGGCAAACATTAGATGGCATGAAAATCGTAAAGAGCACTTTTTTTCGGAGGGAATCAAAAAGCACAAATGCGTTCCGGCTCGGCAATTCGCTCGAGCTAGCTCCTCTTTCAGCAGCGGCTGAACGACATAGGGGGTATCAGAATTAAGCGGTCGTAGAAAGAGGAAAAAAGAGCAACGCTATCTATGATGTTCATGCAATCTCGGTTGGACAAGCCCAACGACCACCATGCGAACAAGGCCCGGAAGCAAAGAAGATCGGACTGCATCGAAGAGCGCATCTAAACCGTAACCGAATCGACGAGTAACGAGCAAAAGTAACGAAAAGCAAAGCATCGATGAAAAAGAAATTCGTCGCAGGTCATGACCAAAACCATTCAGAGACAAGAATTTGGGAAAAAGTAAGTCTCGGTCTGATCTATTCTTCTTATGTCGAGACGAGACTCGTCAAGAAGAGAAAGATCCAAACCAAGACCCGCATGGTCATGGGAAGAGACTGATGAATGGTTTTACCACCAAGAAGATGGCCCGGTGGGACCAGATGGGTTGCCGTAGCCGCCTCCACCGTAGCCACCGCCGTATCCGCCGTAAGATGGAGCACTGCTATAGCTTCCACCATAGTTGTTGGCGCCACCACCATAACCACCGCTGTAGGATGGAGTACCACTCATTGGAGGACCACCACCGCCCATGCGACGCATATCACGAGTGGCATTGGCACCACGGCCTCTTCCACCACCACGACCGCCGCCACGGCCGCCGTATCCGCTGCCCTCACGAGCAATATTTTCCAAGAAGGCCGGGACTTCCTGGTGAGCTTCTTTGAGTAATTCGATCAAGTCACGGACGACACCGCGGTTGCCACGGTTGAAGAAAGCTGTGGACAGACCGGTGTTACCAGCACGACCAGTACGGCCGATACGATGGACATAGTCATCGATGTCGGTGGGGAGATCGTAGTTGACGACGTGAGTAACATTAGGGATATCGAGACCACGAGCAGCAACAGCAGTGGCAACGAGGATAGGGCAGCGGCCGTTGCGGAAGTATTCAAGAGCCCGCTCACGCTCACGTTGAGTGCGGTCACCGTGGATAGCAGTTGCAGGGAAATTCTGGTTGATAAGGAACTCAGATAGAGAATCAGCCATGCGCTTGGTCTCGACGAAAATGAGAGTGAGTCCAGTTCCATGGGTGTGGAGGATATCAAGCAGAACGGAGCGCTTGTCGGCGTCTTCGACGTATTCGACCTTTTGGGTGATGTTCTCCGAAGTGGATCCGACACGACCGACAGACAAGAACACATAGTCCTTCAAGAAGTCGCGGGCGAGCATCTGGATGTCACGAGGGAATGTGGCCGAAAACATGAGGGTCTGACGTCCGTTGACAGGTGGCATATCCTCTCCCTCGACGATGCGGCGAATCTGGGGCTCGAAACCCATGTCCAACATGCGATCGGCCTCATCAAGGACGAGGTACTTGATATTGCAGAGAGAGATACGTCCACGTTCGATCAGATCGACAAGACGGCCGGGAGTAGCGACAAGAAGGTCACAGCCACGTTCAATCTGGCGGAGCTGAGAACCGATATCCGCACCGCCGTAGACGACGCATGGGCGAACCCAGGAACGGTAAGCGAACTTGCGGGCTTCATCGTAGATCTGAGACACCAATTCACGGGTAGGGGCCAAGATCAACGAGGTCGGGTAGGCTTTTCGCTGACGGCCATAGCTGAATTGGTTGGCGTTTTGTGTTGGGACCGCGGAAGGGCCGTTTTTAAAAGCTTGAGAGAGAATTGGGAAGAGGAAACCGCCAGTTTTTCCGGAACCGGTCTGAGCACAGGCCATGAGGTCACGACCACCCATGACAATTGGGATGGAATACTTCTGGACTGGGGTCGGTGTCTTGTAGGTGGCAAGTTTGATGTTGGATATCAAATGGTCATCCAGGGGTGGGTTTGTGAAGGCAGTCACTGGCTCTGGAACATCGTGACCTGAGGCCTCGACAGGAATGTCATCGTAGTTGGCGAAGTTGATGCCGGTATGCTGCTTGGATGGGTCGTTGGGGACGCCGAAGAGTTCACGTTCAAGACGGGCATTTGGTGGACCGGGGATATGCTTTCCATCGCGCCACTGACCATCACCGGATCCACGGGCAGCACCGCTACCGGCACCACCGTGGCTCTGACCGCCGCGATGACCAGGGTGGCCATAGGCATTTGGATCGAAACGAGCACCACCGCCACCACCAGCAGCACCCCAGGCAGGGGCACCGTTCATATTATTTGCTCCTCGAGGAGCCCAGTTGTTGGGAGGAGCACCACTTTTACTTCATGAATTAGTAACTACTCGAAAAGAAGGGGTAGTGTAAAAATGGGGGCAAGGACACGTACTTGGGACCCCAAGAGCCAGGGTTCATTGGAGGACGACCTTGTGGAGCAGCACCATCGACAGGCATGGTAGGGCCGGCGCGTTGCTGACCACGGAGGTGGGGAGGAATGTACGGGGCACGACCGGTGGCATGGCTAGGGGCGTGTTGGGAGTCCTCGAGCGAGAGGCCAGCCATTTTCAAGGAATCAGCCATGATTGAATATGGATCTAACGGAGGGACTGATGTTAGCCGGGGAAACAGTGGTATGAAAAAATTTCAAGATTAAAAAAAAAAAAACCAACAGACGTAGACGGTCAAATCGGACGGAAAGGGAGCACAACATACTGAGTAACAGATGATTATTTGAAATGTTGATTGTTTTTCTTTTCGCTAGTGTGTCTGGTTTCACAGGGTTCAGCTGCTCGAGAAGACCTGGGACAGGAGTTCAGGCAACTGATGTGAAAGGAGAAAAGAGCGACTGAGACAGAAAGCAAGTTTCTCAAAGGGACGACTCTTCTCTCAGACTGTGAATCTGGGGTTGTGTTGTGAGGGAGACCTTAAAAAAAAAAAAAAAAAAGAGAGACAGAAAAACAGAAGAAAGGTAAATCTATCTCTCTCGAATCTAAAGGTCTAATCACGCGAAGCTGATGGAGAAAGGAAGGAAGAAAGACAATCAAAAAGAAAAGAAAAGGAATAACAAGGAGACCTGTAGAAGCTCAGGCTGAAGATGTGGTGTGTTTGAGAAAAGGGGGGAATGGAGGGAGGATGTGAAGGATGAAAAGACGCGAGTTTGATGGCGAAGAGGTTGTGAAGAAGAAGAAGAAGAATAAGAACGAAGAGGCGAGAGAAAGGAAGAAAGAAGAGCGAGTGGGAAAATTACCAGCCCGAGCTTGTCCTCTTTGGGACTAGTAGGGCTTCTGCTTCGAAATTTTTTTTTTCTTCTAAAAAAATGCAAAACACCCAAATAAAAAATTAAAAACATTAAAAAAATTAAAAATCGAAAAAAAAAATTCTAAAGGGAACAAGAAAAAAGAAATGGTCAAAAAAAAAAAAAAAAAAAAAAGGCTTCACCGCAAGCCGAACAACAAATCCCAACCAGCGAGACAACACAGCAGGCGAACGGTGCCTCGGGACTGACAGGTCATCAGAAGTTCGCCCCCAATGCTTGTCCTGCCCCGATACCCGCATCCCCAGCCTACCTGCCCGTGAAATCTCTGTCTCCCTTCAACCAGGAAAATCGCCGAGTTTACCAAGATCGCGGGAGAACACGCCCAGGGGCTCCTCCAGCCTTATCGCGGCGATGGACGCGGCCTCGAAAAGTCAACCTTTCGTCTACGGCCAATGAAAATGGTCACGACAGCGTTGGCGAAAAGCGACTCCTCGTTCGAAACAACTTTTCGCCGCCGCGCCCCCCGTCCTTTGCCACCCCCCGGCATACGTACATAGTTTTCTTCCACCGCACGCATCGTCATCGGAGGCAGAACTGGCCAACCGTGATTGGGCGCAGGATTCAATCCAAGCCTTGGCCGTCTCTCCTTCGCTCGGGTTTTGGGCTTGTCTCTTTTTTTTTCTTTCCGCCCTCTGATTCATCTTCTCAAAAGGACAGATCATAGCCGTCTGGGAAACCCTCAAAATTATCCCCAAAAAAAAAAAAAAAAAAAGGAAAAAAAAAAAGGAATTAGCGTGAACTGACATGGGCACAACACAACAGCCTTGGTCGGGGAAGGCGTCAGGAAAATTGGAATAGTTACTGTAACTATGTACTCCGTAGTGAGCCAAAAAAGGTACTTATGATCTCAGAAGACACAGGAGATTGGTCCAATTCGAAAAGGCTGGCACCTCCTCGTATAACTGACTCTAAATGTAGACAAATGCATTTCCGCTCTTTTGATGAGTCTCACAGGAACAGGACAAACTCTCTGATCCAAGTCTGTTGTAGCACACTGACTACTAACCTACTGTCCTCCGAGACTTGAACTAGCAAAGTCGGTGGCAACCAGTTTGGTGAAGATGCTTTTGGGAGTCTGTTGCCGGCCCCGACCTGGAGATTGGATGCAACGATGAACCGAGAAAGCCACAGTTGCTTCCAAACGCGAGAATTGCCCGACACGTCCCCCAGTTTCTATACGGCTCTTGGTCAATTCGCGGAAAATTTTCGAGAACAAAGAATCATCTATTTATTTCGGCCAAAAATGCTAGTGTGGGCGATGTATATAGCTAACAGGCCTTCAAAGGGGAACTGAAAATTTCCGAGCAACAATCACCCCGAAACCCTCGCCAGGAATGTCCCCCGGTGTGTACGGAGTGCGTTATGTAGGAACACGCTGCCGAAAAGGTCAAAAAGGAAAGATGATCCAAGGGAGATAGCTAGAAATAGGATCAAATATAAATATCATCTGTTTCCCTCAAATCCAGCTCCGGCCAGCGCTCGTCACTTCCTCCCAGAAAGCCCGTCCTCCCATATCGCACACACTGTCCATCCACATCACCTGCACCATCACTTCCTTCAGCTCTTCCCACGTGCGTGGCCCTCCAGAAGCGAGGACTTCTACAAGTTTGTCGGCAAACCACCCCCTATCCGGCGTGTTTCTCGCCGCCATTCCCCCCAGCACCAACGACCATAGCAGCATCTCACCAGCGGGCCCCCAGGCGGTCAACGGCTCCGACTCAGCCAACGCTGCTCTTGTCATCGATGTTATCCGCTTAAACGGTCGGTTTGCGGCCGGAAGTGGGAAGATAACAAGCATGCTGTATATCATTGCCGCAAGGCGACAAACCTCGTATGTCTTGTGGTGCTGGATGGATTGCTCATCTAATTCATAGATAGAGGGTAGTGAGACGAGGCTATATTGGATCCAGTTGCGGCGATCAGCGATGCTGGCCAGCTCGAGGTTTGGGAGGACGCCTTGGGAGTACAGGTTTACGACGTTGCTGTAGTCCCGCATGTTCTGAAGGACATCGCAGATGTTGTACGGCAAGTTGGCCTTGAGGATGGGGTCCGTTTGGCCGTCATCAGCCAGCTCGACACTGTTCATCATCGTCGGCCAATGAGGTGTTCGCCCCTCCGCACTTTCTTTGAATATGGGCACAAATGGGAGCCGCGGTCTGACAAGGTATTTGGTTGATAGCATCACAACCGACCTGCAGGAGTGAGTGAGTAACCCATGTCTCATATCCTTCATGCGAACAGACGGGAATCACCTACGTTGACAATGTCACCGCTAAGCCAGGCAATTTCATCTGTGAAACACCACCTCTCATCTCAATAAGCGCAAGGAGACCCTTGACATGATGATCGTTCAGCGATAGTCCGCCATACACATCCAGCCACTGGAGGTTGCGCAGTGGTGCTCTCGGCCACGTATCGGGCACGCTCCATTCGGAATAATCAATCCGATTAAAAGCCATACACAGCACGGCGAGAATGACCTCATCCGAGCACGCCTGGGATGGGTCCTGCATCATTCTGTTCAGCTCTTTGATCGTCTCAGTCTCACAGACAATCTGCTCTAGCTTCTCCTCTCTTGTTTGCGGGAGAAACTGCCCACCCTCGAGTCGCTTTCGCGTCTGCATGTGTCCCGCAGCACCGTATAGAAATGCAGTAAAGAGGGGAGGACTCGTCATTGCCCGGGGCATCCAGTTCTCAGCTGCTTCCTCTCGATCCCATTTTTGGTTTGAAGCACCTAAAACCAGTCCAGGCCAAAGCTCAAAGGCAGCTGGCTGGTAGTCAGCAAAGAGTGGCCAGTGCACACATACATACATACATGCACAGCACTCAAACCTTCCCGCCTTATCAACCTCTGCGAGGAAGCCTCAAAGACGATAGTGGTCAAAAAGATAGAGAGAGGACTTGACGGGTAGAAAACAGACTGACCGTATCGCATCAATTTGCTAATCATCGATTCGCCCAACATTGACGGATATACGTGGGTAGGGTTAGACAGCCAGGCCGTCAATTGGTTAAATGGACCATCGACATGCCTCTGTGTAATTCCCGGGCGAGTATTGGTCCGGGAAACATACGTTGCGCCGCAATCAGGTCGGTGTAATGCTAGGGACAATGGTGAAGCCCTACTCGGGGAGGGCTGAATTGCTTTGTCTTCAGCCTTAGCGGGAGGATCCTCTAATTCTCTAAACGGCGGGTTCGAGGATGGCTTTAACTCGTCGTCCGAGAGTGTAGGTGAGCCTTGCGAGGAAGGCCATTTCGGTTGATGGATTACCTGCTTGGAACCGGGTAATGGAGGGCTTAAGACCTTTGCATACGGTTTCTTCGCGCTGCTCTTCTCTGATCGCCCAGCTCGGTGTTGACGCCAGATATACTTACTGGCATGCGATCGGATGACGGTCCGATTATGTGATTTTTGAACCTCAGATATCGGATTGACGCTGACAAAGTGGAAAACCTCTTGGGGCGGCTTGGACGCCTTCACCTGTCCTTCATTCGGTGACGACACAGGCAGATGCTCCAAAGGTCCGAGCTTACGGTTCTTTGATGGCATTGGTGCTCCTTTTTTACCCGAAAGAATCACCTTCCTCGGACGCTGGACCGATGTGGAGCCTGCAGGTAGATGGGGTATTATGTATTTTCAGCGCATATTCCTCCGGAAATAGAGAGGTGAGAGTCAATTGGGGAGCTGCCTATCAACAGCCAACCATGAGTTTCATATCGCTCAGCTCTTGGTGTCCGCGTTGCAGGTTCTTCTGCGACTCGTATATGCTTGCAGGAGTGAAAATCTTCTCACAGCTTGACTATTCCAACGAGCGTTGGACCTGAGCGGAGCTAAGCCACGTGGTTTTCTTTTGGAAAAACCAACAAGCAGGCAACCAAACAAAAAGAAAAGAAAATTAAAAGATGAGAGCCACGCGCACCCAGCTGCCGGGACGTATGGGATGTCGGGTGTATGTCAATGTGCACCCAGGAGCTCGAGAAGGACCGACGATGGGTGATATGATCAGAAGCAAGGGAGGGCGACGACTTCAAAAATTACAGGGGAAAAGAAAGCACTCAGCAGTCCGTATCGACGGAAGGACGGCTTATGGGCAACTCCTCTTGAGCGGGAGGTATGAAGGCTGTTTAAAACACAGCGGTAAAGCTGTTTATTACACATTGCTGCCATACTCTGCGTAACTGCATGGCAGCTCCTTTCGAGATGTCGTGCGTCGTCGGTCGATGCGGGCGTTCTCTCCAATTTGCTGCGGTGTTACGGACTCCCGTATTGGCGGCAGAGGCAAGCGGATATTTGAGAAATAAAGCAAGCGTGCCAAGCAGCCCCCCTGGTCTGTCCTAGGCACAGCAGGCCAATGATGGTGTCCATTGGAGTGAGGGAAAGAAAATCGCTCCCGACAAAAACAGCCATTCTGGATCCCATAAGCTGCAGATCAAATGGGGTCAAATTCAGACCTGTTGCACGGTGTGTCACCTCTTCTGTCGGCACTTGCGCATTTGCACAAGGAAACAATCAAACCAATTGGTGACCGCCCAAGCGGCTGTTTGGTCGTGTTGACGAGGCTGGTCCATGTCCGCAACCGGCTTTCGGGCGCTCACCGGCGTTTTCTGTCCCATGAGTGTTGACTCGCTACTCGATGGTGCTGATGGCAAATAAGATTACACGGTCAAGCTTTTCACAGAGCTTGAGAGCAGCAAGCAGCTGGAAATAGCTATTATCACTAATCTTCAACTCGGTGATATCCTCATTCCGTCTATCTCAAGACCACAGGTCACACTGCATATTCTCCCATGAGAATTGAGAAAGGACTCGGATACTGGCATCTAGCGACAGCAACCAGCAGAGGAAGAAGTCTAAGCAGTGTCTAACTTAACAGCCATGCTTAAGGAAACACACACACTCTCTCTCTCTTCTCTCTCTCTCTTTTTTTTCTCTCTCTCTTCTCTCTCTGTCTTCTCTCTCTCTCTTCTCTCTCTCTCTTCTCTCTCTCTCTTCTCTCTCTCTCTTCTCTCTCTCTTTTCTCTCTCTCTCTTCTCTCTCTCTTTTTCTCTCTCTCTATGTCTGTGTGTGTGTGTGTGTGTGTGTGTGAGAGAGAGAGAGAGTGAGTGGGTGAAACTGGGGTGGGATGCAATCATGCCAAACACATCTCAGCTACTGTGCAGGTTTGCCGTTTCTGCGCGAGTCTCCTAAGCGAAATATCTCGCGCTTTTGTTCTACACTTGGGGATGCGGCCGCCATGCTGTCTTCTGGACAGCTACACACTTAGTTAGCCAATTGGTGGTCTGGATCTTGTCATTCCATCGCATCCCGCTATAAGGTTTCGGGCAACGTGGGAAGAGCGCGTTCTCCATTCCGGTCCCCAAGTCCTCGACTGGGACCACGAGGTATCGTTCACGAACTCTAACCGACGACGACAGGGGAAAAGATAGTGCATGTAAATCCGTGCATTTGTATTATGCCTTGATGATTACTATTTACAGAGTGGCAGATAGCGTGGATCTGTCGCACAAGAAAGAAAACTCTCCCAACGGGGCAACCGTCACTGTGGAGACCTCAACTCCTATCTTCCTCGTGTTCATGCACGGCGGCGCTTGGGAATGCAGGCAGTTGGCTGAGGAGCGCTAGGGCTGGTGCTTGGAGGTTGGGTGGGAGTGCGAGTATCCGCTGGTGGGATGCTAATCGGGACACCGGCCTTGGAGCATTGGTCCACAACGATGTTGGAGACGGCTATAGCCGAAAAGGGTACTATGGTCAGGAACTGCTCTTCCCAAGTAGAGGGCGGGTAACATACAGATGCGGGCTTCAATGTTGGGGCAAGCCTTTTCAACGCAAGGCGTGATCTTTCCTGGAAGTTCGGGCTTGGCGCAGTGGCACTTGAAGTCGGTCAACTTCTCGCACCCGTCGTTGCCGAGAGCATCGATGAAGCACATGAGCTAAAAGACAAGTATTCTGTCAGAGGGTGATGTGTTATAGTCAATCGACGGGACAAGCTTACGGCGCAAGGTGGGATATTTGGAATCTGGGCGCTGGCAATGCCGGCAGCGGCCAAAGCAACGAGGGTGTGAGAGAACTTCATCTTGATTCAAAGAATTGTCAACGGCCAACTGACGACTAGAGCACAGAATCTGAGAGAATAACACTGGCTTGTTCCGCAATCCTTGAGGCGAGCTGGTAAACGGGGGGAGACGAGGGTCCAGTAGGCTCCTTTTATATCTATTTCAATGCCTGCCTCAGTGTCTCACTTTTGGAGGATAGCGAGCCAAGTTGCATCCGCATGGACCATAGGCTCCAAACACAACCCATCTTCGCCTTCGTTTACTGGTTTCCTGGTTTCAATGGGAGTCTATTGGAATTAAGCACGCGGGGGTGGAGCCTCTAAGGGGGAAATTGAATCTTTTCACATGTGTTGTGGCCTCGAGGACCGAGGAGGGAACCAACATGTGTTTCCCGGCGAGAAAGAACATCAAAAAAGATAATAATCGCACCCCAAGATTGCGGGTGTATGTCGGCTGTCAGGGTATGAAGGGCGCACCTTCATGCATGCAGGACACAAGTAGTCACCAAAACATGGACCTGCCAATCCTACGTCTTGGAGACTATCATCGAATCTCAGGGCAATTGTGATCGTCTCTGCGAATATCCGAGTGGGTGGCCAGCTTGACCATTTGGCGGTTTTCCCCGCCTAGTTAATCCTTAAGTTCACTCGGGGCGGAGATGGTACAAGGGGACAGCAGCTAAAATGTCAGCGAAGGTCGAGGCTCGAGACTATGGTTAGTCAGGGCCACGGCCATCCTTCCCATGGATCCTTGGCCTCCCAATCGAAACCCTCCGCACTATGAAGACGATGTGGAGCACCAGAGGTGACGACGGGTCCAATCAAAGATCATTGTTTGTTTGTGGGTAAGGATCACGGATTCGATTTATTTTTGCCAGCTCCCTACCTTTGCCCATCGATCGTTGACGATATACTCCGTAGTTATAGTACAACTTAGTTAACCTATCTAGTTACATCGCTCTGCATATACGCTGGGGGATAGCTCGCGGAGCACGCGATGACTAGATGGCAGCGAACCGGCCATCATATGTAGATCGATTATCGGTTAGCTTCCGAGAATCCTCCACTGCCAGCAAATGCCGATGGCTGGAGTTTTCTCCGCGTTGGCCCGTGTAACTGCTTGCGTATTCCGTACATATATACGGAGTACAAGTTTATAATAATTACTCTAAGTGTGCATGCTATCTTTGTTTAACCCTTGCCTACTTATACTTTATGATCTCGCCCCGTTCTCCGTACTCTGGAGTTACTTCACTAAACCAATAATTAGCGCATCTCCTAGATGAATCCATGTAAAACCCTTGCATGAATATGGGAAACAACCCACCATCATGATGCCGAATCTGCCTTCGCCCTTCCAGTCAATTGACTGTAAATGATCCACGGACGAAGTACAGTATCCTTGGTATCGACGGTTGTCAAAGAGAAGAAGGCAACAGGCAAACAATTGTTGACGGGAGTCTGCAGAAATGTACCCGCTTAAAGTTGCTTTCTCTCGTAGGTGGGCGCCACACTATTCGTTAACCGCAAACACTATTACTGTTGAGAATCTCCCATGTGATGGAGCTGAAGAACAAGTCCGGTCAGACATAGTTAGTCCATATACTCTAGGAGTCTAGGTTGCGGATCCCGCCGTTTCCTATCCACTCCATAGCCTGCGAGATGGGGACACAGACCAGCTGGGAAGAATCTACAAGAACAAGCGAGTACTCCGTATAATGAATGTATATAACTAGGAAGTCCCACGTTGCTAATTCTACATATGCCTGTGGGCTGCTGAGAAGAGGACTTTGAGGCTGGTAAAACCCTTGACCACCACATATTCAGGTCTGATATACGTAGCACCAGTTCTGCGGGGTGCATATGTATGTAGCAAGAAACATACCGTCGTATCCCACCTACATAATCCTTCAGGGCGAGCAACGCCGCACATTACCACGCAGGACATGCGACAAAATCCCATCTGGCGCTGTGGTATAACGAGGCTCAGCAGAAATGCGGTATAACCCTACCAGACTGAAGCCCACGCATGAATAGTACAGTGTACGGCCGCATTGGCCAACTCTGCTCGTGCTCTTCCGGGTCTGACTCCCACAGCATCGGAAACATGCATGTGCACTCAACTCCTTTGTTCCGAACAAATGCGTCATCGATCCCTCCCGATCCATCCTTGCTTTGTTTCAAGAGTCTTCTCGGCAGTACTCCAATTTTCTGATTTCTTTGCATCTCAGGTTCTTCGATCTATGGAGCATAAGAGATGTGACAGGGCTGATGATGCTGATCGTTAGAAATACTAGGATTCACTAGGTCACCGCTTGGAGGGATATCGTATTTGACAGACGGGGAACCGAACCGCGTCTGGACACGCCGTACGAATTACCCGCATGTGCCTTAACGCTAGGCTTGTAATAGGAGCGTAACAACCTTGTGCCTCTTTTAAAGCGAAGCTTTGTCGGAATCATACGGTGTGAGTTCGGTATAGCAGAGACATATGGAGATGGGATTATGAATGCAGAGCTCGACTACATGTGTCGGGCGAACGGCGCATTAGACACGTCGTGACAGTCAATACCATGGAGCATTTAATGGCGCTGAGATAGGAGCGCCATTCCAGCAAATGTGAGATCCGGATGTCGCCGGTCTGCGGGGAAGAACTCGCCCGTCAAGGGAGTTGTTGTGGCGCCACAAGACAGAAATGCAGCGACGGGCTGATATGATGGACACGATCGGATATCGAGGAAAAAGGCTAACTGGGACCTGATAATCCAAATCTCCAATTTTGCGCACGTTTTTGCCCCGTTACAGAAGACAGCCATGTGGCTGTGTCTGTATATCGCTTGCTTGAGGGAAGAGCTGGGGAAGGGAATATCATATATTTGATATCCCAGGCAAGATCTGCAATCTCCCAACCCTCTAGCTAAAATCCTCCTCATAGTTGGTCCAATACAAAAGCTCGGTCGTAAGGGCTAGGTTTGTACCTGAAGTGTCGGAGGAGACCTATCACGAAAGCATCGCTGGTGGTGAGAAAACCATGAGGACCAGTTTTACGGGTGACACGAAGAAGCATGTGAGATATTCACCTCGCATATTGTGTAAAGGCATACGCCACCAAGCAAGCCCAAGTAAGACTTGTCCTGATGCCCCGCAGATTACCATACCTTGCGGTCCGCAGATGCCAGAAAACACGATTCCCGGTCCAGTTCTGACATCCGAAAAATGCTTCCACCGCGGGCCTGGCAGTTTTACCATTCCTCGTCTTTGGCGCTGGCGTTCACGACCAAGTCTATCAGGCAGTATTTCACGTGTTCGACTTGTGCGGCGGCCTCTACGGATCCGAACGCAACATTCCACCCACACAGGCGGTTTTTGGACATTTTGGGATCATATATAAATTTGATCGCTTCGCGATGTCTGGCTGCCTCACCATCTTGTCAACAAGCTCAATAGAAGCAAAAGGTCACTTGGGTATATGCATGTTGCAAGCGTTATAATTTGTCTCCTATAGATGTACCTATCTATATACATTAACCACTTACCCACACGGATAGACGTATCCCAAACCTCATATGGAATTTCTGAGAAGGAAAGGTCTGAATCCATTATTCGAAGGTCGGGGAAATAAGGAACCCTGTGGATTGACTGATGTCTTAATGCCGCTGAGGAGGATTATACATCGGAGTTTCAAAGTAAGTGCGAAATCGACCCCGGTCGCCTTTTTTTTGGACAGGTGAGCTATCAGCGACTCCTGGCGCCAAATGAAAGAAGATAGAGAGGCCAGGTGTTCAGAAAGACTCAGGAGTTATTAATCTAAAGCTCTTTGTCACTACCTTCCGGTTCCACTGGTAGCTCTCCACTTTTGGCGATCTTGACATCCGTCTCGGGCTTGTCTCCATATCCCTTAGACACGTTTTGGATGGAATCAACAACATCGTAGCCCTCAAGGACTTCGCCAAAAACAACATGACGACCATCAAGCCAGCTACATGACGCGATTTAGCTTTTCTCTTGAACGATAAACATCTACATAGAAAAGTGTGACACATACCTTGTGACTGCAGTGGTAATGAAGAATTGGGATCCATTGGTGTCGGGACCAGCGTTGGCCATACCTATAGGCAGGAGCATGTGGTTAGCAACTTCAATGCTCCGGCAAGGATAGAAAGCCAGAGTCCTTACTCAAAAGGCCCTTCTTGGTGTGTCGGAGCTTGAAGTTCTCATCGGGGAACTTTTGGCCATAGATGGATTTTCCGCCAGTGCCTACAGTTTCGGAAAATTAGCCTGGATTCCAATACTAGATCCGAAAGTAGCCCATGATCACTAACCATCGTGGTTGGTGAAGTCACCACCCTGAATCATAAAGTCCTTGATGACACGGTGGAAGGTAGAGCCTTCGTATCCAAAGCCCTTCTCACCGGTTGCCAATGCGCTGCTACCATTTAGAGTCCGAAAAGGTGTTTCTGGAGACCATACGTTCTTACCGGAAGTTCTCAGCGGTCTATGCAATATGAATTAGCACAGATCATTCTCCTTACAACGCGCCATCCACATTCAGTGCAGCTCACCTTGGGAACGGTCTTGCCGTAGAGCCCCAGAACTATTCTTCCCATAGGCTTATCCCCATGCTCGATATCGAAATACACCTAGTTATTGTAAAAATGTTGGAACATCGTAGTCTAGAGAGAGGGTGTCAGCATTCGTACCTTGTTGGTGACCTTTGGTCCCTTAGCCTCAGCCCTGGACACAAGCAGGAAGAGGGCAAGGAGGACGATGGAACCCAGCGCCACAAGGCGTTTAATGCTAGACATGGTCGCGAAATTGTAGGATAAACAGCCCAAACACTCTTAAACAAAGCAGAGCAGTCAATTGATAGTTCTGTGTTGGACGGGCGGGAGGAGAGGCCAACTTTCATGGATGGATGGCCGGCTTGAAACACGCGGAACAATGTTTCCCCGTTGCAGCCCGCACCTGAGCCTTCCAATAACACCAATGGATGGAAAGCGATCAGCAAAGCTTCCATCGCAACCTCAGCCGTCGCATTCAAAAGAGCCTAGAGACAGTTGGATCCAATTCCGCGGGCAAAATGGTAAATTCATTAGACTATGGCAGTGATATCGGTCACTAATCTCTCCCGTAGGTTTACATCCTCGGCGTCAGCTTTCCCGAGCGGCAACTCGTCTCTGTACGCAATTTTTACACTCTTCCTAACCCACTAACTCGCCTTCAATGTCCTAACCCGACTTCATAGAAATCCCTCCTATCCTTCTTCGGAGTTGGCCCATCCGTATGCGCTCGCCTCATGGCCCGCCATAATGTGCACCCGACCGCGAGAATTGGCGACCTAGCGAACAAGCAAGTCCTCGACATAACTTCAGCCCTATCCAACATGAAGATCGAGAACGACCTCCGTCGAGAGATTCTGGATAATATTCGACGTTTGAAGGATACGGGAACATATCGCGGAAGGAGACATGCATTGAACCTTCCAGTGAGGGGACAGAGAACGAGAACTCAGGTCAGTCTTGCAAACTATTACGCAGCTATTGATGCCCTTTTTTGCGTCGATTGTCGAAGCTGACGAGATCCCAGACCAAAACTGCCATTAAACTCAATGCTATTGAGCGGAGACTATGAGGGCATAAAATGAATCGAACGTGTGTATATTTTCGTGTTTCTATACCTAGGATTTAAGGCGTTCGCGCGGCGTTCGAAATTCGGACATGTACAGTACAAATAGATGGGATGAGTTTATGCAAAATTAGGACCGTCTGCTCAAAATCGTTTGAAAAACACAAGAGTTACAAATATATATATATTTTTCAGCATTAGGAGCGGCCGTTGGATCTGGAAAGCCAACTTATTAGGCAGTCTTCGGGACAACCCCCTCTCCACGATTTATCTGAATGACTTTGTCCTCACCCACGCTCACAATTCCAACTTTCTTATCCCAACAGACATCAAACACCTTCACTCCATCCCCTCCTACTCGCTTGCCCTCACCTGCGCTCTTTCTAGCAATCGTATATATGCTCTCACTCACCACGCCGTTTGTATCCGTTTTCGTAGATCGAATATCCCAGATCCTGCATGTACCATCGTGACTTCCACTTATTAAGCCGTATGTACTGTCTGGATCCCTGGCAAGACATACAACCGCATTGGTATGCCCTCGCAGCGTCATCGCGGACACTGTCGTAGCCGAAGCCCGAGGGTCAATTAAAGTAACATGTCTGGCCGCCGAGCCCGCAGCAAGAAGGGTGTGTTCGGGGAGGTGCTGGGCACACAGTAAAGAGTGAGAAGTAGTGCGAGTGTCAACTAGAGCGGCAGTGACAAGGTCCCATGTGCGAAGCGAGTGATCCCAAGACGTTGAATATCCGACTGTGGAATCTTTGGCGTCGAAAATTGCAGCGGAAACAGGAGCAGTATGACCCTTGAGCAAAGCTAATGGTCCGCGTTGGGAAGTGCTCGCGGAGGAGTTTAGTTTCCGTCGCTTGGAGCTTCTCGCTGAGCTTGAAGGGAGCAGATTCTGAGGCACAGCTGGGGACTCGGACTTTTTCGTGGACCAGAACCCAACCGTGTGGTCCGCAGACGCCGACAAAATCCGGTTTCCATGAACCGCTATCGAATCCACACTGCTTTTGTGACCATAATATTCGATCTGCGGAGTTATCCCCTTTTCTTGGTCTGTATATTTCCACAATCGCACCGTCCTGTCTATTCCTGAAGACACGATCTGACTCGCCGACAAAAATCTCACGCACTTAATCGCACTCTGATGCCCTCCATCTTTCGCCGACGCCGACGTATGAATAATCTCTGACGACATATTCCACACCCTCAACAGTCCATCATAACTCGCCGATATAATCCTCTCTTCATTTTGGCTGTCACTAAGCACGTCCACCGAACTTACCCAATCATCATGTAAAAACGATGCAACATGCAATGGCGGAATAAGCGCGCGCACGTACTCGACATCAAGGGTTGTTTCGGCTGATATACCGTTCGCCGTGAGAAACTCATCAACGGAAGTGCGAAGGTACGTGCCGTTTATAAGAAATTCTAGCGGAACGGGCTTTTCGGTAGCGAGGAGGTTGTTAACAAGGGTAGAAAGAGCATATCTTCGTAGACCTAAGTTTATTCTGCATGAGAAACGTTTTCTTCTAGATTTTCATCTTTTTTCCTTCTCCAGTTGCGCGACTTCGTACCTGTAGGGACGAGGATAGGCCCAGTTGACTCGGGAAGCGCAAGATCTTCATCTCTGGTGCTAAACCTGAGTCTTACTTGTGTCTGCGCAGTCTGTGACTGTACTTCTAAACTCGACTCCTCCGCCATCCTTATTATTGCAAGGGCAGTTTTTCTTTTTTGTTTATCTGTTGCTGCAGAGTCTTTTGCGCAAGACTGCAAAATTGTTGACCGGGAAATTTTTGTACGGTGGCCGAAGCGGCAAAACATGCAATTCCGATTATGGGCTACCCAAGTTAAATCTAACAGAGAATAAAAAATGAAGCCACAGATACTGCTTATTTACGGGGTAAAAGGTCGGAATACCAGTATATATATATCCTATTTTATTTATGGTTCTAAGATACACCAGCAGTCCGCCGTATCTCCGCAATCGCCCGCTTCCTATGGTCCGAGTCTGCAAAAAGGGCTTTGATCAAATCAACCAACTCATCCACATCAAACTCCAACTTCAATTCTCCTTCAGTCCACATGTACTTGATATCCGCCAGAGAACTCTCAAGGATATTTATTAAATACTGGAACTTCAGCCAATTCGGAACGTACATGGCCGTCATTGGTATCGCTTCTGGCTGGTTGGCGGCATTGGGATCTGTGCTAGGATCAGGAAGAAATAGATCCTCTAGATTGGACAGACTGGTGCAGAATTCAGCCAGTCGCCGGGACTCAGCGTCTGAAATGTCGCTCAAATCTTCGATATCTAGTATTAATTTGTTTATCGCTGCCGATATGAGTCTTCCCATTGATTGAAGGAGTGCAGAGCGGGATAAAATTGGTTGCCACTCCTTGTATACATCTCTCACTCTGTCGACTGCTGCAGCCATTGCATTTTTGCACTCTCCCAGAAAGGGCTCTTCAGAACAGGTTGAAAATCCCTGACAGCCATCAAGAAGATCACTTAAGATAGTACGCTGCGACTGAAGCTCCTTTCCGTATGCTGCCTTGCCAAATTTTTCGATAGACTCAACATCCGAGCTTAGCTTGGGGAGATTTTGGGCCTCTGAAAATGAACGTAGTTTTTCTGCAAGATACATGCAATCATTATATAGGTGCATCTGACCGGCATCGAACCTATGAGAGTATAGTACTGGCGCCGTGGCTTTGAACATTGCAACAATCAATGTAGGCAATGCAAGTAGAGCAGGCCGCGAAGAAGCCAGCTTCAATTGAGAGCTCCTGACCTAATTAGTGGATTAAACAAGTATATATAGGATGATGGAGTCTCACCCTAAATTTGTCAAATCCTCAGCGTCGGCGACTTGGTTAGATATGATAGTAAGAATACGATCTGGTAAATCTGTTACGGCATAGTACTCCTTCAAAATCAACTCCCGCTGAGAGTCTTTGTGATCGCCGCCATGTCCCTTAGCTTGCGAATTTAATTCAGAGCTCGCTTCCGGTTGAGCAGCCGCTGGAGGCTCTTCATTGTCGTCATCCCAATCCCAAGACTCGTCAGCGTCGTCTTCGTTTCCGGGGTCTGCTTGGTTTTCCGTTTCTTCCGAAGTTGTTTTAATGGTTGTGCTCTTTAGGGTATCTTCGTCTTCGTTGTCACTCCATTCAGCATTCCAATCATCCTCACCATTTCCTTCAATGAACATGCCGTTGTCCCCGGATACATGCTGCTTCTCGATTCTTTCTACCTTCCGGATTTTCCCAGTACTATGGGACATAGCCAGTCGCACATCATTCAAGGCCTTGGACCGTCGTTGGCTAAGCCACAGGCGGGGAACTTGTCCAACCCAAGCACCAAGCCCTTCCAGTCCGTGCCAGCCTTGCTTTTCTAAATCTGAAACAAATCGATGGATCCGGTCCAGTGTTCCCTGGAATGCCTCAAGCGAGGAGACTTCGCTTGGGACCGAAGGTGATAGCCACTTTGTTGTCAATGGTGAAACGATGGTACCGGCGAGGGTGGTGAACAGGCATTCAAGGATGTTAGAGGGCAGGTTTTCTTTGAGATACGAAAATGCCGATAGTACACTGTTTAGCAAATCTGAAAGTAGTGGTCGCGATGGGGCCAGGACTAGTCGCAAACAGTTTCCATCCACAGAGAATATGCGCCATTGGCCCGTCTTAACGGGGAAGATGACAGGCCGAAGGATGTAGTTGATCAGATCCTTTTGAAAAGAACTGACAACATCGTCCAAAACTTGTAACCTGGTCAATCCAGCTAAAATATCGGGAAAATGATCTGATCTGGGAGTAAGCAATAGACATGTACAGTGGCTTAGCCAAACATACCGCTACCGTGTATGGTGATTGTTGGCTGATCTGAGGTGGCATCGATTTTGATCAGAGTGCTCCATTCGGCTCGAAGGGCATTGGAAATACCGGCATGCAGCTGCGTGACTTTTGTGGACAATAAACCGACGATATTGGTGCTTTGGGGAAGCTTGCTACTGGCTAGTGAATCCCCAATATCGTCCAAAAGATCAATAGATCTTATCCATTCACCGCGATCAAGGGCTAACTGTGCATTTGCAAGTTTATTGTCAATCAAGCGCGCTTGCCCCAGTGTTTCTAGTATAGCTTCATTCGACACAATGTCCTCATGTAGTTGGTCAACCGCGGATTGCGCATCAGAGACCCGGTCACGAAGCGCTCGTCCCTTTTCGTGTAGTGTAACAATTTCTCTAGCGGTCAGCCGAGAGCGTTCTATATCCTGATGCAGCTTTTTTGCTTGAACTATCCAGTCGTCTATATTCGTCGCTGTTTCTCGGCTGAGGGTTGATATTTCATTCTAATTGAGCGGGAGCATTAGTGTTGGGCTTCCCAAAAATGGCTGTGTTAGAACGCACCTCAACCTCTTTCTTGGCCGTTGTTATCTCTTGCAGCTCAGTCGGGATGACCTCTAGAGGAAATTCGGTCGACACGAGGTCTTCTGAGTCGGGGAACTTCCCGTCAGTGATGAACCTGAGCAGCGCTTGACATATGGCATCGCTGGAGGGACTGGAAGCCATTGTGAATATAAATCACTATGCTCATTCAACCAGATAAACAATCAATGTTGGAAATCATCTGCCCCTGACTGTATCAAAGTTAAACATCATATTAACGCATCCATTATGAACCTGCTCGGGCCATCAATAGCTGCTGGCGCTGAGGACAGCCAAGCATCCTGCGCCGCTTTGTCTGTTGGCAAACGCCCAAGCCTGGGATGTGGTCACATGTTGCAGCTGACTCACTTGGAGGTCAACTGTCACTCAGCCCAAGCTCTCGGCGGGCTGCCTTCTCACGAGATAAATACTTCATAAAACAAACAGATTGCTATCCATCCTTAATATTGGCGCATAGGCCCTGGTCTTCAGCCTTGTGTCTGGCCTCTATCTCCTTTCAACCGCTCCCACTTTTGCCTCCCCAACTAACTATTCTACTTCCCCATCTCCCTGCTGCTTCATGCACCCCGCACACCTCTTCTGTACCTACCTAAGCTACGGAGTATATTTTTGTCTTAACAATTAGAAAGAAGTCAACTTGGATGCTTTGGTCCACCATAGTTACTAGGCATTAATAGTTGATAAGAGACCCTTTCAAGTAAGGAATACGCTTCTATCTCATCGCCTTTCTGCGTTCAAACATCTCATTGGAACCTGCAGCACCTGTTCCCCTCACTGATTGTGTTCACTGTTCTGCGCAGCGCAATCCTCTATTTTTTCCCGTCGCCTGCAAAACCCCAGTTGCACAATTCATTAATGGATTCAAGGGTACACCCGGACCAAACCACCCCTTTGTGTTTTCATTTTCTTCTTCCTTATACCTTGTCTCTTGCGTCATTATGTCACAGGCAGTGATATGACCCTTTTCTGCTGACTGAATCTGCTAACAGTCGAACTAGCTTATCCAAAATCTCTACCTATCTCCTTCGTCAAATTTCTCTAGAAGGCCCTGAGGGTAGTTCAACAATGGGATCTCACAATGGTGGTAGAAGCTTTTTTCGCCGGCTTCAAAAATTCAAGCCAGACTACTCTGCTAGCACTTTTACGCACTACGAGTCTGAAAGGACTGGAATGAGAGCCGTGGTTATAGATCAAAAGGGACCCAAAGTCTATGGATACTTTGTGCTTGCAACGGAGATTCATGATGATTCCGGCTCACCCCACACCCTAGAGCATTTGTGCTTCATGGGCTCAAGAAATTTCCGATACAAGGGCTTCCTTGATAAGCTGGCTACCAGACTCTATTCTGACACAAACGCGTGGACTGCCACCGACCATACGGCCTACACCCTCGATACTGCAGGATGGGAAGGTTTCTCCTTGATCTTGCCAATATACCTAGAACATATCATCGCGCCCACACTCACCGATGCTGGATGTTATACCGAGGTATATCATATTGACGGTACTGGCCACGATGCAGGCGTGGTATACTCTGAAATGCAAGGCGTGCAAAATCGCTGTTCTGAATTGATAGATTTACGATGTCGTAGACTGCTGTACCCAGAAGGCGTAGGCTTTCGCTATGAAACTGGTGGAATGATGGAGCAGCTCCGAGTTCTCACAGCAGAACGCATTCGTGCTTTCCACAAGGAAATGTATCAGCCGAAAAACCTGTGCCTGATCATTGTCGGAGAAGTGGACCATACCGATCTTCTCTCTGTCCTGGATAAGTTCGAAGATACGATTTTGGACGTTATTCCTAGCCCTAACGCTCCCTTCCAGCGCCCATGGGTAGAATCTACTCCAACACCGCCCCTTCAAGCGTCTGTCATCGACACCGTCGAATTTCCAGAGGAGGATGAGTCCTTTGGTGAAATCGAGATCCGATTTCTGGGGCCAGATTGCAATGACCGTGTGCAGAGTATGTATCTTATCTTGTACGATGACACTTTGACATCTGTTAACAGGAAATAGGTGCCGCACTTAATGTCGCATTATTGTATCTTGCCGGGTCATCAGCTGCGCTCCTAGAAAATGTGCTAGTCGAAAAAGAGCATGTTGCTACGGCGGTTTACTATATGACAGATGAGAGACCTCGGACAGAAATCCGCTTTACCCTAACTAGCGTTGCGACTGAAAGTTTGCATGATGTGGAGCGCCGATTTTTTGAAGTCCTTAGAGGAGCTATGCAAGAGCAAATTGACATGAAATACATGCGCGAGTGTATCCAAAGGCACAGGCGTAACTGGAAATTTGCGACGGAGAACTCGGCATCCTCGTTTGCAGACTATGTCGTAAATAGTTTCCTATTTGGCGACAAAAACGGATCCAGACTTCTCGACGTCGCAACCCTGCAAGAATACGAAGAGTTGGAGTCGTGGCATGACAATCAATGGCGAGGATTCATTAAGCAGTACATGGCGGACGCTCCCCATATTTCAGTGCTTGGTGTTCCCTCCGCGAAGCTTGCCGCCAAATTGAAAGCTGATGAAGAGGCGAGAATTGAAGAGCGAAAGCGAAAGCTCGGAGAGAAAGGATTGAAAGAACTGGCTGATAAACTATCAAAGGCAAAGGCTGAAAACGATAAGCCAATACCCCGTGAAATCCTGGCTAAAATTCAGGTCCCGGATACGGATTCAATCCATTTTGTCCATACAACAACGGCTAAATCAGGCCATGCGTTGAAAGGAGGGCGACCTAACAACAAAATCCAGCAGTTGATAGACTTGGACGGTATGGATTCGCCGATGTTCATCCATTTCGAGGATATAAATAGCAATTTTGTCCAGTTCTCCTTGGTGATTTCCACTCAAGGCGTGCCCGTAGAGCTCCTCCCCTTGCTGTCGGTCTACACCGAAACTTTCTTCAGCCTTCCAATTGACAGAAATGGTGAGCGTGTCTCGTTTGAGCAGGTGATAGTTGACCTCGAAAGAGATACCGTCGGATATACCATGGACGGCAGCCCTGGAAATTCTGAGATGCTGGCAATAACATTTCAGATTGAGTTGGAGAAATATGAGACTGCTATCTCATATCTGAAGGAGCTAACATGGAATTCGATTTTTGATCCCGAACGTCTCATTGCTGTTACGACTAGATTATTCTCGGATGTTCCAGATGCAAAGCGAAGTGGAAGTGGCATGGTCGGCGGCGTTCGTTATATGGTCCAATACGCTCCAGAGTCTATTGTTCGGGCGAGGTCAACATTGGTGAGAGCTAAGTACTTGAAGCGCATCAGCAAACTTCTTGCAAAGGATCCAGAGAGCGTTGTGCAGCGGATGGAATTGATCAGGAAAGCCCTATTCCAGCCCGAAAATCTGCGAATCCTTGTCATTGGTGATCTGGAAAGACTCCCAAATCCGGTTTCATCTTGGAAACCATACATTGAAGGTCTTGATATGTCAAAGCCGCTGCTGCCTCTCGTTAAACAAAGTGAACGGCTTAGCGACGCTGGAAAAGCACCTGGACAACTTACATACATAGTACCGATGCCAACTATCGATACATCTCACGTGAATGCAAGTGCCAAAGGGTTGAATTGCTACGATCACCCTAAACTGCCGGCACTTATGGTCGCTATTGCTTACATGAATGCGGTGGAGGGCCCCTTATGGGTGGCCGTGCGAGGCACTGGTCTAGCCTACGGGGCGAGCTTTAGGCATAATGTTGAAACTGGCCTTATCCACTTCAACATTTATCGCTCACCCAACGGTTTCAAGGCATTTGAGGCAGCAAAGAAAATCGTGGATGATCATTTATCTGGAGTCGCAGCGTTGGATCCCATGATGTCACTTGAAGGTGCCATCAGCACCATTGTGGCCGGCTTCGCGAACGAGCAAGCCACATATATTCTTTCAGCACAGGAGAGCTACATCCGACAGGTAATTCGGAACCTTCCTCCAGATTATAAGGAAGCTCTTTTGAAGAAAGTACGGGCTGTCACCATTGACCAACTGAAGGAATCACTCCGAGAGATGGTCTTCCCAGTTTTTACCCCTGGTAGCTCAGATATTGTGGTAACATGTGCTCCTGTACTTGAAGAGGTAACTTACTCCCTTTCTGGCGCAATGAGCACCGTATGCTAACATGCACACCAGAGAATTAAAACCGGATTTGAATCTCTAGGGTTTAAACCGGAAGTGCAGCCTCTAAAATATTTCGAAGATGACTATGGACTACAGCTGGACGACGATGAAGAGGACGAGGACGAGGACGAGGACGATGAGGATGGTGGTTTAGACAGTGACACTGGAAGTGAAGAAGACGAGGAATAGGCGCATCGAGACTATGGATGACGTGAAGATAGAAGGAACAAATGCATAAATTAGTTAGCTAGCAAACAAATCACGAGAAGAAAGCCAGCGATGTGGTGTGCATATTATCATAAGATGAATACTGCATATGGAGCTGGTGCTCTGTACTCCGTAGAGCGAGTCGCTTCGTCGAGATTCTGTTTTCGGTTTAGCAGCAAAAAGTCGCAGGCAAGCTGAGCCCCACTAAATCCAGTCACTTTTTTGCCATTCACAGACCTCAACCAACATCCCCAAAACCACCTTTTCACGCAACCAACACCCTACCTCCCGGGCTGCCCTGACACACAGCTTGCGACCTACTCTAGATCTCCCGCAATCATGGCGCCAATGAGTGATTATTCTGAGGACGAATCCCAGCCGGGCTCACCTGTGCTTGGTGCCGCTGACCGGAACGGAGTTGAGCAGGATTTTGACCAACACGAAGACGACCTCGAAGATCAAGAGACTAAACCACTCAAGTCTGCATTAAAAAAGCCCTCATCCGCTCCCCCAACATCCGCAGAGAAGAAGCCAGAACTCCCAGAGCAGCCTGACCCAGACACCTTGGACCTATCCAAGCTCACTCCCTTATCACCCGAGATCATTGCGCGACAAGCAACAATCAATATCGGCACGATTGGGCACGTCGCTCACGGAAAGTCGACGGTGGTGAAGGCCATTTCTGGGGTGCAGACTGTTCGATTTAAGAATGAGCAGGAGAGAAACATTACAATCAAGTTGGGTTATGCGAATGCGAAGATTTACAAGTGTGATAATCCCGACTGTCCGCGCCCGGGGTGCTACAGGAGTTTTAAGAGCGAAAAGGAAGTCGATCCGCCGTGTGAGAGGGATGGCTGCTCAGGCACATACCGTTTACAGAGACATGTTTCGTAAGGATCCCGTCGTTCTACATTGCGACCCCTGCGTTGCTAACGCCTCTCCAGTTTCGTCGACTGTCCCGGCCACGATATTCTCATGAGTACTATGCTTTCAGGTGCCGCTGTCATGGATGCAGCGTTACTTCTGATCGCCGGAAATGAAACCTGCCCCCAGCCACAGACATCTGAACATTTGGCTGCCATTGAGATTATGAAGCTTAACCACATTATCATTCTGCAAAATAAGGTCGACCTTATGAGGGAAGAAGGCGCTCTCCAGCATTACCAGTCGATATTGAAATTCATTCGCGGCACAGTTGCAGACGGATCTCCCATAATTCCTATCTCGGCACAGTTGAAGTACAACATTGACGCTGTCAACGAGTATCTCTGCACACACATCCCCGTCCCCATGCGTGATTTCACCGCATCTCCTCACATGATTATCATCCGTTCCTTCGACGTCAACAAGCCCGGATGTGAAATCGAGGACTTGAAGGGTGGTGTTGCCGGTGGTTCCATTTTGACCGGTGTATTGAAGCTCAACGATGAAATCGAGATCCGGCCCGGTATCGTCACAAGAGATGAGCAAGGCAAGCTCAAATGTCGCCCAATTTTCAGCCGTGTTATATCTCTTCTCGCCGAACAGAACGATCTCAAATTCGCCGTTCCTGGTGGTCTTATTGGTGTCGGAACAAAAGTCGACCCCACTCTCTGCCGTGCCGATCGTCTTCTTGGTTTCGTTCTTGGTCACCGTGGTAAACTTCCTGCTATCTACAGCGAACTCGAAGTTAATTACTTCCTCCTACGTCGGTTACTTGGTGTCAAGACTGCAGATGGCAAGCAAGCCAAGGTTGCTAAACTGTCGAAGAACGAAGTTCTCATGGTAAACATCGGCTCTACTGCTACTGGTGCTAAGGTCATGGGTGTGAAGGCAGACGCTGCGAAATTGAGCTTGACCAGTCCCGCTTGTACGGAAATTGGCGAAAAGATTGCCCTTAGTCGAAGAATTGACAAGCATTGGCGTTTGATCGGATGGGCAAATATTGTCGCGTAAGTAGCGTCTGCGTGCTTGTCTTTAATCATATGCTAACTACCGTAACAGAGGAAATACCCTTGAACCTATTCTCGAGTAAATTAACACGTTCTCCCGTTAGCCCTTTCGTATAAACAAGAGGGCAAATATGAGCACATTTGATCGGTGTGGCAGAGATGTGTGTTTAGATGTCAGAAACCCATTTTTGTTTTAGGCCATCAAAAAAAAGTATCATAATCATGGGAACATGCGGTCCGAAAATTTATTGCACGCTTAGCTTTCTACCCTGGATTTTTTATCTCACCAATTTCTATCAGGATGACGAAAATGCCCGTTGCTTTTTTCTTTTCATTTCCAGTTTCTATGATTCTTGTTGCCGTTGTCCGTGTTCAGGTGGCTTTCTTTCTTTTCCTTTTTTTTTTTTTTTATCCCGTCTTCTCTTCCTGCGGCTTATTTACGGCATAGATAAAGTTTGCCCGGGGTGGGCTCATGGTAGCTACGTATTAGGCTCTTGAAATGCAATGTGATGATGATTGATAAAAGTAGTTTTGACATCTATAGTACATACACATCTTGCACGCGAGTCCATAGCTACTGATACAGTAATAAAACAACCAAACGGTACGACGAGCGTGCCCGGTGGAATCCCGGCGAAGAGGATATGGATCTCACCATGGCAATGTGAAGACGGGCGTGCTTTTTCCCAATCAATGCCTGCCGCGATTCCACCCAACTGGGACTCGAGTAAAATCGTACATAGTGCACACAAATGAGGCGACACGCTCCGCATCAGGTTTTAAGGCAATCCTCCTCTACCATCCCTGATAAAACCCACAAGATCAGCCGCGGCACATACATCCAATTTACCAAGTTAGATATTTCCGTCCTTTGAACCTTCTCCTCGATAGGACATTTCGCCCGCCTCTACACCGCAATCTCGCTAGGAACCCGTGTCGACGTTTTTGAACTCTCCGAGACGGATTGTATGTGTTTCGTTTTGCTCCCAGAGCGGCAGTGGTGGAGAACTGGCGGGAAGCGCTTCCTGGAGTGGAGAGCAGGAGTGATGAGAATGTAGTAGAGAGCGGGGATTGTGTCGTCGTGCGCGTAGGAGGGAAGAGTGAGCGGAAGGTTGATGAGGTGGCGAAGGATAGGGACCGTGCTGGTTGGAATGGTGATCGGGGTACGGTTTGTCTAATGAATCCTTAGTTAAACGTGATAGTTCAGCTTGCAGAGGGGACAGAGGCCTTACGATAAAGCTGTTCGAGAAATCCGGTCCACAATTCGTCTGGTAGGACTGAGGCTGAAGGACACTGTCCTGCTGCCACGGAGGCACATCATTTTCAAGACTCGTTCTCACTCCGTGGATTCTCGTATTGACCTGGAATCAGTCGACTTCTTCTCTGAATTTAGACTGAGATTCCGTGGCTAAGCAGATATCAGTATCAAATTCCAGTGACTCTTGCGCCAGAGGTCGGGCGGTTGAAAAAGAGACTACCAAGATTCGCAGCGCACGGACCACCTCCACTAATTTCTCCGGGATATTTTTTCTCTCCCCAGCACACTTGACCGACGAACAACTCGGATGCGGCAACGAGATACCAATTGGACATCGATTTCTCCTGATTAAGTGACAATGGTATTCCAAGCTAATCCCAATCCTCTCCCGCCAACCCACATAAACTCCACACGCCGCATCAGCCCCTCCGATGCTCATGCCTTCCTGTCCGCATATCTCGACCGCGCAGCGACCGACCCATCCTACCAACCAGACAGTACTCTATCTGCACACGGTCCTGTCTCTGCAAACACCGGCTCAGCACCCAACCTTGTGATTCACAGCTTAAAACGCGTCTGCGCCGGACTCGGGGGTGAGGTTTTGGGGAGAGACATTGTTTTGGAGCAACAGTTGCAGCAGGGCGATCAGGGAGCGAAGAATTTTACGGACGGGGAGGAATGGGGAGGCAAACCAAAAGGAAAGAAAGCGCCTGCTGGTGAGAAGCGGGTTGACGGGTGGCAGGATCTGGAGAGTTTCGAGAGGGAGCAGCTTGACTTGGTGGATGGAGGTGATGGAGATGAAGAAGAAACTGTTGGGCCTACGGTCACTGAAGAAAATGTGGGCGTCGAGGATTATGACATAGCGGTGAAAGAGGCTACTATCGATAAGGAAGAGCGCAAACGAAAGAAGAAGGAAAGGAGAAAGGCGGAGCAAAGAGCCAGGGCTTCTGCTGCGAGCTAAGAAAAAAAAAATTCTACGCTGATCCATGACAAGCACCACGACGCCGCAAAGCCAGCTGTTATTGGTAAGTATCCCGTCCGGAAATCCAAAACCAAAAATATGGAAAATCGGTCCCCAAGAGGTAGCGGGAACGAAGTTTGATAACGAGTGTTTCTTATAGCTCCCGATCCGCTGCCTTGACAGGCTTCTCCGAGTCTTCACTTTTGGCAGTAACCTTTCCTCCCTTCCAGCCAAGAGCACCAAGTCTCTCGGGTAGAATAGGATGCGAATAATGATAGCTGGCATACATCCAGTCTGCATCCATAGTCGAGAGATTTTGAATTTGGAGCTTCAGAAGCGACCTGGCCAGTTCGGCTGAGTAGCCAAGCTTGACCGCAAACGCGTCTGCAAAAAAGAAAATTAGCCTCGACAGCCGAATTTGAACGGCAACTAGGAAGACGTACCAGCCTCGAACTCGAACTTTCGGCTGAGAATATTCATCAATAGCTTGACAATTGCGTCCATTGGTGCCAATGCATCCGAGAACAAGAGGAAACCGATCATGATTGGGTATTCATCGTGGAAACCAAACGAGTTATACAGAGATTTGTTGCTGATGAAGGCGGAAAACAAGGCGAAAATATAGAACATGTGGAACTGAGACCTGTTAGCGAGAACATTAGGGTGCATTTGCATTGTATATACATACCTGGGCGATTCCGAATAGCTTGGTCGTATGGCTCAAACTCCAGTGTCCAAGTTCATGACTCAGGACAGCCACAACCTCCTCAGGTTCGCTCTTCTCAATCAAGGTGTCATAGATGACGATGTGCTTCTTCCAGGGTAGTCCATAGAAATATGCGTTGCTATGAGCGCTTCTTTTGCTTCCGTCGATAACGTAGAGCTCCTTGAGTGGGAACTGCAGTTTTTGTGCGAGAGCTTCCACGCCAGTCTTCAGAGTGCCAGGTTCCAAAGGAGAGAGCTTGTTGAATAGGGGTAGGATAGCAATTGGGTAGATGGTAATGGCGAAGAGCTGAACGAACATGCCAAACAACCAGAGGTAATAGAAGAAACTAGTGCCTGTTTTTTGGACGATTTTCAGAATGGCGCTGATGATCGGAGCACCAAGAACAACACCGAGCATTTGTCCCTTGAGCATATCCGAAACCCATAGTTTGACTGTCTGTTTGTTGAATCCGAATTTTTCCTCGAGAACAAAAGTGCTATAGTACGAGACGGGGATAGAGAGTAATGTTGTGATGAGGTTGAACGTGAAGACAAAGACCAGCGTATGAGTTATTTCACCTTGAAACCGTTCAGGAAGATACCGTGTCAGCCAGAGACCAGTGACAGCCCAGAGTTTCGGGAGTGCATCGTAGTAAATGAAAGCGAGATTCTGAATTTGACTATAAAGCCCGGAGACGAAACCGAATTTGGCCTTTGCTCGACCATATGCCTGACCTAAGATTAGTATGGTATAGTTCTATTGCGAAAATAGGGGGGAAGGCAATAGTAAATGGCGAGGAAACTCTCAAGACGAACCTGACTCTTATCGAATACCTCTTGCGAAACCTCGCCTTCGAGAACCTTGGGCGGTTTCTTCTGTTGCAAAATCCTGTATTGGCGAAGGGATAGAAATCCCTCAAGAAGATATTGCCCAAGCGAAAACCCGACAATTATCTTTTTCCATGGGAAGAAAGGCTGATCAAGCAGCCGGGCAAGTTGCTACACCAAGCAGATCAGCGGGAGATACAGCGTGAACTAATTGGCAAATTTGAACATACCTGAAGGATATACATGGCTGCAGCGCAAATCGACTTTTCGCAGTGCTTGCACAGAACTTGCCGTTCGTCCTCTTCAGCCCGGCCCCGAACGGTGACGATGATGCCAGGTGGTTTGAACAAAGACAGCGCGACTTGGGACACGGCGAACGCCTCCAGCTCCAAAACCCGCTTTAGTTACATAAGCCGCCGGCCCCCGGGGACTGTTTCTCCGCTCGGGTTGACTATACCATTTGGAGGCTGTTTCTCCGCGGCCCGAAATGTGAATTAGGTAAGGTTGGAATTGACTCTCGACGGTAACTCCCTTACAGTAACTGGTCTTTTTTACAATGCGAGCTACCAACGGTGCGGGAGGAACTGGATCCAGTTACCGGTCGGGAATTGATAAGACGAAAATATTTTATATTATCATTCCCTTTCGTCATTGCTCAGCTTTCGCTTTCTTCACCACTTGACTCGGACTCGTCAGCCTCTTCATCGCCCGACAGTCCGCTAAACTCATCATACAACTCCTCGTCCCCTTCCGCTTTCGCCAGCATGAATGCTTTCAGACATGTAATTCTGTTTCCGGTTTCATACGTTCCCAACAATCGCCCAACATCCACCGGCCCGTGTCCTTCTCGGCTGGCTTGCTTTTCCTTCTTTTTCCTTTTGCCCTCCGCCCCTCGAGATTTCTCGTTGCTACATAACTCCTTCGGATCCAGGACCCAGAGCTTCACCATCCCGTCACTTCCAGCGGTGACGATGATGAGAGTCCGTGGATGCCCCAAGGCGGATTTCGTCTGTAAGAATTCGAAATCCTTTATTCTCGAAGATTGACCTTTTTCTTTTCCGCCCAACTGGCACCTCAACTGCGCAGCAGCAATTGAAGACTTGCCGTTCGATCTTTCACCTTGCTCCAATAAACCGCCATCGGTAGAGTAGAACAAAATTCGACCGTCCTCTGTGGATACGGCGAGAAGCTCGCGGGTGCTGGACTCCTCTGCATCATCATCACCCGTTTGTACGTATTTAATCTGATGGACCTTTGTCAGAGGAGACGGTAGGATGTAACATTTTGCCACGGAGTCCTAGAATCGTGTGTCTTAGTATCCGGTCTCATGTTGAGCGAAAATAAAAACAACTTACAATGCCGAACACAACCACACCGCGATCGAATGCCACAGCAAACTCCTGGCCAGCAGAGTCCCACACAATCTTCTTCCCCTCTCCATTGCTCCATTTGCCTTCCTTGACAGTCTCTAATACATCTCGTCCAAAGTTCAAAACGCCAGCTTTCTTGCCAGTCACTAGGTTCCAGAGCCTCATGCACTTTTCACCCTTCCCAACACTCAACATAAGCTTCATACTGGGGTGTACCGCAAAGTCATTGATCCCCGCGGGAGCTGCACCTGCTGGGGCGGTGTCACCACTCGGCCGCCCCACAGCTTTTGGTCGTGGCGCCTTGATCGTAGATACAACCGACAAGTCCCTCGTTCTTGTCACAGATATCGTATTATCCTCGGCCGAAGCTAGCAATTTGGACCTTGTGGGGAAATACAGCGCGGAGATGCTGGACGAATGATGAAGCAGCGACCCCAGTTCGCGATTCTTCGGGTTTTCAAGGATTTTGTTTCCCGCAAGGGTCGGGACGGAAGGGAAGCTATCGTTTGTCGGTGTAGTGGTGGCGGAGAGGGTGTATAGGTTGATACGTTCATCAGTCCCACCGCTGGCGAGTATTACGTTTTGCGCCAGGGAGGAATCATCGGCGATGGGACTGAGAGCAAGGCAGCGGATTGCTGAGGCATGTGCATGGAAGAGAAAGGTATCAACGAATTGAACTCCCCCCTCCTTCTCGGTTGTGGTGTGCAGGGAGCTCTGAGAGATTGTCGCCGCAATGCCATGGAGAACCCGTTCGTATGAGCCTGTCACGATCTGGATTGTGATCTCATCTCTCGATGCAGGAGCTAGTGCCTCAGCTGTTTGTTTTTGGGATTTCCGGGGTTCTGCATCCTCTCGGGCCGTAGCCTCTTCCCTCTTTCGTTTCGCCATTTGGATAGCAAAATTGGGCTCTGTTTAATCAAAAAGGACCAATCCATCCTGGAGCTGTACACACGGGGAAGCTTTTACCTAGAAAATTTTGGGAGCGTGGATGCCGGGTATCGGATGAATAAAGATCCGGCGCGCTTGTCCGCGAACTCGTTGTTTCGCCCCCCAACCGTGTCACTCCCTGCGGAAACCAGGCGGCACAGTACGGAGGACGGAGCACGGAGCACGGAGGGTACGGGCTCCAACACAAGACTTTACGCCGTACAATCTTTTATGGCTGGGCTGTGAACCAAGGACTGGGCACCGCACGCTTCTCTGGCTCGCACAGCACGCAATCCCGTCCTGCAACGCTTGGTTCTGCCCTCGCTGAGACCACCACTCTCCTCAAACCACTGCACAGACTAAGTTGGATGTATCAGCCACAGAACCCCCCCCCCCACGGCGCTTTTCACCCTCCCCCAAAAGATCAAAAGTCATCGCCTGATTTGCCTAGAATTATTCCACCCCAAAAAATTTGTGACTCCTTTCCACACTTTTCATCAAATTACACCACAACCACTTCTTTTCCATCAATTCTGAGCGATTTTTCTGGGTTAAATGTCCTCAGAATAATTGTTCTTAATTTTTTTTCCGTGTAAATCGGATGTGGTTTGGCCGAGATTGACTCGATGCTCCGCGACGAGCTGCTCAAGGCCAAGAACGATGAGATCGAGTGCGTTTTAATTCTCCCAGTTCACATAGTCTTTCTCTCCGTGCCTTTTTGAGTAAAACTAATCGCTCCCTGAAATTTTTAGGCGTTGCGTGCAGTCGCGGAAGCGCAAACTGAGCGAACTGTACTTTGCGACCGTCGCCTGTCTTGGTACCAAGATCTCTCTCCAGAGCGAGCAGTATCGACGCCAGGAGGCTGCCTTTCTCGACGCGAATGAGATAACAAAGTATGTGCTGTCAATCACTACACCCAATTGCCATTCATTTGATCTTGCTTTAACGCGTGCCCTTTTACTAACTCGGGTGGTTAGAGGGCGATTCTATGACCAAAGCACGCTTCCGCTGCGGCCTAATGTCGCGACTGCCCATGCAGAAGTACCGAGCGACCACACCGTCCGCCACGCGCCCAAGCAACATGGCCCCGATGGTCAAAGCGAAAACCGCAACCTCTCTCCGGTTGAAGGCGCGCCATCGGGTGTAAATGGACCTGACACGCCGGATAAACCAGGCAAGGAATTTGTTGCTGCTTACCCTCGCGTCGACCTTGCACAGGCTATCACCACATCCAAGCTTCAACCAGGTGTTTCCTCCTTGCAGTCGCTAGGTCGGCCACCAAAGCCGGATGGTGTGCATTCAGGCACGTTACAGGAATCCGCCGCCTCGCCTCCTCAACCTCCTCAGTTCTATCCCTCCCCACTTTCATCCCAAAAGCAGGCTCCTTCCGACTCCGCCAACGCCTCTCCTGAAGCCAACCAGACACCTCCCACGCAGACCGCTATATCAGAAGCGCAAAAGCCGCGCTCAACGTCTATCGCTCTCCCTCAAGATGCTGCACCCTCGTCCCCAGTCTCCACGGGTCAGTCTTCTGTCCATACTTCTGCGACAGATAGATCCCCCGCCTCAACCTCGACGGAAGAGTCTATCACGTACCAAGAAGCAACCGCTAAATTTCGCGAAGAACCCTTGTCGCAGACATCAGGATACGAGGTAGCCATCACCAGCAAGGTTCCTTCCACACCAGATGAGCAATTGAAGTTTGAAGCTGCCATGTCCAATGCTTCTATTACGCCAAAACCACGCCACGACGAGGTCCGCCAAGAGGAGCTCTCGACGAACGTATCGCCGATTGGTGCTGCTTCGAACACCGTCTCAAACCAAGCAGGTGAAAATGCTGCCGTGCTCACTCCGTCTGAGACTCCCGTTGCACAGAGAGCTGTCTCGGAGTTGATCGAGCCTGCCCTTTCTACTGCTTCCGAGACGCTGAAGAAATCGCCCTCGGTCACTAGCGCTCCAGAACCAATTTCCCGACCTGAGCGTATGACAACTAGAGTATCGTCGGGTGCGATCCGACACAAATCGGTTTCCGAGATCCTGGGAGAAACGCCGCGATCTCCAGCCTCTCCTACGGATAGATCACCCAGTGATAAACTGTCCCGTGAGAGGACCGCATCTCCACGATCACAGGTATCTACCACGGAGTCTCAGCTACAGATGAAGGAGAGGCGGGATCGAAAGGGACGAAGCAAGCTCTCGACGGTTGTGTTCCCAAAACCGGCATCCCCGGAGAAACAGAAACTGCTCACCTTATCTAGCCAAACTGATGCGCCCAGCGCTAATGACCAGGATGACTACCTCTATCTCCTTTTTCTTGTTAAGGCTTACTTCCCTCCAAGGGGCATGCATCTTTCCACACTTATCGCGACCGCGCACAAGACCCTAAGTACTGCGAATCACATGACAGATTATGCAGAGCAGGCGAATACCCGAACGCTAAAACGTCTGTACCAACTTCAGCATTCAGGTAGGTGGCCTCTTCGACAGCTGCAGCGTTCTCCGGAGCCGCCCCGCTCGGCAGCCCATTGGGACATATTTCTTGACCATGTGAAATGGATGCGGATGGACTTCAGAGAAGAAAGGAAGTGGAAGATCGCCGCCGCAAAGAATTGTGCCGATTGGTGCGCAGAGTACGTTGCGAGCAGTGAGGAAGACCGTACGACACTGCGGATTAAAGTGCGACCACAACCAACAGACACCGAAATCGCGTCGAAAGCAGCGCCCCCAGCAGAAGAGCATCCTACACCGGATCTTATACCGTGTGCCGATGATGACTCCGTGAGTGATGGGTTCAACGACGAGTTTCAACCTGACTTGGACTATGGCGTCGTCCCGGCTGCAGTATTTTCACTTCCCTCTGACGAGTTTACCTTCCGCATGGAAAAGACGGTGGCAGCGGAAAAGATTCTTGATGAACTTCCCCTTTATACGCCCGCTAGGATTCTTCCTGGAACAAACAAACCCTCCTTCGAAGAATCGCCAGACGCAGTATGGAAAAAGGAAATAGCCCCTGTATCCAAGTGGATCGATGGCAAAATCCGTTTTACCGGGGAAGGCCCGCCGCGAAAAAAGAGCAGATATGACTATGATGCGTCTGACGACGAAGATGGCCCGGACAATTCTGTTGACATGACGCCAGAGAAAAATGATGTGGCACTTTTCCAGCCCGAAAATAAGCCTATTCGCGATCGTGTCCATCCGAGCCACTGTTTCCGTCCACCGACAGAATACCCAATGCCGTCGGTCGGCTTTTACGAGTCTCGACAATCCTCTCAGTGGACATGCGCCGAGGACGACGAATTACGTAGGCTTGTTCGAGAATATTCGTACAATTGGTCACTCATCTCAAGCTGCATGGGTTCACATTCAAAATTTTCTTCTGGAGCCGAAAGACGAACTCCCTGGGAATGCTTCGAGAGATGGATTGGCTTTGAAGGACTTCCTGCCGATATGGCAAAGACTCCTTATTTCCGAGCGTACACCGCAAGACTGGAAGCTGCACAGAGAACTGTTCTGGCTCAGCAACAGGCTGCTCAACAACAACAGCAGCAGCAGCAGCAGCAGAATGGCAATAACAACCCAACACCCCAGGCATTTATTCGCAGGCGAACAACTCAACCTATGAGAGTGGAGCGAAAGCGATCCTCGCGACATCTAACCCTTCTTGCTGGTATGAGAAAACTTACTCAGAAACGAGAGGCTGCGCTTCAAAAGCAGCAACATGGTGCGTATCACTCAAATCCATTGTCATGATGTGAGCTAACACAGGACTTCTAGGTGCACATCTTGCGTCCTTGCGGAAAGCCAACGAATCAAATCAACCGCGGCCTCCCATTTCTACACCAGCAGAGTTTAGCCGAATGAAGTTTGAGCGAGAGCTTAAATACCAAGAAAAGCAAGAGCAATATCGGCAGCAAATTCTTGCTCATCAGCGGGTACGGATATGTCATATTTCTTGTGCAGAAGCCCCTGGAACTAACTCGCTGATAGGCTGCTTTGGCTCAACGGGTTGCGCAGCAGCAACAGCAAAATTCGAACCAACAGCCTCTTCTTAATGGTATCCCACGCAGCTCCTCCGCAGTCTCAGCAAGCAGTGGAATGCAAAGTATGCCGGCTGGGACTTCAAACGGACTTCCGAATGGTATCCCCACAAATAATGGTATAAATCAGGCAAGGCCCCATACAGCCATGCAGGGAATGCCAAACGGGACACCTGGTAGTACACCTATGCCACCAGGTGGAATGCCACTGAAGATGATACCCCAACCCGGGCTCCAGCCAACGATGAATGCCCGTCCTGGGATGCCCTTATCATCAAATTCAGATAGCGCTCGCATTATCCGTGAAGCAAACCGTGTTCAAGAGCAACAGCGTCTTGTGCAGTCCCGGCAGCAGCAGCACCAGTTCCATAACCCACAGCCGTTTGTGCAACAAGTTCCACACTCGTCTCCCAATATGACCATCCCAAGTGTCAATTCGGCCCCGGCCAATGGCTCGATGATGGGTGCCTTTCAGGCTGTAAGTGGCATTAGCAGCCCTTCTTTTCATGCACCAGCTCTTTCTCAAGGTGTCTCTACCGCTTCCCCTCGTATGAATCATCCGACTCCGCTCTCTGCCAATAACCAAGCTATGCCCACTGTCAGCAGCATCCAAAATTCGATTCAACGGAGCCATCCAAATATGACAGCCGAACAGGCGAACAAGCTTGCCAATGAGCGACTGCAACAGTATCATCAGCAGCAGCAGCGAATCTCACAAGCCGCACTGAATGCAGCAGCGGGTAATATTGGTGCCATGCCTGCAGGGTTCCCGATCCCGCATGACACCAATAGTGTGCAGCAGCAGCCATTACCGCCATCGAATGGGGTTCCCAGTAGTGCTCCCCCGCTACAGCTCCCTCAAACTCAAGGACACTCCCCACTCATGCGCGTTCAACAGCCCAGCCAACCGAATCGCCTAGGTGTCACAAACTCGCCAGCGATGAGTGGCATCGTCCTTCAACCAAGCCGATCCGCTACCCCGCAAAATCACCGCACCGGAAGTGGCCAGAGCGTCCCTCCGGGAGTTCAGGTTCCTTCGGTTCAAGCTCCCGGGCAAAAGAGTAGTCCACGGGCTCCCCAGGCGCAAATTTCCAGCGGATGAATTTACACCCTGTTCTTTCCCTTTTCTACATGTTAGAGTCTTTTTCTTTTACCACATATACGTTGATGAACAATATTAATTGACGTCTCTTCACGGTGATGGTAACCCGGAGGCCTCACATTATGTACGGTTACGTTGCTTTCTGCCCTCTTCACTATTGTTTTAACTCACGACCCTCCCAATTGATTTTCTTTTAACGTACTTCTTTACTCTTTGTGGGGCCTTTGGTCCGCTGAGGGTGCTTTATTTCCATGAAAGCATGATCAGGTCTGCTTTCCTCCTTGTTTACTCCCTCACAACGCATATGTATTTGTATCGATAGATGGATGCATCATCGGCTTAGCCATGCCGGAGCCCCCGGTATTAGGGTATGCAGTGGGTAAAAGGTATAAATGTAGATAATCACCCAGGATGGCTATCCCTGATTTCTAGCACGTATTAAGTCTGTCCTGGCTGAATGCCGCCTAAAGAATTTCTTTGGATGCTTTTTCGTCCAGGACAAATCCCAGCAGCCGAGGGATCATCCACGTGATCCATGGTGTGGAGTATCACGTGGCTTAAGCGCTTAGCGCGGCTAAAGCTCTCCGCCACCCGCGTTCGCCTGGCGCAGGATTAAAAGCTGCATCGGACGGAGGAGGCCGCCATTTAACGAATGCACCTGCAGAACCCGATATTTCAACATGTCAGATCATCGACTGCCCTCATCTTCGACCGCACCCAGTTCCAAGCCCTTCTCTATCTCGTTTGCTTCCAAAACATCTACCGCCCCGCCACCAGCCCCGTCCATCTCAACTTCCCGACGCTCCAACGCCCCCACACCCAAATCTAGTACGCCCCGTCCTGGTTTCCACGATCATGATTCAGACGCGTCAGATGCGGAGCCTGGGGAGCCCACTCACGAAGAAGTCACCGGCTTTGACCAGTCTACCGGCGGCGCGATAAGTAAGCATGCGCGCGAAAGCAAGGAAAAGGAACCGTTGGTGATCAAGGTTGATAAGAGGAATGGGTGGCGGGAGAGATTACTGGGTTCTACGAGAGCGAAGAAGAGTTGGCTTCCCGAGGAGGTGAGGATGCAGAGGGAGGCGGAGAGGGAGGCTAAACCACAGGACGTGACGGTTGAGGTAGCAGGGCCAAGTACGAAGTTTGGCTTGAGTTATGCTTCAGCCCCGAAGACGGCAGAGGATGAAAAGGCTACAGGTGCGGCCACGGAGATACAGGAGGATACCGCTATGGAAATTGATACCGAAGCGACTGTTGAAAAGAAGGATTTGTCACACGATGAGTTGGCTTTACGAGCTTTGATTTCCGAAAGTAAAGGCGAGACTGAACAGAAATCAGACCTAGTTATTCAGTCTCGAGGTGGATCATATAACGCTCGTTCCGAATACGACGAGACAAGGTCCTTCCGCGACGATGTGGCTCATCGTCCAGATTCCGCAACCTTGGCAGGCTACGCCGCCGTGCCCGTCGAACAATTCGGTGCCGCTTTACTCCGTGGGATGGGTTGGAAGGAAGGACAGCCCGTTGGACGAGGAAAGTATAGTGATTCCACGTCTCAACGACAAAATACAAGTCTCGCGCCGCGTATTCCTGAGCGCAGACCCGGATACCTTGGCATCGGCGCCAAAGATCTATCGGGCAAAGCTGGGGCTGCGGAACTTGAGCTCGGTGCCTGGGGGAAAGCAGCTATGCGCAAGGGCAAGCCCGGCGAAGGCCTCTATACTCCCGTGTTGATGAAGAGTAAGAAGACTGGAAAAATGATTACAGAGGAGGAATTTAAGAAAATCACTAAAGAACAAGAAAGAGAGAAGCAGAGGAGGGAGAAAGAGGACGAATGGAAGGAAAGGCGGGACAGAAATTTGACCAAAAATGGAAGACGGTACGACGCCAGCGACGATGACAGGGATTCAAGAGAATCTTCATCCAGGCGGAATGGTCGTGATAGATCACGCTCGTCAGACAGAGATAGGGCAAGAGATCGAGACAGCAGGCGGAGGAGAAGGTATGATGATGACTATGATGATCGAGACAGGGACAGTTATGATAGCGAGAAAAGGAGGAAAGATGACCGGCGCTATAGAGATCGAGACTCACCGCGTGACCGGGTTGAAGATAGCAAAAGGGACAGAGACCGAGAAAGAGACAAAGATCGCGATAAGGATAGGGATCGGGATCGGGATAGGGATAAATACAGCGACAGAGAAAGAGATAGGGGTATGGATCGGTACAAGGAGAGGGAGCGGGAGAAGGGCCGGGAAAAGGAGCGACGAAGGGATTACCGGTAATCCGTCATCAAAAGTAACCAGTGCGCATTGCGTGCATTGGCCAAGTTTAAATGTTGTTTGATGTGCTTTTCACCGCACCGTTGAATAGACCGTATGGAACCCTCGTCGCAGAATTGGATATAGTTCAAGGTATGAATCTTTTAATAGAACTAACCTCTCTAGAGGTTGATGATTCAATAATGGACCAAAAAATTAATGGCACGGCGTGGGTCTCCGCGGGAATCATGGAAATTCACGTATCAAACTTTTGAGCGGCATATATAACTCTGGGTTAACCATCCACGTTCTCATCCGAGAATCAACTCCAAAGCGCCCTATCTCAAATGACAGTGTTTCCCAATCCGGCACCACAGCAAACGTATAGAAAACATATTTAAGAACCGACCATAATTACATCCTTCCTGCCAGCAAACGCATCTCCATTCTGGTCACCATCGGCTATGTCAACGTCAATCTCCATGCCTTCCATTTCCCCTAACACCCACTCCACCAAGTAACTCTCATCAACGAGCTCTTCAACACGCTTATAATGCCTTTCTGTATATGCCGACAACGCATGTAGAATGTCCTTTAGCTCTGCTTCCTTTGCTCCCTTCCCACGAGCGGGCATAGGATTTGGGCGGGAAGCTAATTCGACAAAGGTGGATGGTGGGTAAGACTTGAATAGGGCAAAAAGTAACCGCTGCGATACGCGCGATGTGCGAGCGTTTGTATTCCAATCCCTGATTCGAAGGAGAAGAAGGTACAAATGGTCCAGAGAAAGAGATTGGATAACAGTATCGATGTCCGGGTTTCCAGTGAGTGCTTGGGAGGATGTAGGCTCGGTATCCATAGCGGTCGTGAACAAGGACAAGAGTCGTGCCGGATGGTTCAGCTGAAGAGCCAGAGTGATGGCTTCGCGGTAGGCACCGGCGTGGATGTAATTTTGCAACTGCTGATCCTGTTCTATGCGCGCAGAGTTTGCAGAGACAGCAGCAGAAAGAGTAGTGGAAGTTGTATCTTTCCAGAACGTTACTGTTGAATCTGCTGCACCGGAAATCAGGGAGAAATCGGGTTCTAGTTTGTTCGAAGATGGGGAATTTGGGCTTGCAGAAGGCGGGAATGGAGTTGCCAGAGCCCACACACGATCTGTATGGTTGTCTAAGGTCGTTTCTACTTCTCCCGAATACGGTGACCAAATTTTGACCAGGCCATCCCCAGCAGCGGATGCAACAAGCGGGTGAACTTGGGCCGCACCACGAGAGGATATGTCTTCATCAACACTCGATATTCGCGGAGGAGACAACCAAAGAACCTTTAACACACTGTTAGAATGTCCCTCGAAAGTCAGCAGGCAGCTATAATCCGAAAGGTTCCATAGTTTAATCGTCTTATCTCCAGACCCAGTCGCGACAAGACCTCGACTCGTGCTAGCGGCAGATTTGGTATTAATAAGGGGCGTGTCTTTGGGGGCGAAGCGAATAGACCACACGCCTCTTTTGTGTCCCCGAAGGATACCTAAAACTGAACCGTCCTCAAGCGACCAGATTTTAGCAGTACGATCCTGGGATGCAGACGCAAAGAGTGTAGCGTTGTGGTTAACATCAAGAGCATTGATGTCTTTATCGTGTGCCTTTCTTGTGTAAACCGCTTTTGGACGGGATGATTCAGCATTTAACTTTCCAGTGTCCCATCGTTTGATCGTTCGATCTTGAGATCCTGTCACTAAAAATGCCGGAGGATGATTAAGGGGGTCTCTGAATGCTGCAGAATCTTCTGGTGGTGGAGATCGAGAAAGTGCAATGGCGCCCAATGATTCAGCATGCCCAGTAAAGGTTGCAAAGCAAGTATAGGAGTGTGAAGCTGGATCTATACGCCAAAGCTTCGCAGAGTTGTCCTTTGCACCAGTGACGAGCCAGTGCCCTGACCAATCGACGTCGATGCAAATGATAATATCATCATGGCCTTCCAAGCGGGCAATATCAGCGCCAAAATAATTTTGCTCTTTGGTGGCTTCAGTAGGCTTTGTGGAGACAATCCGTATGTATTCGGAATTGGTTGCCATCGCCAGCAGTGAGCGCTCCGGGCCAACACAGGCCAAATCGATGACCTCGTCATCATTTCCAGCAATAGTACGGATAACAGGAAGTGCGCCGGTTTTAGTTCCTAGTGCAAAGGCGGATAGAGCTGCTATGGAGTGGAATTTCAAGGTTTGGTCGACATGGACTGTCAGGATGGATGGAAGCCCTGGATAATATTCAACCGCGACAATTCCCTCTTGCTCTGAGGTAGCTTCTTGATCGTGCGTGACTTCACTGCCCCGGTTCGGATCCCATATTCTCAGCCGACCATTTTCACCACCGGTATAACATAAGAAGCCCTCATGTAAGAAACCGGCAGCTTCGACACTTTCAAGTACCGGGATGATCCGCTTGACTTCCCATGTGCTAGCATCCCACGTTATAATAGTCTTATCTCTACTACCCGACAACAATGTATTTGTCGATGCGGAAAACGATAAGCCACGTACAACGGAAACATGGGAGTCCAGCGAAGCAATGCCTTTTCTCTTGAAGAGGTCCCATACCCGAATCTTTCCATCCTCGCTTCCCGACGCAAGACGGAACCTTGCTGTTACCTCTGACTGCTCTGTCGACTCCTCTAATGGGATAAAGTCAGGGTTTGAGTTCTTTTGCTTATTCTTCCGCTTTTTTCCATCCTTGCGATTGTCTCCATTTATGGCGGAAGACTCAAAAAAGCAAAGGGCGGAGACAACACCTCCATGGCCGTGGAAGGTATGTGTTGCGTAGCCCCTCTTAATATCCCAAACTTTGATCGAGCCGTCAGCGCTGCCCGTGGCAAGTAATGATCCAGTAGAATCAATGGCCGTCGTCACAACAGGAGAGGTATGCGGTTTGAGTGACCGTAAGAGTTCAGGTTTTATGAAGGTAGAGTCTTGCGATCGTGGAAGGGAGAATATTCGCATAGCCAAGGATCGAGAGCATATTGCTAGGTGTGATGCGGACGGCGTTACTGTGGGTAGTTAGAATAAGATACTTAATGAAAGAAAGAAACTCGTACTCGATATGCTAGTGATTGGTTCTCCATCCTTCATTCACTTGTTAGCTAGGCAGACTTTGATAAGCGGGATATAATAATTAAGGTAAACGCACTCCCTCGATACTGGCAAGCTGCTCGCCTGTCTCTAAATCAGTTATAAGAACATCCTCTCCGACGCATGACGCTAATAACCGCCCACTTTCATCGAGCGAAAGACTTCCGCCGGTGAAAATGGGACGGATAGCCCTGAAAGCTTCGAAAGTAGTCTTAACGCTGATCTTCGACATTGGTGGTAGGAACAGGGTGAGAAATCATATATCCATGGATAAATTTCTAATCTGAACAGCCTGTACTCCTTGAATCGATCGCGGGACAATAGAGCCGGGAACGCGATATGCCAGGATTTGCGACAGCGATCTCGAAAAGTAAAATACAGAGCGAAATTTTGGAGTGTAACGGTCTTACAGCACCGTTAAATTACAGCAGCGGGATTAAGAGGTGGCCTGTGCGTTTAGCCGCGATAGGCGCTGCTGAGCCACGTGTCATGTGATATCAGCTCTCGCCTTCTCCGCAGTCGTCATAGCACGGAGTAGGCAAGCATGGCGGTCCCGTTCGACGACATGCTGAACGCGCACTATGATGTCTGAGACCCAGATTGTGCAGACCCTTTTAATTCCCCTGCATCCTGCTTTTCGATCTAGGCTTTTGCTTCCATTGCGCTGTTAAGATGGGGCGGCGAGGATATTTGACCGTCCTGGCATTGGTATGGTTAGATTTTTCTCCTTTTTCCCGGGGAGAACAGATAAAATCCTGCTGTACTTTCATGAGAGTTCAGTCGAACGGCTTGTTGCCGCAAGCAGCTCATTCTACCCCTTGACATTACAGGGTTACCCACGTTTTTATAACCCCATATATGCGGCTGTCTCTTTAAATTTCCAGGGCTAACATTTACAGGGCCGGTCGCCCTATGATCTACCGGAAGCACCGCCCGATGGACACAGGTCCGCTGCCAGCCCACTCCGGAGTACACATCCGGAAGACTATGTGCAAAGGTATGATAGTCGTGGACATCCAAGGAATCCCGAGTCAAAGGCTTCAGCAAAGCAACATCGGAGAGCGAAGAACGACATTTTATCAACTATGGGGATTGTGGTCAGCGGCAAAAATAAGAAACCCGCAACTGCGAAGGAGAGAGAAAACGCTGCGCTCCTCGAAAAGGAGAACAGGTATGGCATATCTATAGGCACTCTGGATCAGATTTTCACGTTTATCGCGTCCTGGTGGACATCATCGTTGTCCTCACGAATACAGGTATGTGTCCTTACAGGTGACACCTGTTACTGAAGCTAACTTGTGTCCTAAACCCAGACATTCAAATACTACAATCAAGCGACTCTAACCCAAATTATGAGTTTCGAGCAAAGACGGGGGAGTTTGGTCGGATGTTATTATTCTGGGATGCCAGCATGGGTCTGTTCGTTCGCCTTGGTCTTCTGCCGTGCGAATTACTTGGACTCCTCTCTGGAGTGGACCCATGCAAAGGTGGCTTCTTTGGTCCAAAGCAAACGTCTTCGATGCATAATACGTGGGTGTTTCAAGGCCGCCAAATTTGGGTATGTTAGAAAAGCCCGATACTTAATTACTCTCTACTTTTGCTGACTATTCTTAGTGTCTCATTCATCATTTTGGGAATAGTTGGTCAAACATACATGTTTTCTATGCTGCAGACACTTCAACTTATACCTACATTTGCTATACCCTCCCTCCGATCTTTCCTACCATTTGGTGAATATTCGCTCCTGCAGCTACCGCCCCTCCCGAGAATTACGTCTGTACGGGAAGTTGGAGGTTTCCTCGCACATCTTGTTTTCTCTCCATATATCCTAGCGTCCCTTCTCCCAAGTATCCGGTCTGTGCTCGAAACGAGAATCTATTACTTGCTCCGGAGAAGGCTGCAACAAACAGATCAGCCGGATAAACTTTCTATCCACGTCGCGGCGGAATGCGGTTTGATCGACTGGATTATGCCTAGGCTGGGGAAAAGGTCGGGAGAAGAGATCAAACGCAGTCAACTAAGCCTGACTGAAGATATCATCTACGAGATGGCGATATTCAAAAAATACATAATGAGCCTTTTTGATTGGAGGAATGGTTCGAAACCAGATTCCGAACGGAGCGGTCTAGATGAGGATAGAGTTGAGTCTCTGCATCGCCGAGTCGAGCAGCTGCGACGTGATTCAAGTGTGGAAAGGGCGCCTCCATCGCGTCGTCGACGGACTCCAACCAGAGGTCAACCACAACGAGAACCTGAAGACCAGACCCGGGCAAATACAGATACAGAAGAAAGTGAACCTCATCGGATCTTAATGGATGAAGACCAGCGTTTTGCACAGTCGCCCCTCCAAATGAGAGAAGACTATTTCCCAGAAATTTACGGCACAGATCCAGCCGTCGGAACGCCTGTTATAGAGGTTGCCACCAGCCAGGATTCTGAACCTCCTCAAACACCTCATTCTCGTGCCAACACCTTGTTTTCTCGGCCCCCATCCCCAGACACATCCCCTCTTACCTCACCTCGCGTTCGGGCTTCGTTGGTGCATCAAAATTCCGAAGTAATTACTATGCAGCTGGAATTATTGCAAGGTCCCAGCAACTCTGATCCACAGCACCAAACTAACTTGGACAACGGCGATATTGACAATGTGTCGAGTCAAAATAGCCAAGATCAACTGCAAGATAGGCCCATTCAAGATAGTGTAGCTGACCTCGCAACCGACGGCGTTTCTTCAGAGCTCGTTGACGCACTCTGGCCGAGTGACGGTCGGCATCGTCATCCCGTAACTACGCGGTTCCACGAAGAACTCGATACTAGCATGTCGAGCGAGGCCATTCCCACGGCGGGTGCAGAAATCGTCGAGCCCATTCCGGCAGTAATAGCGGCTCAATCCAGCACATTAACAGGGCCAGGTTTCGAAATACCAGGACCGCAGTTAGCACAAGATCAAGTCCAGAGCACCGGGGATATTCAAGCTTCTCATTCACAACCCTTGGCGTCTCGCCCGCGACATATGACAGCGAATAGCCGCCCTGTTGATCGCCGGTTCACAGTTCTCTCAGAATACCCGGCTGATTCGTTATCTTTACATCTTGCAGCATTATTAACTTCAATACTTCTTTATCCATTGGAATCCATTGCTCTTCGGGGGCTTGCGTTTAGCTACTTGTCCTCTCGCGCCCCATTAAGCATTATATCACTCACATCCCCTTCTTCAACTGACACGATTGCAGGGTTGGGACTCCGCTCCGGGTTGGTCATGAATGGAATCCATTCGCTGGGATCTTGGTTTGGCGGTGGCAGCTCTGCGAATAGAATATCATATGCAGGAAAATTGGCGCTTGTTATGGGGTTTGAGGCTATCTCCAGGGCAACTGTGTGGGGAGTTGGGACAGTATGGGCTATTTCCCAGGGAAAGAAAAGATTTGGATGGGGACAGCTGTAACAAGTGAATATTCATTTGTGCCAGCGAAATAGTTACCATAATGGTGAAAAGGATGCCAACTATGGTATATTGTACATACATATGTGTCCATTATCCAGTGAAATAAGAAGCGCTCAGGCGTCAACAATCTCTCAACTCTTCTCTTTACCTTTACTTTTAACCTTCCTTCTCTCCCAAACCATCAAATACCCTTCTCTTGTAAACAATGTTTCGCTTTCTGTTTTCTGCACCCAGAGATCCTGGATTTCCAACCACTCAGGTCCACTCTGGGTCTGTTCTTTCGCATTCTCCACAGCCATTGCTTTATCATGCAGTTGAATCAACCAGTTAACTTTATGGCTACCCGCGGATGCGCCTGGAGTTGTAGCTGTTGCTGAAGCCGCGCCGCCCGCACCAGAAGCAGCTGCCTCGGCCAAACCACCACGGCTGTTTTCGGGTGCTCGGCTTTCAGGGTCGCCTGGAGCCGTGACTGTCGCATCGAGGATGACGTTTGCGACCAGATCGTAGAGAATCGGCTCGCCCGGAGGCCAGACAGAAGGGTTTGGCTCGACGTAGGGAGACATATCTAAACCTCTGGGAGACGGGAACGTGACAATGGTGGGATTTCGTTCCGCGACAAACTTGTTTTTGCTAAATCGCTTTATGTGGAAGAGTAGATATTGAGGAAGTGGGTGAAGTAGACGATGACGGACGCGGTGAGCAAGTTTTTCGATTGCTGTAACTCCATTGTATTTGTTTAAAAGGTTAACAAGAGGGACTTGCGGGATAATGGACTCTTCATCAGCAGCTTGAAAAAGAGGCGTAGGAGGAAGGTCCAAAGTCAAGATCAAGAAAGGTGTCCTTTGAGACGTCGTTGTGCTTGATTCAGAAAAGACAAGCCGGGCATTGGCGGCATCCGATCTTGCCGTGATGGCCTGACTCTCTATTCGAAGATGCCCTTGGAAGGCGGAATGCACTACGCTAGTAGGCGTAGGAGAAGGTTTCTTTGATCCACCGAGACTCAGGTGTAAATTGTTGAGGAACCATGAGAGAAACTCGACAGGGTCAGATTGATGTGTAAGGGTGAAACGCTTTGATGACCGGAGCGCTATCTCCTGGAGTAACTCATGAGGAGATACATGACATTTGAACGCTTTCGGATTCCATAGCTTGCGCACGAGCATTCCGAAACGCAGGGGAAGCTGGGGCGTTCCAGGGACCGGAAACCTGTGCAGGAGGAAGAAGTTCCTAATCGGCCTGACATGGGCGAGGAGTTGAACGATGACATTTAGATAGTCGTTGGATTTGATATTGTTCATTCCAACGTATCCTAGGAAGTCCATATATTAGTGGCAGAAAAGGGCCCGTACGCATTGTGAAATGCTATCTTACCTGGCCTGTACTTCTTTCCGGCCAGATCCCACGCTTCTGTAACCACCGTGTCCAGCCTAGCTACCTCTTCTTTCACATAGGACGGATCGATTACGTATTTAATATCATCCAAACTCTTATTCTTGACTTCATATCCTTCTGGAAGCACATACACCTTCTTTGTCTCCATATTCACAAAAACGTGGTGCCCTATTTCCAGCGAATGGAAGTATGCGTGAGACTTTGGCCCACGACCTTGGAAGTATTTCCCACATACGAGGCAGGCGTAAACATTAATATTCGAAAGAGACACAGAGCACAATTTCTCAAAGTCAAAGTCGAGATTCGAGCGGTGTATTGTGTCGAGGTAGAGGTCGCTGTAGCCTTGAAGCGGTTCGGTCTGACGAACGGATGCTTGCGAGACCGGCTCTTCATCATCCCAATCGGAGGTATGACCAACGGCCTCTTCAATCTCCTCCGCTTCTTGGTCGGCAGCTGCTAGAATATCGGCCCCATTGCGCTCATCATCCTCCCATCGCCTCTCCCGCAGAGGAGTAGTCCCTTCTCTTTCAGGTTCAGTATCCTCCGTTCTCGCGCGCTTTGAGGCCGGGGATCCTTCGGCGGGCTCATTCTCCCCAGCAAAATCTGCAGGTCGTTTAGTCATGATCGGTGACTCTTGTAGATAATGGCATAACCTGTTGCCCCGTCTTGAGTACGAAGATGGATGTACGTACTATTTCCAGCGCTCCAAGCTTGGTTCACTAGTAGAGTTCTGCCGTGCGACACCGCCCTCACCCAGCTCTGGCCTGTGATTATGTCGGATGGATTCATCTGGAAATCACACGGCTACTGTACGAAATCAAGCAGAGACACCTACAAATCACCGCCGAATATACTCAATGGCTAAGAAACTAGATTGCTTCGCCGCATGACATACCTGTCGCTGCTTAAGCCTTCAAAATGCAAATCTGACATTACGAGATGACCTGGCCCAGAAACCACCCGGGACAAAATCGATCCGTTACTTGAAATCATGACTTCGAGACGACTCAAGAGCTATACTGGAATGGGAATCAAATGAAAAATACATCATTAAGCGCTGACAACCTGCTTGTTGTTGCTAGAATCAAAATCTACCTCCTTTATTCCATCTTTCGTTACTACTTTGACGAAGACCTAGAACAGTTAGCGACAAGATCATCTTTGCAAATTAGAAAGGGACATATAAGGTGAACCTACTCCTTTGAAATCAATTGGCAACCTCCGCTTCAGCTCGTCGGTGCACTTTTCCAACAGTTTAAGGCCCTCTTCATAACTGATATCTGGATGGTGATGCTTGTCAAGAATTGAGAGACAGTAGTACCTTGGAGACGCGTGTTAAAATCCATCCCGAAAAATGCGACAGTTGAAGTTTACTTACTGGGCATAGCCATGAGCAGCATAGGGTACTTGTGCCAATGACGCTAGGTAGTCCAGCCAGTACAGACTAGGCTTTTGTGTGATAGGATCGACACCGCCGAGTAGAAGATTAACCGTATAAGGGCTCCTCGATCGTAGGCTTCTTGCGAGTTCTCCTCGTACGAAATTAGCGACGGCAGAAGGGCTAAGCTCGGTTTCATTTCGCATGGAGTAAAGTTGGGCGTTGGCTTGGATATATTCCGCAAATTGTACTATTATAGGCCGGTGTCAATACGTGTCTTCACATTTTCAAAGGGCAAGGCCTGACATACCTGTGTCGCCTGCCTCCCCGGAGTATGCAAGGAGGGTATGCTTGTTCAATTTACGTGTCTTATCGTCGGTAGACTTCAGGATAGTGGGCCCTCTCATAGCAGCTTTGGATGCCGCAATGAGAGTGAAGTCCTTTCCAGTAATTCCTAATAGAACCTCCCTTTAAGCTGTCAGCTACCTGTAATAGATGAGGTGGAAACAGCTGTTCTCGCTCACTTACATGGTGATGATCAAACGGTAATAGGCCAAAAACTATCTATCAAATAATCTGGACTGGAGTTCAATTTTTTGCGCAGTCGAGAACAGATATGCAATGGGAATGAATGCTGCGAGAGCTACCTATCTATCCAGCGAGCTCCCGTCGTCGTTACGCAGCGAGCTTGACGCCTAAACCGGAATGGACGCCAGTTATGCTTAGTCATACAGAGTGGGCTTAGGCTATATCGGGATTTAGGCGTAGGAGATTCTCCGTGTCCGGAAGCTTATTCTGACGCTGACATAATAGCTTGACCACAGCAACAAAAAAAGTTTCACTCAGGATTGACAATAGCGCACCAGAGCGACTGCGGCGAGGCGATCCACGAGGCGGCTTGCTGCTCGAAGGCTCTTGGACATTTGTATGGTGCGGAAGGGCAGTTGAAGGATTTACTTGTGCGCTTGTCAATATGCCGTCCTTTTTTACAATTCCGGCGTCCCAGCGCAAGCGCAAGCGGGAAGACCAAGCTGCAGCTCCAGCTTCGAAAAAGCGAGGACTTGCGGGAAAAGGCCGCGTGCCATCCGCTGAAAGCAGACAAAAGAGACAGGAAAGAGAGGAGTCTATATCCGGGAGCGAATCCGATGACGATGAAGGTATAGAATCCGGTGAAGAATCAATTGATGAGGAAGAACTTTCAGGTTCCGAAGAGGAGGAAACTGCTGCGGAGCGGAGACTAAGGTTGGCGGAGAGATATCTGGAGAATATCAAAGAGGAGGTGGACGAGGCTGGGTTTGATGCCGCGGAAATCGACCGAGATTTAATTGCGGAGAGATTAAAAGAGGATGTTGTGCGTGGTCCCTTTCAATTTATTCAACTCGACCACCCTCAGACCAACTAACTTATGTTAGGACGAATCCAAAGGACGGACTTACCGGCAAATAGCATCTCAGCTATCGTTTTCGACAGCATCACATTCATACTTCCGTGCAGATACTCAGAGCACGACATCAGTCGCTGTACACTCTCCATATGTCTACACTGTCTCAAAGGACAAAACGCTTATTAAATGGGAACTGATTCCGCCCGTTGATATCCCTGATACCGATGTGACAACCACGAAGAGACCCGCGCGACCTTTGCGGAAGAAGCCCAAAAAGATCCGGTCCATAAAGGGTTTGCAGGCGGGAGGCAACGACGAAGAACCTCAAGGCCATACAGGAAATATTCTCGCTGTTGCGGTCTCACCCTCTGGGAAGTTTGTTGCAACAGGAGGTGCGGATAAGAAGTTGATCATATGGGATGCGGATACCCTAACTCCTCTCAAAACCTTTACACAACATCGAGACAGCGTAAGTGGGCTCTCGTTCACTCGACGCATCTCAGCAGCCACTACTGGAGAGCAGCTGTTCTCCTCATCGTTTGATCGTACATTAAAAACGTGGTCTTTAAGTCCCGGCTCCCATGCTTATGTTGAGACGCTCTTTGGCCATCAAGACCATGTCATTTCGGTTGCCTCCATGGTTACCGACCAGTGTGTTAGTGTCGGCGCCCGTGACCGTACCGCGCGGTTGTGGAAGGTCGTCGACGAGACCCAACTCGTTTTCCGAGGTGGCGGTTCCAAAGGCTCTGAATATGCAGAGAATTCCATTGATTGTGTTGCAGTTATTCCCCCGGCTCACTTTGTCACCGGCTCTGACGATGGATCTATTTCCCTTTGGTCAATGCACAAGAAAAAACCTTTATTCACCATACGCCAGGCTCACGGATTAGACCCTATACCTGGCCCCGAAGAGATTTCTCCTGATCAAGATCCTGATGCCGCGGCACGAAGTACTAAATACATGCGGCCGACTCCTCGTTGGATTACAGCACTAGCAACACTGCCAGGCACGGATATTGTTCTGAGTGGAAGCTGGGATGGCTGGATCCGAGCATGGCAGGTTTCTGAGGATAAGAGAAAAATAGTTCCCCTTGGTTGTGTAGGTGGACAAGGTTCGCCTGCTCACTTTCTCAATGACCAACTTGAATTCAACCCTGCCCGGCAAATAAACGGTGCGGGAGTAAACGCCAACGCGTCATCCAACGAACCACCTTTGAACGGGATAGTAAACGACATCGCCGTCTTTGAGCGCCGTCCTCAAGACTCGAAAACTTCTTCAGCAATGAAGGTCACGTCAGCCAACAACGGCTCCAAGGCTTTCCCGATGCAAGAAAGCACCAGACCTGGTCTGTGTATAGTTGCGGCATTGGGCAAAGAGCACCGCCTGGGCCGATGGAAAGTGTTTGGTTCTAATGATAGAAAGAAGATCGGGGCCTCAAATTCCGGAGGGAGAAATGGAGCAGTAGTTTTTGAGGTCCCTTTCTACCCCAACGCCAGCGTTATTGAAAGCTGAGTGGAAAAATAAATATACCACTTCGTGACAGGTTAAAAATTATGACTTGAGTTAAAAACTCATAGAATTCCCTAGAAGGAATTTTTGTGTTGACCTTCTGGATGACGGTGCTACGTGTCCGTGTAGATAGCCACAATGTGTTGTATGTACGGTATCATTCTCGCCCTCTCTTATGTATGGTTCCAACGCGATCCAAGTGCAGTCAACCCAAGCGTTCAATGAGGACAGGACAAAACCCAATGATTAAAATCTTCCGGGCCGTTTACACCTGATCAGGGTGCGTGCAGTGCGCACATTCGATATTCACATAGGAGAATGCCTGCAACACAGTCTTCTCAAGAGCAACTTGTAATACCAAAAAGCACCGGAATATCCATTGGCACCATTGCATAATGCCGCAACATTATCTCAAGGATACAAGCTTGAGTTGAAATACAAAGCAGGATGGAATAACTGATGAAGTAAAATGCTGATAATGAGACCCAGATAAAATTCTTGCCTTGACTGATGTGCCTTTTCGAGTTTCCCAACGCCATACGAATCCATCTCCATGCCCTGTTACCGCCTATGTTAACCAATCCTATGTAAGCTGACGCCATTCACGGAATTGAAAAGAGAAAATTTCCAGGAACTCATCCTCGGCGCTAGGAGCCTTATCTATCTCTCAAACGAGGAGGCGTATCATAAACTACTTAAGCTAATGGGGGATCGGAACAAGGTATCATTCGCGTCGTCGGCTTTGGTAAAATAGATCGACCCCGAAGCGATACGATGTCGAGAAGTGAGCCGTTATTTCAGCATGACCCAGGGCTGCGGTTTCCTCGTCTATGCGAATAGGGTGCCTCAAGATAAATCCCTACTCGTCTTTGCCTTCTTCTTCTTCTCACCGGACCACGAGGTTCGTCTGAAGAACTGTCGTGCGTCGAAGGGGTAGGACTCGCTTGTGATCGTGGTACAGTGGTGTGCGAGCCAGAAGCACTGGAAGGCGAGATTTGGCGCCTTCGACGGGACGTCATTCGAACGGGTTCATCATCCTCGTCATCATCGTCAAGATTTATGACCGTGGCATTCCCAAACAAGCCCTCAAACACGTGCTCGCTCGCCCCCTCGGACATGCTATCAGCAATTTCACTTGGCATATCCCTATCGCCAGTGGTAGGCGACTGAAGTGAATCCTCGGTCAAATAGTCATTATTGCCTACGATAGTCGGCGTAGTCGTGTCCGAATCCTCCTCATATTCTTCCTCTCCTCGCTCTTCATCTTCCTCTTCTCCGTCCTCTTCGTCATCGATGAAAGAGCCCATGTCATCCGAGTCTTCATCTTCAGAACGAGAGCTCGTAGAATCGGATAAGCTGTAAAAGTGGCGCTCATCGTCCATGTAAGATTCATTGTCGATAGGATCATCCATCATCATAAGCTCCTCACTATCAAACCTAGAGGCATATGCGGGATCTCCAAAGACCTCCATCATTGCTGTTTCACTGTCGGAATCATAATAATCGTCCTCACTGAACTGGTCTCTTATAAAGCCACAATGGATACAGTCGCCGTCTTCCAATTCCCACGTACACCTAGGACAGCGTTCGACCCCGTCAGCAAGATCCTCGATTGGCACCCCGCCGATCACCGTATGTCGGAAACATCCTTGGAATAAGCCTCCAGATTCCAAATCTTTCTTATCCAAGTCCAGTTTCTCTGTTTCGGCACGCTGATTCTTCAGATGTTCGGCTGTTGTTTCGTCTTTGTCTAGGAGCTCGGGCCGGGTTATAAACATTTGCACGATGTTACGAATCTAGAAGAAAAGAGTCGAAACCGCAACTGATTAGCTCAATAAAAGGGAACAGCAAATCTAACAGAATGTACATACCATGTAGGCAGGTGCAGGTTCCGACCACACCGCAGCTCGGCAATCCGGACATGTCTTTTTTCGTTGGTGGTTCACAAACCACTGAGTAAGGCACTGCGCAAGAAGCTGGTCAGTCGGCGGGGATCAATTTCTCGCATCGCAACTTACGCTGTAGCAAAATGTATGCCCGCAGCCAAGTGTGAATGGTTCATAGAGTGGTCTGACACACACTCCGCAATAGATTAAATTTCGAATGTCATCTATATCCTTCTGGAAAGTCCGCAGAAGCTATCGACACGTCAAGTACAGTCCAGCATGCCCGATACACAAGGTCAACTTACTCCAGTGGGGTCTGTTCGTTTGGGTGACCGCGAGCGTAGGTCCATTTGGTCGTCGCTGACAGAACCGGACGATTTTCTTTTCCTGCTGATGGTCGACATGGTTCTCGGAGGATTTCGACTATGAAGCGGAAAGTGGTGAGTTCAGCGGCCAAGGCCGAGGCCCCTGGCACGGTCTTGACAGATCTCGATGCTGACCTTCCTAGGTGGCTTACGGGATTGACGTTATGAACTGGGTGATTGGATACACGCCGAGCTTTTCAGAAACAGGTCACCCCGAGGGAATGGGGCAAATCAAAGCTGGAAAGAACCGAGAGCATATTCGTCAGTGATACAACCTTTCTCCAGGTTGAAGTCATCCAAAACAAAAGTGAAGGAATTGCGCGTTTAGAGCCTTCTGGACATCTCAGCAAAGAAGGTTTACCTGAGGGCGTCGTCAACCGTGAAAGGCCGCCAAAGTTGATGACGGAGCTCAAAGCCAACCTCCGCGCCCCAATAGCTAGTCCCAATCGAGTTAGTCAACGTGGTATCTTGATTAACTAATAGCTTAGTCATGATTCTCCCGCTGACTAGAATCGACGGGCTCAATTGGCGTTCACCGTCAGAAATTCCCAAGAGGGTTTCTTTTTTCCTTCTTTCTTATTATTTTGAATATGCCTTCCCGGTCATAAGGTCGAAGGATCAATCGCACACTTGCGACTGTGGAATAGCACTGATATGAGCTGGGCAGGAACTTGGCTCCGCTATAAATGGAGCTTAGCAGCTTGGTTATGATGGGCCTTGATAGCTCTTTGGCACATTTGATCCCGAATAAGGCATGCAAGATCATGGCAATTGGGTATATATTATGATAATTCCTACGGAACGAAATACGTATCTTGCATCGAAGAGCTCAACGTCAAAACATCGATGAATGGGAGTCAACTGAGCTTTCTCCTCTCCCAACTAGGCTGCATGTGTGGGAATGCTCTACACCACCTCGCACTCAATTAAACTTTCTGTGCCTTTCTCTACCGTCCAGATGTTGACGATTTTCAAACCCACAGATCCCAACAACTGATGCCAATGCTTTGCGGTGCGTTCCTGGGATGAAAACAGGGCCAACATGATAATATCCAATGAGGTCGTTTCCCAGTACGCATCGATATCAGGGATGACGTTCTCATTGATCAAAAGTCTCGAATACCCAGGCTCCATAGCCTTGACAAGGTTGGTAAGAATCTTCACAGCAATGTCATCTGGCCAATCATGAAGAATGGAGTGCATAAAATATGCGCGAGCCCCTGGCAACAACAAGTCAGGACATTTTACTCAAAGTATGAAAAGGCATATAGGGTTTATACCCTTGATAGGTTGATCTTTGAAGAAGTCATGTTCCATTGCCTTGATGTTCGGGTCAACGGATTTTCGGGTTTCTTTGATCACCTCCGGAAGATCTTGCACAATCAATTTGCCGGGATGTCTGGGCCATTTCTTTTTAAACTCCATCAAATCATGTCCAAGACTGCCACCGACATCAACGATGAGAGGCGCATCCGCTTCAGCCTTGGCACCATCAAAGAGGCGTCCTTCAACCGGGAAAAACCCGGGGTCCATCCAGCTGGATCGGCCTTGGTGATAGGCAGACATATGATTGTTGAATTCGCTACCAACCTTGGGGTTTGCTCCCAAGTATTCGAAAAAGTTAAGATCCGTATTGAAACCCATTTGGAAGGGTGAATCCTTTATATTGTTTGGATTGTTATACCCACGCTTTTTAAAGAATTCGGGCATTGCATGAGCAGCGGAAGTGACACAGCCGGTCCTGGGAACACCTCTGTTATTATCACCTTTCTTTTGCATGGGATGAAAGTGAAGAATGGATAAAGCTTCACATACATGCAAGGCCAGCCATCAAAGTATTTCTTAATTGTCAGGGTCTTTGACAACCCGTTCGGGCGGTAGAGATCGGCTCCGGCTTCAACAACAACACCCATTGCGGCAAGGTGTTTGAGGATGCGACCTACATGAATGGTGAGCGGACCCCTTGCATGGAAGAACACTAATAACGTGCAACTGACTGAGTAAAGTTGGGTCGGACTTTGTTGCGTTTGCAAGCTCGGAAACCGTTTTGGGCTTATCATCTTTGGCTAAGATGTGGAAAAGCCCCATATCAATCCCGGTCTCGATCGCCCCAAAGGTGCTGGACTAGTCCTCGGGAATATTGCAGCGTCAACAACCATCCCGTGAAAGATGGATAGTACGGAGTACTCCGACAGGCTTACCTGTGCCCAGCAATACCTTATCATGGCCTCCCGTGGTGTCTCGAGGGCGTAGACCAACGAGCGAGCGGCCTCCAAAAGCTTCATGCGGCTGCGAGGCTCAGCAGCATACTCTTTGCCAAAAGCGGCAACAGCATGGAGAAGCTGGGGAACATCCTCGCCTGCGTTGGGCAAGACGGCAATGCTCTCGTCAAGCACGTTTCCCGCCGTCAGCCCATTCTGCTCAAAGGTATCGACTCTGCTTGGCTCTCCCATATTTCGTTGTCGAGTTCTCAGGCAAAATCTACTCGGAAACTCCTCTTAACTGGAGGCTGAATCTCAACGATACAGTTGCACGGAACGGTGAAATGCAGTGGATTAACCAGGTGGGCTGGCTTTGCTCCGAAGCAATGTCGACGCAGGGGGTTCATGGTTATTAACAGAGCCCCCTGTATTGGACTTCCGTGGTCGGCCCCGGGGAACACTCGCAAGCGGAGACGTTGTTTTTAGTGTGCGCTGCGTTGGCTCGCGAAGTGGGACGGATAGTGTTGTAAGAACCCACTCCAGCGCATCTTTCCGCGTCCCGCAGCTTTGGGCCACTTGGCTGATGAGGACGAAGAGAATGAAATTGTTTGGCGCAGGTTTATACGAGATCACCTCCTTGGTCATCTCAACCATCTCGATAATTCAAGCGACTCTCAGGAGCGACGACGTCGATCCCAGGCTTACGACTCCGTCGAAAAGGAAGTTTGCTTATTTAGGAACCTGAAGAGAGTGAAGCTATTCCCGGGCGAGAGAAAAGAGCACCGCCCCAGGCCGCGAGGAGAGTTCGTTGGCAAAGGTCTCCCCACTGCTCATTTCACGCTTCAGGCTAGCTAAACTGACGATAACGTTAACTCGACCACTGGGAATTTCACCCGCCGAGTAGCCACTGCCAAGTCTCATCATCAGCCCACATTTGTACTTGAAAAAGATGAATTTAACTTCAGGGTTCGGCAATTCTGCCCCGTCGAAGTCCCCCCTGGTCCGTGTTGTGAGGCTAAAAACGGCTGCACAGGCTCAATGAACCTTGACAATCCTGGCTTGAACCAATGCTGAGGGGTCCCTAGCCAACAGTCCGGTGTTTCTCATCCTCGTTTGTTCATAATATTGCTCCTTTCGACTTTTCACTCCCGGGCCCGCCTCCCGCCCGAATTTCTTGGAGCAGAACCGAGCCAGCAACCGTGCTTGAGGAAACTTGAGTCATTGGACCAATCGGGGAACGGTGGTTCCTAACGGCGAGGGACAGCTTCCCGCCCCCGTGGAGCCGCCAAAGACGCTTGATGTGGGGTACGATGACGATCCTTGCTTTTTTTTTCCCTTGTCGTCTTCCAACCTCCCGAGGCCGAAGAAACGACTTTACCTGTGATGAAAATGTCCAATGCTTCAATTTTTTGGTTCGATGAAGCCCCTTGTAATTCTTCTCCGTTACAAGAATGATCGAACATTCCCATTCGGTGCGCCTGTCCATTTTCACTGCCTCGATAACCTATTTTCGTCTTTGAGAATGGACGGTAGATATGCTGGCCTGTGCTTCTGTGTGTTCATAATTTCGAATTTGTACTCCGTATTCCGAGAGAGTGGAAAGGGCGCGGCTTTGGAGAGGCTTGTTCTGGATCCATGATCTCCAAGAGAGGGAATTTTGGCGTTCCGTGCCCCTGTGCCGGGAGTTTTTGCACATAAGGAAACAGACTTCCGCCTGAAACTCCACTCTCTGCCGTCTCACTGGGTCCAATGGTCGGCAAACGCTGAACAAGGATGGCGAGGTTCTCCCTTCTCATTGTCGGGGTTAATCCGCATTTGTGTCGACAAGTGCATGAAAAACTCCTCCCTGTTGCGATGCTTTCTTTTGATGTCCCATCCTCTTTTGTTGTTATCCCCATCTATCAAACGATGAATCCTTGATTGATAGTTGAGTGTATCCCCACTTGAGATCGACCTTCTTCAAAGTGGGATCTTCTTAACGGGGGGGTTGTTCAGCATATATATGGTTCTGGAACATCCATTCCTTTGGCCATTTTCTCTTTGGCCCTGAGCACACCTATCTTCCATCCTTAAGCCACAGCGCGTTGAAGAGAAGATGGCTTCAACCGCAGGGAACGATGATGCCAACAAAGGGCCCATGCTGTTGGCAGTGATGTGGTCTTTGACCATTGTCACTGCCATTATTGTCACCGCGAGAATCTATATCAGAGCAAAAATCGTGCGAAATCTCGGCCCGGATGACTGGCTGATTATTGCCGGAATGGTGAGTTACAACATCGCTTGCCACTATCTACTAAAGTTGGTGTTTGACAGGTGGACAGGCCCTGGGTATCGTTTATGTTGCTATAACGCATGTCAACGTGGTCGTTGGCTACGGCAGGCAGCAAAAGACCCTCGCTATAGAGAATATCGAGACTGCGATTATGCTCAATACAGTCAGCTTTATTTTCGGCATTCTCTCATTCACAATTCCCAAGCTTGCGGTTGCTGCCATGTTGAATAGAATCCTGAATCCCACTCGTTTCCAGCGTTATTTCCTCTGGATTTTAACTGGGTTGGGTACCGTGATATCCATCGTGTGTATCCTGGTTCTCTTTACCATGTGCTCTCCCCCACAGGGACTTTGGAGAGTTCGAATGAAGGCTAAGTGCAGAGACACCTGGATCCTTATCAACTATGCAATTTTCACTGGAGGTATGACCCGTTCCCATCTGCTTTTCATGACGAAAACCTGGTTGACAGAGGTAAATGTATAGCTGTATCGGCATTTGTCGACTTATATCTGTCGATCTATCCGACAACCGTACTGTGGAAACTTCAAATGTCAACTCGGAAAAAGGTTGCGTTGAGCGCTGCCTTAAGCCTTGGATCTATGTGAGTACTCCTTTTGATGTGGCGGGAATACAGCGCTAACAATCCTAATAGCGCGTCCGCTATGGCAATTATAAAGTGTACACAGCTTCAGGGGCTCGCCGATCAATCCAACTATACATGTATGGGCTCCATATTCATCGACTTTTATGGTAGTAAATGCGATGCTAACCATTCTCTAGATAGCACTGCTGAACTGGTAGTTTGGACAAAGTAAGCCTCAGTCTACCCCAGAATTTGACTTCAGCCACTAATTACCTGGTGATAGCATTGAAGCAAACGTCGTCGTCATAGCATCCTGCATCCCAACCCTTAAACCCCTGATTGAGCGTCTTAGTGGAACTATAAAAGGTTCACGAGGTAGCAGTGGCCGATACTATGGACGCTACGCCAAAGACAGCAGCGGGCAAATAAGGTCCTCGTCGCAACGAAGCAAGCGATTTAATTCGAAGAAAAACAGTATTTCAATTACCAATGCCGTTAGCGAAGAGAGTTTCCTGCCAACTCGCGAGACCAAACAAGGCATCCGTCGGACAGACGATGTCTGCGTTGAGTACGAGATGCAGGACGAGTTCTCAAGGGAGGCCAACATCCCAAGCCAGCACGTTTGAGCCTCAGGAAACAGAAATTTTCCTCAATCAAGAGGAATTGCCACGGCTCGTTGAAATAGGAACCGATCCGAGCGTCATTAAATTTATGCATTTGAGTGCAATGTTTAAGAGTACCTCTTGTGAAGTCCTCGACGGGATTGAACTCATTCCCAGTCTGTGTCTCCAGGCGTCTCTGCAGTGGCAATGGGAGACGAAGCTGGGCACACACACTTCAGGGAATTCTGATGCGAATGATGCTAGAAATTCGCGAGCATACTTGTACATACATATATAACTTCATCACTTCAGGCTCGGGGTCGGACAATGGACGGCTTAAGAACCACGCGTCGAAGGATAAATCGATACATACTGTATATTTAGTTTGGAGAGGGAACGGAGTCAAGTAGATAGGTTCCTTGCACATAGGTGATTCCTTATGCAATGATAAGGGTGAATAGAAGGGAGTCGGGATTCGAGTGCTTCATACGGAGTACCGTGCAACTCCACGCATCATTTCTCTCCTCCTTTTCCCCGGCAATGACGATTTGCTGGAGGTCTAGACCGTGTAACTTTGCCGTAACACCAGGAAGTATTATTACGGCAAGAACCACCTATTACGGTAACAATTCCAAGCTAAATTTAAACAGTCTAACCAACTTTGGATTAAGAATCCTGGTTCTGGGCTTTCCTGATAGGACTAGCGCACACCTGGCAGCCCTCCCATATTTATTACTTGGACGAACCCCGCCGTCTTCCTCCGTCGTCAAACCTCCTCGTCCCTCTGGTCACAAAAGTGGACGAGCCATCGTCATTCGGAAAGGTGGTGACAGTTAATCCGACAAGACGTGCTCTTCATATCTGAGCGTCTTTCCTATCTTCCGCTTTCAGTAGATAGTGGGAAACCTTTCAGTTGGTATCGGGTTCCAAGTAGGGTGGCTGCCTTCTTCTCTTGCCTTGGAGACTGCTGATGCTACCTGATTCTAGTCATCTCGACCCTTCCACACATTCTCATGGATGGGTTCGATGAATTGCGAATTGCTGGTCCTTGGGAGTCGTCGCTAGCCATCTCCCAATTTGATATTTTGCCTATCATTCCAGCAGATAATATACAAGACCCTCCAAGGGTTTTGAGGAAGAAGCAGAGCTTGTGGAAGCTGCCAGTCTCATGACAAGAGTACTGTCAATACGTTGTCGAGTATCTACCTATTTAACGTTGCGATTCAGAATTGAAAATCCTTTTTGGAAGCTTTTGTTCCTTTCTCTACGTGCGAAAACTAAGCAGTGTCTCCAGTACTCTTGCCACCGATGGTTTATAATCATCTGGCAAACAAGTCTCGACATTCCCATGCAGCTTGCATTTGTTTCGAGTCATTCGTGTCAACATTCTTCAGTGACCCGAGAATGGTAGCATTTACCATATACGCTGTACCTCGAAATATTCGCACTATGAAACTCCCGAAGCGATAAGATAACACCAAGGCTGTTACCCAAAGCGACAACGATATGATTCCAAAAGCGACCACTGCTAAAAATATTATCTTCCTGATGCAGCACTTCCACAACCGCAACAACAAAGGCAGTAAACAAAAGAGCACAACAAATGACGGCAAATTCCGAGCAACTCTGAAAAAGGCACATTTTCCCTTGCGACACTCTATCCTAATGCACCACGCATCGTATGCGAGAATCTGAAGCGTCTTACTCGATCGTAGGACGTGCTCGCTTCCTTGAACGCTCCTTGAGATCTTCCGAAAGCAAATGACTGTCGTCCGTGAACCCTACGGTAACTTTATCTTCATCCACCATTTCTTTGTTCATGTGAGCCAAGAACTGCTCCTGCTCTAGCAAGAATCGCTTGAGACTCTGAGTGTTGAAGGGTCGACGCGCTCGTTTTTGATCGCGTATCTCCTTCAGCTTCTTGCGAATTCTCTCCTCAAGTATCTCAAGCCTGTACTCGCTAAACTGGAAATAGAGCTCCGGTAAGTCCGAGATGGCACGCACAGTCGTAAGGACTGTGTCATCCGGCAATGTTGCAGAACGGGGCCGGAACGATGTCACCATGGTAATGCGCTCGGTGGAGCCGAGGGCGCGTAATGCGACATGCTCAATATATCGTCCCTGAAGGACAACAGCACAGCCCTACCGTTGTTTCGATTAGTGCTGAACAACATAGTGTAGGTTCATATTCGTTCGAAATTTACTTACCATTTGTGGGCCCCTGACTTTCAGAATACTGCGATCTCCCTTACGAAGAGCCGTTTCTCCTCCGATCATATTGGTGCAGTCGCTCAGCATTAGCACGCAAACAAAGGGATAACTATCCGTATGCCAATCAACAATAGGCATCTGCTCCTCATCCTCCCCTTCTTCAGCCTTCCTTGCTGCATCTGCGAGGGCCTTGTTCTTTTGTTCCTCTGATTGGACGGAGATGTTTATATGGCCAATCTCCCAGTCCATCACTGGAACGAGGTCAATTCCAGCAATTTTGGAAACTATGGCCAAAGTTTCGGGATTTTTCCAGGCATCATATACGAAAGGAGCGAACCTGCCACTTGTCAGTCTCATACAGAATACATCTTTGGGAGCGTTCTTACTCTGGAGCAAATCCTCGCAATTGGCATTGGGCGATATTGCTTGAGAACTTATAGTGGCGCCACACATTCTCGCTCAGAACCTCTTTTCGCATCTGCTTGATGGCCTCTACCGAGAACAGCGGGAAAGGCTCAGACACGCCGACTGGCGACACTCCAACATTATCTTTATACCCTAGTTCTTTCATGGTATGCACCTTGGAGGGTGCGGTAAAGTTGAGATGTACGCTTGGGTCAAACTGAACATTCCCACTTTGCTCTACAGCATCACTGTTGTTGACAATTGGTTTTATTTTACCATTCTGTGGCTTGGAAGAGGACGGCGACGGCACATAGGCGGAGAAGGCAGGAGGGAGGGTTGGGGCGATGGTATCTGCAGCTGCCATCTTCCTTTTTTTCTCTTTTCTTGGTGAGTATTTCCCCGTCAATGGAATAGGATAAAGTCTTGAGTGTTTTGCTTTAAACAACAGCATCGTTAAGTGAATCACAAAACAAATGAAAAAGATGATAAATTGGTGTGGCCATTATCATCCAACAACAAAGAAGGGTGTTGTGAAGTTGGTCCCATATCGATCTCGACTTGGTCTGCCACTCACCCTGGAAGAAGTGTGTGCTTATGACTTTTTGCTGTGACAATTATAGGAAGCCAAGTCTTTTGAGAAACGACGACAGAGGAACAAGCGAATAAATATATTTTGCAAAGATCACCAAATTTATTCCGGTCCAGGAGTCTCAGGAGACCAAAACCAATTCTAAGACTTAATGACACCTGTCTTCGAGAGGGACGATGGGGCCTATTTATGTGGACAGTCCCCTAATTGTCCGGAGGTACAAAGTCTTTCCTACCTGGCTTCGGATTTGGTCTATGTCTCTGCATGATAATGGTCCGGGGAGCACTTTCGGAACCTTGGAATCACTATGCTCTGTGCTGGCTCTAACCCTGAGATCATATGGCCAACAATGCCTGGCCGCGCAGCCACCATGACGGAACAGTGGAGCTCTCTCATACCAGGTGACGCGTAATGGAATTGGCTGTTTTGCTCCCTTCAACTTTGGAATACAAGAATGCCACGACACACATGGCCATTCTCTGCAACATATGGTGTCTACTGGATGCGCTGCCTGGACTTGGCTGGATGGCTACGTATGGGACAAGAAGAGATAACGAAGCGCTGGGGCATCGAAACCGTGAAACGTTTCGTCGGTCTCTCCATCCTACAAATCCTCGAGATACTGCTTCCAAGGAAATTGTTTCTGGTTTAGGTTTGGCATCGAATCTGTGACTCGAGGCTGGTTGCGAGCCGGGATGGTCCAGGCCCCGATCGCCACCGTACCGGCGCTGTGCGTTGTATGAACAATAAAGGAAGGCGAGAAAGTTCGAGTCCTCAGATTTTCACATTTCGAGCGCGTGACTTGCGACTTGAATGGCCGCATGCAGGACATTGGGCGGAACGAGACAACGGTTCAGAAGGTGTGAGGCCTCCTTTCCCCGGTGGTTGAATGATTGTGGAGCAGCCTGGACTCCCTACAGGCGCTTTTCTATCTGCATGTGCGTTCGTGTATTACACTTGTAATACACCTATTTTGACATTTCGACTGTTATGCTTTTATCCCACTTAAGCTTATTCCTCGCCGCCTCTTGGTTATCCGTCCTGGACTCCTACTTCATCATTCGACGGATCAGGGCTTTGCCAGGATTTTATTTTATCGTGGGAAAAAGAAAAAGAAAACAAGAGGAAAGAATACAACGTGGAGATGGGATGAAGTCACACTGGAACTCACGAAGCGAACACCGTGTGAGTGACGACATGGATGGCGGTTGTGATGCCAATCGTTCCAGGTAGACCGAGTACTGGCAAGTAAGATTTGGTCTGTCCCATGCAACCACATGGAAGTTTTGACTTGATTTGGATGCGGGTTGTTGCGGTCTGCTTTGTGGTTGGTGTCTTGCAAGGATTTAAGCTTCTCCAAAACCCGGTCCAGATGCCTAATCGCGGGGCCTTTTTTGCAGCTTCAATATGGCGAATTGTCCAGGTCGTCTGGATAATTTGTGACAGGAGAAGTCGGTGAAACCGCCCAGACGGTTTCTCCTCTTCTAATCAAGTCTTTGGGTTGCAACTCGATATTCTAAAATTAGGACGGTTCGTCGCTTCTCCTCAGAGGCGCCGTGGCCCAGAACTTTAACTTCACACACGGCCGCGGCCATCCCGTGGAAAATATGGTCGGAACCCTGGGCCGTTACGAGCTATCCCAGGGGAACTTCAAATCAATCTCCAGGTATTATCTGCCCGAGGATTCATAAAATATGGCCCAAAACGTGTACAAAGTGCTGATGTGCAACTGTGCTACATCTCCTTCGAGTTACCCGATGAGCTTGCCCGTGTGTTGCAGATGGTGCGGGGTTCGCCATCATTAACGAGTTGAACAGCTCACACCTACTTTCTAGACCATCTTAGTTCAGACGCATTATTGATGACTATCAGCATCTTACGATGGGAACACGGCAAGCAGAATCGCCTTTTCCTCGTGATACTCCTTTCCCTCCTTTTAACCATTGCTTCTCTTATCCCTCTACTATCATCCTCTTGCGACGGCGATATCATCACGGTATGTATAACTTCGCCTACACACACACTAATCAAACCCGCATGTGGTGCATGACAGGCTAGAGGTCCGAACCATAAAAAGCAATCAGGCTGGAAAGGTCTTCAGACAGAAATTTGAACTGGGAAACGGGATCGGAGGAAGATCTCGATTTAGCGGCCAGATTCCACACAGGTTCGATTCCCTCCGCCGGCGGTGTGCTGGACAATAGCGAACCTTCCGCCTCTCCCTAGTAACTACGGAGGGCGTACGTACATATGGATATATGTACGGAGTACACCTTTAAAAAAAAAAAGACGAGAAAATCTCGATGGTCACGAGGGACTTGGATCACGATGCCGGCGGATGCTCGACCAACCATATATCATTAGCGCGAGAGCTAGCCGGGAGAGATGGATAATTACTCCGTAGTTATTTCCTTTCCAGTGGGGTGTCTCAATTTTTGTGGGCATGGCGCGGAAGCTGAGCCAGGGTAAATTCTTCAAGAGTCCATCGTGTCTAAATTCCAAAAGTGATGATATAAAGATAGTAGCATACGCTGGATCATCAAGTTCAATCTGTTCGAGAAGTGGAATCTGTGTATTTCCGACGTGTAAGCTCCATGGGCATGGCGGCTATTAATTAATACTTTCAGTTCCGAATGTGCACTTAATGCCGGTGTAATTGAATGCATTTGGAGCCATATTCGCACCAGGCCGGCCCCTCCTCGAAGAGCTTTTCCCTTGTGAACGAGCAGCGATGGCCCCTGTCCAATGGCTGCAGTCTCCGGAGCAGGACATACGGGTAGTCCGTAGAAGAAGAAGAAGAAGGGTGGTATTATTAAATGGCCAGAATGGCTGGGCGTAACGGTTTCTGTGTACTCCGTAGATACGATTCAAAAATATAGAGAGAACCCCCCGAGACAGAAGATATGTCGCTCGACTTCGCACTTCAACATTCTCCGGCTTTGGATGGCGGAGATGGCTTCGGTCCGACCAATCGTACGCCAGATCGCTGCATCTCCCGCCACCGCTGACAAAATCTCGCCAGCCGAAACTTCACCCAACTGACACGCAGAAAACTCCTCGAAGGTTGTTCCGGCATCAAGACCAAACATGTCTGCTCAAGCGGGAGCCGCTCAGGCCAAGGAGGATGAATCGCACAAGTACTGGGGGAAGGCCGAACAGCAATTCAAACAGTAGGTGGTCGCGTCCAAGTCGAAGTGATCCTCATCAACCATCCTTTTTTTTGCCCCTTGGCTTATCCCCGACGCGGGGCACTCTTTTATCTCCTGCTGTTGTCTGCCATAGTACCATTTCTCCTCGTTCTATCCTCTTATTGAGTTTATAAAGCGTAATCTTTGATTCGTGATCCTAATTCCTAGTCATCCACCCGGAACACCTATCACATCCTTGCTCACTGTCTAGCTCTATCAATGGCCGCATTGGTGGAAGCAATCATCTTCCGTTACATGTGCTCTGTAGGCGACTGATTGCTCCCCCCAGCTAACTCTTGAACCAGCAAACCCGCAAGCCAATTCTTCGATCCTTGTCAGGAGTTTGCCGACCGGAGTATCAAGTGCATGAGGCGCAATGCCGGTGATAGAGATATGTGCACGGATTATTTCCAGTGAGTTCGGCTATCTATTCTTTCGCTTGATTTTGAGCGGATTTGAGAAACATTCTAGCTACATGCCTCCTTTTTTTTTTTTTTTTTTTCCTCTCAATAATTTCCCCTCTTCTCATACACTCCCAAGAACTTCGCCGCTATTATCCCGCCAAAGAAAACAAATATACTGACACACTTGTTATCAGAGCGTATCGCGACTGCAAAAAAGCCTGGGTAAGTTCTTTTCGGATTCTTAAAGTCCAAATCCCCTTGAGCGCACTGCTCCTGCCAGCTACTGCTACTGGTGGCCGGTCCTGGGGCTTTGTTGATGATCCTGCTCGACATGTTTCCGTTTTGCGGAGCTTGGAATCAAATTTCGATGCGTGACTTGGTACCAAAGCTGACCGTGTGATAGATGACCCAAAGGAAAGAAGCAAGCCGCTGAAGCTGTGCGTTTGGAATCCTGTAGTTGTGGTATAGCCACAATATCTCAGAAGCGCCGCTCGAAGCCGCGGCTTCATCAGCTCAATGATCTATGCTGGGCGACTCGTTGTATGATAGGAAGTCCATGACCTTCAAGAAAGGTCGGAAGGTCAATGGAGAACTGGATTTACTGGCGTTATAAATAAGGAGGGTGCATTTAGCAGAGAATTTGATCCATTTTGACACACATGCGTTTATGAAGGGAGCAGCTACAGTACAGCTGAGCGTCTTTGCCGTGTTCAGTCGGGCAAATGCTCCTTTCACTCGCCTTTGAACCTCTTTGCCTCCGACTATTTTGGAATTTTCCTTTCGTACTGTGCTCTTCTTGCGACCGACAGTGAGTAAACAGCTGCTGCTGTCTGGTACATAAATATTATCTTTTTTGATTAAACTGTGCCGCGGCCGGTTGAAGGCAAGGAAGCCAATGCCTGATGTACGTAGAAAACAAGTAGACATGTAGTTTAGTGAGGCGGTAAACAGTTGACACCGTAGTAAATTCCTGGGTACTGGGGCCTTTTCCCGCATGCTGCATCTTTTCGGTTTGCTGAGGCCCAGAAAACAAGGTTCGCCGCGACTATTGCACCAACTCAACCAGCACGCTCTAAGTTGGGTGGTTGGCTACTTTCAAATAAACGAGTTCTCGAGCCAGAGCTAAGCTTCGAGAACTAGCGGATCATCCTTACACAAGCTCGCACATGAATGTTTGCTCGCGCATAGTGGCAAGCCTCTTTCTCTTTCTAGATATAAAATGTCTTCGGCTGCAGTGATTGAGCGCCGAAACAAGCAGATCCAGGATGCTGTTCAAGGAGGAAACTTGAAGCAGGCACTGCAGCTGTGCGAGAAGAGGCTGAAGAAGGGAGAGAACACCCCGTTTCTCAAGGCTGGTCTTCCTCTGCGTTTGTCGGTCCCGAATTCTATGCTAAAATGATATTGTGAAATTCCCCGCAGGCCTGGAAAGCCAATATCCTGTTCCACCATGCCGACGACGCCCATCGAGAGCGCGGGGTTGCGGAGACCCTCGAACTATGCAAATCCACGCCCGCCATCACTGACATCAATGCGTTGGAAATGCTTCAGAATACACTCGCCGGTTTGGAAGAACATACAGAGACGTTGCGCGAACTCTGGCAAAACGCCGCCAAGGCCAATCCACAAGACGAGGATATTCAATTGCGATGGTTTACACTTGCATCAGAAGCGGAGGATTGGAAGACCGCTCAAAAGGTATGCGGATGCGATCCAGGATTTTGGTCTTTGCTGCCTTTTCTGAGAAATCGGGGCCGGCTGATTTAATGTGCTGCTGCTTTTAGGCCGCGATGAGTCTTCAAATCAACTTCCCCAAGACAAGGAGATACTATTTCTGGGCCATATTCATGTGCTACCTCATCGCTGCGGATGCTGGCAGTTCACTAGCAGATAAAACACTTTTTGGCACGCTAGCATATCGGATGATATCCAAAGCCGCAGACAGCGTACCGACAGACCCTGTATGTATTGCCCGTTCTCCTTTTGTCCAAAAAGTGCCGGACATTGTTCCCAAACCCTTCCCCCTGCGGTATAACAATAGTTCTTAACATATGTAGAAAGAGTTACTGAGCCCGGGTAGAGCAATTCAAACCGCCGAAGAGCTGTTGCTGCTCATTAAAATATACAGTCAGCAAGGCCGATACAATGACATTGTCGATATATTAAATAGCCAGCATCTAGGCGTTACCTCGCGCATCGCTCAGAGTGATTGGTCATTCGTGACAGCTAAGCTGGCGACTCTTGAGAAGGCGGCCCTGTGGGAGCAAGGTCTGTCCTATACGAAAGAGCTGCTCAGCCTCCCCGAGGAACTGGCCGAAGGGGGAAAGCTTCCTCCAAATTATGAAGAGAAGGATGATTGGCAGGTGTGGAGCTTGCTACTCACGGCGGTAGAGAATGTTCAAATGGAAGGGTAAGTTGATTGACATGTGTGACGGCTCTCTCGCGTCGAACCCGGCAATCTGACATATCGAAGGGCCTTCAAAGATGTGGAAGAGTTTATTGAAAATTATATCGCAAAACGACCGAAGTCGCGTAATGCGCAATTGGCACGTCTAGATCTCACTTCTCGCCAAGTATCGAAAGGCAAGCGTTTATCGCCGGCTGATCTACTGACGGGATGTAAGATCTATTTCGACAATAATAAGACGAAACTATACTGCTTTCACGATTTGCGAAGATATTTAACGATATTGGATGAGAGTTTTCGAGAGGAATTTCATTCGCATGTGGTGCAGCATGTTAGTATGGAGGCGCCAAATGGTGATAATACAGCAGTATGAATTCCTTTCGGCCGTTTTCGATGTGAACGCTGACGATAATAGGCGGATTATGCATCCAAATCCATTCCTACAATAAACGCTCTGAAATTCGAGTACTGTTTCCAACTTTCCGTGAAATGTGAGGCAGATTCAACTTCACAGGCCAAAGATTTTGCACGCCGCTGTCTTCAGCTGTTCCGAACTTCTAGACAGGCGAATCTTGCTGAAGAATCACCTTCGACCATTGAAACCCAACCTAGTGACGATTTCTGTCTGTTGGCAGCCATGAGCTTGATACGTGTGCATGAAGAGACCCAGGATTCGAAGCCATGTCCGAGTACAGTCTTGACCCAGGCTGCTGGAATTCTTGAACATCTGCTTCTCAAATCCCCTCATAACTATGAAGGTCTTCTTCTACTAGTGCGGGTATACCTGCTTCTCGGCGCCGGCTCGCTGGCGCTCAAGACGTTCGCCCAGCTTTCCGTGAAGCAAATTCAATATGAAACCGTTGCTCATAACGTCTTTACTCGCATTTCGACCATTCACCCACAAGCCGGCCCCCCTTTTTCCAGTTTGGAGAGGAAGGATTTCGACCCTCAAACGGCACTGAGGCAAGCGTTAATTTTTTACCGGAATGCAGTGAGCTCCACAGCGTATTCCTTTAGCGCTGGACTTGACCACGGCAGCTATGTAAATGTTGAAGGAAGCATTGACTTGCAAAGGAGTTTGAAACATAGCATATGCAGGAAGTTATGGGCATTGGAGGTGCGGAAGATTCAGCGTTTAGCAGGCGGTCCATCCGTGAAACAATACGATCAGCTCGGTGAGTTATAGTTCCGCCTACAAACCACGATGCATCGTTTTTAATGGTAGAATAGTGTGCAATATGGAGCCCATCATCGATAAACGCACTTTTGACGGATTTATGAATTGTGAACTACCTGGAGATCCGATATTTGAAGAGCACGTTCGACTTGGACCATTGCCTCGAGTAAGCTTACCCAACGATTGCGGGCGCCCAGCGCTGCTACTAACCGGAATTTCAGGAGCGAGCCGTCAAAGCTATGGCAGTAACAGATACGCTGCTCAACTATGTATACACTGATTCGTCCTTGAGAGAACGGCTGTTAGGTCAAGTCAACAATCTTGCCGGTTCGCATCTCGACCTTCCAGACTCCGAACTTACACCCACGGAGATAGATAACATCAAGATTCACCATCTCACGATCAAATTGATCTCGGCACTCAGCCAGAAGCCGACAGCGTCGGATACTGCCTTGTTTGATGCTACCAGTTCTGAGATCGAGGCCTGGTTGAGCGACAAAATCTCATCCATGTCTGCCTCTAACGTCACTGATATTCAAGGCACAATAAATTTAACACCTAGCGATCCTTCTACATCGTCTCCGGCCCCGTCATGGGTCTACTTACACGCAAACATCTCCTTGCTGGAGACCCTCAAGGCTATCTCTCTGTTTGTCTCCTCTCAGACGCAAGCTAAAGCAAAGTCAAAGTCATCGGGTAGTATTCCAAAAGAGAAACTCGACTCGCTGAAAGCATTGACCAAGAAACTTGCCGATATTATAACAATGAATACGCGTATATTAAAGACTCGTATTGCCGAATCCGGGATGTTAGGCCAATTGGTTTCTATAGTGACTACAGGACCGAGTGGAAATACGGACGGTCTATCGGCGGAGATTGAGGAGATGATTGATACGTCATCACTGGAGCTATTCTGCGGTTCTTTGATGGAAAGCTGGGATGAAGCACTTGATGGGGTGCTTCTGATCTGCTCGTCTGTCTGAAAGAAAAAAAAAAAAAATTGTTGAATGGGGACCTCGTAGCCATTGTCCGTTGTTCGAAGACAGTGGCTAGACTATAAACTGTTCTAAGCGCAGCGCATTTCATCGCTCATTTGTAGCGACATACATAACGTTAAAAAGGCTGAGTTGATTTCATGCACTCAAGATCATCCATTGATATTAAGCAGTCCGAAAACCACTGACGCCAGTAAAAAAAGATAAGTATGAATCTAAACGCAAGAATAAATCGTCCGCATAGTGTAAACCCCCCACATCTAATCCTGTCGTCCCTTGAGCAGCCGTTTTGTGACCTTATCTTTCTCTATGATGTATACATGGGCGCCCCAACCTGATAGAGCATCCCGGTCGACAGCGTTCAGAAGAGCTTGCGAGATGGTCTCGAATAGGTCCTCGGGACCCTATTTACGACTGTCAGTATAAGAATAAAAGCTAAACGACACATTAAAAAAAAAAAAAAAAAAAAAAAAAAAACCTACCAAATCAGGCTCCCATAGCCCCTCGCACATTCCGAATAACTGGTCGCTGGCTGTGCCGCTGACAATAAAGTCCTTTGCGAAATCAATGCATCCAATGCTGTCAAACCCACAGATAAACGGCTTTCCCGTCGTGTGGTTGATGCCCGCCAACACGGGACTGACGAACCATGGGCCAAACCGCTTCTCGTACAGACTGGACGAGACGAGGTTGGCCAAGGTCTGGGGTGCTATCTGTCTCTCCTCCCGCAAGCGGTAGAGGTTGACTTTGTAGCGCAGCAGGTCTGAGACGGAAGCGACGTCGGTTGCGAGGCCTGTGAGGCCTAGGTATGTGGAGGGAGCGTAGTTGAAGATTTTGGGGAAGTTGTTGGACACGGTGAGGGCCTGCATGCCGAGACGGAGATCGCAGGCTATGGCGACGCAGTCTTTGCCGACCATGGCGACGCAGGCTCCGCCATCTGGACGATTGCAGCTATTAGTGGTGTGGATAGGCGTGAATAGGGAAGGGGGACAAGTGTACTTATGTCGAATGGAGATGCCTGTGAGTGTGGAGGTCAGCTGGCTGCTTTGTTGGTAGAAGAGAGGCTGGGCGCGCTCACCATGACGGTCTAGAGATTGCGGTGCTGAAGAAGAAGTAATTGCAAATCCTCAAAGGGACCACGGTGTCAATGGAGTATCTTTGAGGAGTGGGTGCGGTGCCGGAGTGGTGGGAGGCAGATGAAATGTAGGAAAAGAGAGAGAGAGAGAGAGAGAGAGCGGGAGGGAGATGATGTTTGGGGGAAGCTTCAAGAGAAGCTCGACTGGGCGTTTCTGTTCTTAGCTCCAGCCAACCAGCCAGATGACGATTGGCCCGCTGCCTGCTCGTCCTGCAACGGCCCTCGAGACAGCAACATTGACAACAACGGCATCTTCGGTTTGTATTTAATGTATTTATTCTTGTCTTTGAGTCTGTGATATCCCGGCATTTCTATTTAATCGGCATTCCACCTCTTCTCGCCGTTTCGTTCCCCCCAAATCCAACCCTTTGCCCCGCCACTCCATCCGCGCCGCATAGTGATATCCCGCTAAAGGATATCTGGAAGGAGTTTGGAAGCCGGCTTCAGCTGCGGGATCACCAACATGGCATCGCACGTGGTGGTGATTGACTCTACAGCTCGAAGAGCCATCGTCAAGGTCACGCCGGCCAAGCATCTCAGCGATGTCTTAGGAGAAGCGTGCGCAAAGCTAGGTCTCGATGCTACGCAATATGGCTTGAAGTGAGCGTGCTCTACCTTTATTTGCCTTTCCCGCCGTTTGATGCTAATGACTATGGCTCTAGGCATCAGAAGAAACAGGTGGATCTCTCACTCTCCATCAGATTATCTGGCCTCAGCTCCGGGGCCAAGCTCGAACTTGTACAGCTCTCTCGTTCACCTTCAGTCGTCTCCATCGCACTCCAACTTCCCGAGTCAGAGGCGAAAGGCGTGCCCGGTGGTCGGCTGACGGATAAGTTCCCAAGCAGCACCACTCTCTGGCTCGTACTGCGCAAGTTTGAATCTGGGGTGGCAGGAAATGGAACGACGAGAAACCTAACCGCGCGGGGAGCTCCAAACACGACATCGGGCACATCCGGGTCGGGAAGGCTGTTCTATGAAACTCCCGTGATCCAACTTGTAGGAAGAGAGCTTTCTTCTTTTACAGACCTTCAGAGGACCCTGGCTCAGCTGGGATTGAACAGCGGAAGTGCTCTCCTCAGGCTGAGTTTTCGCACCACGGACCGACCCCTGGAAGAGGCTATGAGCGAGATCGATGCATATTTCAAGTCTGTTGATGCCGAGGAGACGCCGCTAGACAAGTCTCCACCAGTTTCCGAGACTCGCATCTCTTCTGGAACGGGAGAGAGCGCACGTGAGACAACGTCGCAAGCTACTCCGTCCAACACCGATCTTGTGGCTGCGGGAAGCGCAGCAATTGTGCCTGAGTCATCACAATCCGTCTCAGAAGAACCGCAGCACCCTCTTGTATCATCTCGACCGGTTACAATTTTCGCTCCCCCATCAAGTACAACCCCTCAATCGGCTCAAACACCATATAACGAAGAAGATTATATACCTACGGTTGACCATGCGAAGGCGCATCAGCATCGACTGAACCTGGCTGGTCGTAACAAACGACTAGCAGGAGACGCCGAACTCGCCGCACAAGAGTCTGCGGTCAAGGAGAAGCTAGCCAAAGTCACAGAAGTCGACGTTAAAGTTCGATTTCCAGATCAAAGTCAGGTGGTGTCTAAATTCAACCGAGAGGATACGGCTGGATCACTGCATGCATTTGTTCGAAGCTGTCTTGACGCTCCTCTTGCGAAAGAGGAATTTTCTCTCTCCTTCTTCCCCAACGTCTCGCACGATCCCGTTGCACACAAGGGACAGGTAATCATTCCCGACACACCCGATAAATTCCTCATTGCAGATCTCAGAATGAATGGCCGCGTCCTGGTCAACTTTTTGTGGAAAGATCACGCTGCCCTCGCCGCGCGCAGCGCAGGAGTTCCCCTACTTCTCCCCGAGCTCAGGGAAAAGGCGAGCCAGATCAAAGTTAAAGACGTCGCCGCCGTCCCGGCGGAGGGCCGCGAAGAAGACAAGAGATCATGGCTGAGGAAGCTCGGGGACGGGGGTGATAAGGGTGGTAAGAAAGGTGGCGGAGGTGGTGTCCCGAAATGGTTGAAGTTACCTGGGAAGAAATGAATAAAACAATATAATAATCCCTTACAGACGGGGATAAGACTTTTTTTTTGGCTTATTATTTCTGTTGCCGCGATGAATTGGTTCTGATGACTTGGGAGTTTCACGACGGGGTATGGTTTTGTTATGAATGCATGATTTGTACACTTACAGAAATGAACAAAATAGCCTACATTAGATTGGCGAGCTCGCTGATAATGAAAAGCAACGCCGTCATTTGCCATAGGTAAAAGAAGTCCTTAAATTGACAGATTGAGTCCCCCGGAAGTAGTGGTGCGAACATGGCTGGCTTCAAGAGAAGTTTTTTTTTTTTAAAAAAAAAAAAAGGAAAAAAGGATATCAGGGAATCATGTCATTATTGATTTTGGTTTCGGTGATTTCTAGCTTCGATTTGTCGACGGATGGGTGCGATTTAAACCACATGAAATAAAAAAAAAAAACATAATCTCGAAGCCCATCGTCAAAAAACAGATGCCCCACGAAAAGTTCACCGAGCCCTGCGCCTTGTTTCCCAGTAAGAAATCGAGGCTTCCCTTCTCTCTCTCGCCTAAGAAAAGGTCCAGATGTCGCATAACACAACTCTCTGCCCGTCTCTCGATGGCACACGCAAGGCCATGGACTCTTTGCACTACGACCACCCCAGGCTACTGCTGCCCCCTCCACATCGCAGAGTCGGATTTAGTGAGCACCAGTCCGTCTGGCCTCAGCGATGACCTTCTGCATCTCGTCGACCTTTCTCTTGGCACGGCCGAAGGTACCGAGCTAGTAGCAAAGGAAAAAGGCGAATGTCAGTAAACGTCACGCAATTCCCTCAGTGTATTCGAGTAAATTGGACCGGGGGGGAGTTGTTGTTGGGCGACTTGGAATCCCACTGCTTCCATATGGTTGGAAAAGCATCTCATGCACTCTTCTCTCTCCCCCTTCTCCAAGATTTCCAAAGTCATCCAAAGCACCAACATCGCATCATCCCCTCCCCCCCCAAAAAGCCCAAAGAGGATAGAAAAAAGGGGGGTGGAGGAAGGGAAAAGCCCTTACTCTCTTCTTAGCCAACTTCCTGGCACGCTTATCCTGGGAGTTTCTCAACAATTCGATGACGCGGCGCTCATACGGTGCGAGACCAGCGACTTCCTTGACGATCTCTCGGACGAACGCGGTACGGCGGGACAAGGCACCCTTTCTTCTCGAGATGCGGGGGCGCTTCTCGATGGCGGAGGTTTTCTAAATATCACACACAATTCCCCATCATTAGCAAAAAAAAGGTTCTATCCCCATCGTTTCCCTCGATTCTCCTTTTTCTTTTCGAAAATTGTATTTCCCAAACAATGGGCGCTCGCGCTGGCGCCAGCTTGGGTGATATTTTTTGTGTGTGTGTGTGTGTGTGGAGGGGAGGACAGGGAGACGTACATGGCCCTTGTTCAAGCCGAGAATGAGTCCGGAGCGTTCGTTCGCCATCTCGAATGAATTGTGACGGGAACCGGTTGGTGGTGTTGACTGTTGGAGATGGGGCGGCGTTTGGTCGTCGATGGCCGGTTTGTCGTTCGAGAGACGGAAGAATTCGTTGTGCACAAACAGGACTGTCTGACTAATTGGCTGGCTTTGCCGGTTGGTGTGGGCACAACCAAATTAGGGCTTAGGGCTTAGGGCTGCGAGGTTCGAGTTGCTCGAAAAAAGTCAAAAGCTGCAAAAAGGTTTCATTTTTCGCCCCAACGATCATACAGGTAAGCAGTGAATCGGCGAGATATCTATGGAGTACGCAGTACAGGCCTTCGATTGGCTTGGTTCTAAGTTTACAAAGTAGATGAAGTTCATCGAGGTCTCTTTCGCCGTCATGAAGTTGAGTAACGGTATGTCACTACTTGGCTAGGCTTGTTCTCTAAAGCTAGACTTTATAGATCGACCTCATGTATACTCCGTAGCAGAAAATGTCTTTAAAGGAACGGTAGTTGATTGTAGGAGGGAAAAAAAAAGAAAAGAAAAGAAAAGAGGTAAGGTACTCAGCCGAAATATGTAATTCTTCATTGATTATTGTCGGGGAATATCATACCTCATCAATTAATTAAAAAGGCTTTGAATAGGACGAAAAGGCAAAAACCCAATGCAAACAAAGAGGGGATATCATTTACGATGTTGCAGAGGACCTCACAAAAGGTGCTCTGTACATAGCGGAACCGATTCAGATACCAGTAACAGAAAGAGGGAGGGAAGTTATATGGGAAAAAAAAAAGAAGGATAGTAAGCAAAAATCCGTGATCCAAAATGTAGTCTTTTTCTTTTATCGCTCCCTCGCAGAACAGAACTCTTCAATCAGCCTTTCTAAATCTCTCAGTTTGTATGGTTTCGTCATATATCCCGCCATCCCAACGCGATTTGCCCGATCCAGCGCTTCGTCTGTCACATCTGCGCTGACTGCAAACACCGTTGGGGGTCCAAGCGATACCGGCTGTGACGTTTGGCCATGGCCATCTGCATTGAGATCAATATTCGCAAGACGCTCGCGGTACTCCTCTACCAACGCAAAGATCTTCTCCGTTGCTTCGTATCCATCCATGTCAGGCATCCAAAGGTCCATCAGAACAAGGTCAATGGCTTTGTAATCCTTGGTGGAAGGAAGAGTCTTGTCAGCTTCCTGGTCAGAGTCCGGCGGTGATTGAGTTTGAGTTGGATTTGCGGGGTCCATGGCCAAGGTACTGTGGTTGCTGGGGGGCTGGTTTACAGGTGTATTGGGTAAGGTGATATCGGAATTGCTTCTCGAACGGGTCGAAATAGGCGCGCTTGGTGTTGACGGAGGAGGCGACGAGGCTTGGCTTGATAGGATTTCGCTCACGATCCGTACTGCCTCTTTTCCGTCAAATGCCTCGTAGACATCGCTATAACCAAGTTTTGCCAACATATTAACCAGTATTCGACGGTTGATCTTGTTATCTTCCGCAACAAGGAATGTCAAGGGGTGTCTTTTGGCCAACGTCTTATCACATGTATGCCTCATAAGCGGTATCGGTTTAGAGTTTCCAGACAAGCGGCGTATCATTTGACTCTGATGAACGCCGTTCTGCTGACCGGGATCCTTCGTGTCAGGCAGCGTCGGCGAGGCCAGAGGCGAAGAAACTTCTCCATTTATTTTTGGCTTGGGCTGATCGGTAGGGGGGCTGTGTGCACCATCAGTCCCCACGGACGGTGCAGTAGATCTAGGTGTTGAGCTGTTCGTGTAAGGGGTGGGTGGACGGCTGACGCTATCGCTAGGGAACAAGGGAAGCCGAATTTGGAACTCTGAGCCACGATTCGGCTCCGTCGTCGATGAGCGAACGCATACTAGATCTCCGCCGAGCTTTCGAGACAGCCCCTTAGCGACCATCAAACCCAACCCGAGTCCTTCTTTGCTTCGTGTAGTCGAGCCATCTTCACGGGCCCAGGGTTTGAACAGCTTTGGCAGAAAGGCTTCCGGTATACCCGTTCCGGTATCCTTGACGTTGATCAAGACACAAGGCGGTTTGCCGCCGACTGTGACGGCGACGGTAATTTCTCCAACTTCGGTGAACTTGAGGGCATTCAGGAACACGCAAGAGACAAGTTTCGTGAGGTCCTTTTCATCGACACATAGGCTCTCTGGGACCGATGGATCCACCCACCAGTCGATGTATTTTGTGGAGGCTTGACCGTTGCAACCCAGCGTCTGTACTTCAATTCTTTCACCACAATCTGTGGACTCGACTCTGGCTGAATCCGGGCGGCCACCCACTTGAAGCGACTCGTTGATGACCAGGCGAAGCAAGTCTCGGACTTTTGTGTAGTGCAAGACCATGGGCGGAAAGACAGCGCGTAAGGGACGCGACGACTGGGATTCACGAGTTGTCGACGGGCGTCGAGCGACAGCATCCAACAAAGCGTCGTCCATCGCATCTTGAGGCGTAGAGTGTACGATCTTGTCACTCTCTTCGATCGCACTTCTTAACTCTGCAGTGCGAGGAGAGACTCCACGGCGGGACGAAGGGGTGCATCGATGTTTCGGCGACGATGAGGACTGCCAGTCCATTGGAGTGCTTCGCCTGCGTTTGTAGGGGTTGACCATGATATTGCTGCCTTCGATAAATATGTTTGGGCGATTTTCATGTGAGTCGCCGCTTGATCGAAACGAGCCGTTTTGCATCTCTTCGTCCGCAGGGTTCTGGGGGGTATCAGGGACCTGCATGTTCAAGTTGTACGCATGGACGATATTATCGGCCGCTTCAATGGCCCGTCTGGCGCTATCTGTAGAAACACGTCAACAATCAACTGGCCATGCCAATGTTTAAAGCGTGGGCGAAAGGGGGGTTGGGGTTTCGGTTTCCCTGCTGACCTTGAACCGCTTCGATGTTTTCGCGAAATTCAGTAAACATTGGGACCAAGCTGGGATCCAGCTTATTCTCAAGCTTCTCCTGAACGGTAGCATGCATGATATCTAACATACCGACCACACCCTGCATTGGGGTTCGAAGCTCATGTGATAAGCTTCTTGCATACGGTTTAAAAGCTGGAGCAGCCATGGGATTGCTCTGGTTTACAACCGTTTTTGTGGGCTTGCCCTGCAACAACCTCCTATCGAGCTCCTCCCACCTTTGAAGGTGTGGAGGTTTCCTGTGGCCTTCATCGACGGCTATATGCTGAAGTATCAAGTCTTCCAGGGAATGGAGAATCATTTCAAGATACGGCCACGAGACGTCCCGAGAGAGCAAGCCCTCCGCCGTCCACAGCATGCCTACATGAGCGAAACACCTCCCCGCTGAGAAGAGAGGAACAGCAAGATAGGCTTCGACGGGGAAAGGCAGTCGATCCGCATCTTTCCCGATAACAGCAGGCAAGCTCTCCGGCACCAGACAGACCTTGTCGTGATTCATTGAAGTACAGGGGATATCCCAGGACAGATATCTGTAATCTCTATGCATCGCTTGAAACCCCTTGCCGTCGTTGTAGTAGACAGCCACACCTAGCAGAGAAGAACTACGTTCGTCCAAAGACAGCATCTCAACGTCGGTGTCTTCATCATCATCATCATCATCATCATCATCCTTGTGGCTTTCCTTGGCGACGAACGCACACTGAGCATGACAGATCGTGGTCAATCCTTCCATGAGCCGGGTCCAAAACGATTCGGTGTCGGCATCCCTCAGCTCATCCTTGAGTGCGACGAGCTGCTCGATGGCGTTGCTCTGACCCGCCTCGAAGAAACGGGAGACATAGTCAATGGGCTTGATGGGGGCCTTGGGGACGACTGCTTCGGGTGGTGAGCTGGAGATAAGGGCAGGATCGGGGTTTGATTCGGCGGGGTCGTTTGACGCAGCAGCGTCGGACTCATCCATCGTTGTCCGCCAACTATGGAGGTAGTAGTGCTGAGGGTCCAGGGCGGGAGACGATGTGTGGGGGGAGAGGAGGGGAGGCAAAAGACGTGGAGAAGAGAAATCGTTATTGACAACGAAGAGCTACGGTCGAAAGGTGTTCCCGAATCACGGGGCGGGATTTGAAAGATGCTAGTAACGGTGCGGAGCGATGGGTCAGCGGAAGAAGCAAAACATTGGACAGTGGGCGTGCAGAATAGAACGGGTGAGTGACGGTGGACGTGGGGATTCCTGCCGAAGGGGGACGAAAGATGGCCAGCTGAAGTATTGACGTACAGGTTTTGACGATCATCCGGATGGCCAATGTTTTAATAAGAGGTGCATGAAGCTTGGAGGGACAGCGGGCGTTGTGAGTGGACATGCAGGACGGCGGGAAGATGCAGAGCCACCGCGACCACCACGACAGACAAAGGGAGACGCTAGCTCATGGATTCCATACAGCTGGGCGGGGCGTGAGAGGGAGCGAGGATGCGAGAGCACAGCAGGACAGGAGACGATGACTGGAGAAAGTGAGAGTGTAAAGAGAGAGTGAGTGAGAGTGAGAGTGTAAGAGAGAGAGTGAGAGAGAGTGAGAGTGTAAGAGAGAGAGTGAGAGAGAGTGAGAGAGAAGAACTGGGGATTTGGCTGTTGAGGGGGACGGAAAAAGGCTCGAGAAGGGGCAGCCTGCTTAGTTAACGAGTCCTGGCTTCGTCTGGAATCCGGCCGGTCAAGAACTAGACCAGCCCATATCCGCCGAGCAGGCCAAAAAAATTAAAACAAATAAGAAATAAAAAAAAAAAAAGGAAAAAAGAAAAAAAAAAAAAGGATAAAAAAGGAAAAAAGAAACAAGTAAGTTATCGAAAGATGCTATGTAATATCTCGAAAAGTAAAACTCTCTGGGATCGTCCCGGCTATGGAGTACGGACGATATCCTCCATCTGCAGTGCACACCTTCACACAGGCGGGCGGCTACAGATGCATTGCGTCCTCGAGTCGGACTGACCACCAATCCTTTTCCTCCCAACCCACCTGGAAACACAAAACACACCCCCCCACCTCTGCTGAACAGTGAGCCCAGGCTGTGCCCTGACGCTCGTACTCCGTACAGAGGAAAAACGAGTTGGATCAATTACCCTCTTCAGATGATCCGCAAGTGCGTCCAGGCAAAGCCGCGGCGCCATGGCCGGAGATACGAGAGATCTCGCGATAATTCTGCTACGGGCAGCCGAAACCCCCCATCACGGTCACACACACCTAAACATGCCCTCGATCTGGGTTCCTCCACTTGAGTTTTGGGGCCCTCTGAAGAGTGGGATTGTTTTGTGGAGCACGGCGACTTGGAGCTTTGAAATCCGGACCACGTTCCGCGTCTCCTTTTTGCTTTAAATTGTTCTTGTTCTATTTTACTTATTCATTTATCCATTCTATCTTTATTTATCTCTACTTATTTATTCATTATATCTTTATTTATCTTTAATTATTTATTTTTTATTTATTTAGGAAAACGAAGCAGCAGAAGTGCGAGCGAAGAAGCGTGCCGAAAGGGCCCGTCACCATAAATCGCCTCCTCCACCCGGGGCGAAGCGCAGACCAACCCTCCGAGGGCTGCCAAAAAGGACAAATGAACTTATGAAAAAGGCTGAGAAGCGCGGGAAGTCAAACAAAAAAAAAAAGAAAGAAAGAAAGAAAAAAAAAAAACCACAGGAAAACCGACCAGAATCTAGACCATTCGAGGAATAGACGGCAAATCCGTTTTCTCAGCCACCGTCGTCATGCCAGCCAATCGCCCGGCTCGTTGCTTCGGACAGAAAGAGTCCCCTGCACGGCCGCCCGGAAGCTCTGTGTGTCGCTCGACCGCCAGCCAGGGCGACGCCGTCCGAACCGTCCAGGGCATGGGGGGGGAATCCCAGCTGTCCCCATGTCCCAGATCAACGGCCCTCCGCCGCTCCCCGGCTTTGCCGAACCTTCTTCAGAAACATGAATAAAAAGAAAGAAAAAAAGAAAAAAAAAAAAGAAAAAAGGAAAAAAATTGGGAAAAAAAAAATTGGGAAAATTGGGCAAAATGACAAATAGGACAAATGGAGAGAATGGAAAAATTACTCAATAGAAAAGAATTTTCAAAAAAAAAAAAAAAAAAAAAAAAAAAAAAAAAAAGGGAAAAAGAAAAAAGTAATAACAAAATCTATTTCAAAAATTCAAGCACCGAAGCTAACCCTAGCAAGTCTATCCAACTATTCGGAAACGTAGTCTTTGTATTTTTATTAGGTGGTGGCTTTTTTTTTTAAAAAAAAAAGAAAAGAAAGGAAAAAAGAAAAAAAAAAGAGAAAAAGGTATCATGGAGAGCGAAATCAATCAATGATCTTGCCCATTGAGCAGAACAAGATGCCTCACAACCTCGACGACCTCATCCTCGCTTATATCCAGGTCAAGGTTGTCCAGCCTCCTTGCAAGCGCCTTATCAAATAGCATCCTCAGCCGCGAGACAAGCACCCCGATTCTAGCCCAGCCTCGGAGTGACAGCCATCCATCGACCACAAGACCGCGGCCATGTGTGTCCAGAGTAATTGGCCCGCCAAAAAGAAGCAGCGAGTAAGCATTGAAAGCTGTGGAAGGATCATCAGCATTGGTGGCGACCAAAAAAAAAAGAAAAGAAAAGAAAAGAAAAGAAAAAGAAAAAAGGGAGGTACGGAGTAGTTATTTCACTTAACGGGGAGACCAAAAAAACAAACATCAGAACTTACGGGTTAAATCGCGGACAAACACCTTAGTCGTCGCCATCTTCGAAAAATAACTCACGTATGCCGCCGCTCCCGAGAAGCTCTGCGCGTCGAACAGCGCTGAGCTGGGATGCACAAACACGCGCCCGTTCTCCTCGTTGAAGTACTTGATCGTGCGCGCTTCGGGATCGACTTCGATCGTCCCCGTCATCGACGCGGCGAACCTCTTTTCTGGGAACGATATTGAGGCTACCTGAGGATTGAATGCTCCAGCGATCAAAGCGCGGAGCAACTGCCAGTTTGTGTTATGCCGGTTCCACCGGCGTTCGGACAGTTCTCCATCGCCTCGGTAGCCAACTGGCAGTATGCCAACCTCCTTTAGCGAAGTCAATAGCTGGGCCCGATTAGAAGTGATGTCACGAAGAGTCTGGGGGACCAGAAAATTGTCGTTACACCAAGCCAGTGTCCTCCGATAGCCCTGTAACTTGACTCGCTCTGACCACTGTTGATACGCCACCATGTCAATCAGGAGGTCCCCGTCTCCGGTTGAAAAACTGGCCCTTGCGGCCTTTGCTTCGTCTCGTTGGTCCTTCGGCGATGCGAACGGGCTCTTAGCGGTCAGGATGGCAGCTATGCTCAGGCAAGCCTCTAAACATCCAAATATAACACCAAACACCATCAGCTTGGCACAGCGCAGGTCGGCTGGGATTATGGACAGGTATCGGCCGAGGACGGTTAGCTGATCGTTGTCCAGTGCGCCTATGCGATGAAGCGTGCCTATAGCGCCTTTCACAGCAGCTGTGTCCGGCGGGGTGAGGGTCTTTGCGAGGAAACCGGCTACATCGTCGATACCCTTCATTGCTTTGACAGACAGACAAAGCTGTTCCAGCGGAACCCGCTGTATTTCCGGAGCGGGCCTGGGGGCCATATTATTCTCCGCGTTTCGAGTGTATAACTTATAACAGGTGCCGTTTCTGACTCGCCCCGCTCGACCTCGGCGCTGCTTGCAGGCAGCCTGGGACGCCCAAGTCTCCTCGAGCCGGACAATGTTATCCGCCGGGCTGTAACGGGTTTCCTTGACTCTACCGGTGTCGATGACCGCGACAACGTCTTCAATTGTAATGGACGTTTCAGCAACATTAGTTGCGGCAATAACTTTACGCTTCCCTTTCGGTGCGGCTAAAAACACCCTTTTTTGCTCGTTCGGCGTAAGTGATGCATGCAACGGTAGCAGATGAGCGAACGAGAAATCCCGCATGGTTGCTAAACACCGATCTATTTCCATCGTCCCCGGCAAGAAGATCAAGATGCCCCCGGGTTGATCCTGAAGCTGGGCGTCGATATGGCGTACGGTGGCCGCGATCAAATGATAGCTAATTCCTTTCCCGAGTCTCTGCAGAGCCTTGCCCACGGACAACTCTTCCCGTTCATCGAGGGTCCCTGGAGATTCATCCCAATTCGACAAAACACTCGCTTGGTTCAAATCCGTCAATTGGACAACCTGATCAATGTAGATATCTTCAACGGGGAAAGTTCTCCCTGCGATATTAACTCGGCCAACCTGATTCTCACCGCCAAAATACCGTACGAAGAGGTCCGAGTCTAGTGTCGCACTCATCAGAATGAGCTTCAGGTCACGTCGGGCCTTCAATGCTTCTTTCAGGATCGCTAGAAGGATGTCTGTATCCAAACTTCGTTCGTGTACCTCGTCAACCACGACGTGAGTGATGTCGGCGAGAGATTCCGCAAGACTGTTGCCACCGACTTGTAGACGACGTAGAAGCACACCAGTTGTCATAAAAGTAATCTTCGTAAGCCCAGACTTAAATTTGCTATCTCCTCGAATGATATATCCAACCTCGTCCCCGACGGCCGAGCAGCGTTCAGCGCTGACCCGATCAGCAAGGCCCAGCGCGGATATACGTCTTGGCTGTGTGCAGACAATATTCGCTGTCGAACCGAGGTCGCGTCGAATCATATCATCAAGCAGAAACTGAACGGACTGCGTACTTTTACCACTCCCAGTCTCTCCGGAAATAATTGTCACCTGGTATGTGTTCACGGCTTGCACAATTGCATCCTGCATGGCCCAAGCCGGAAGACACTTTCTGGCGATGATCATCTTCTGCTGCTCGGGGCCCCTATGCCTGGATTCCCACGCTTCACGAATGCCCGCTTTCTGCTGGGCTCCTCCTTGCACCTTGGTCCGATGCGGAAGTGTTCGGGAACCTTTTAGGCTGGCTGGTCTGGCGTGTTCATTAACGACCCTCGACGGGGTATCGATAGATATATTCCGTAACTTCCCAGGATTTTCGAGAATACGAGGTATCTTTTCCTCTAGCCAGTCTACCAGGTTAAAGACCATCGGGCCCCCAAGCAAGTTCTCATAGGCATATTGGATAGCCTCTCTGATTGCGCTGAGGCGTATATAAGCTGGTATTTTTTTGGATGATATGGTGAGAACCAGAGGGCAGATAGGGTATGAAGCGATAGCTGGCTTCTGGAACTGATAGGCTACAGCATACTGCGAATGCAACTGGTCTGATATGATTTCGCACTTATTGCTCGACAGCTTTTTGTATTTTTCACCATATATTGCCTCCAGAGTCTGGTTCTCCTCTTCCCATGCGTCACGTTCGCTTTCAGGCAATTCGCCACTTGGGAAAAAATCCCCACTGTCGACAAGCAGGCTTTGAAGACATTCTGCTGCTTTGAGCTCATCATCATTGTTATCCTCAAGTGCTTTTGCGCATAGATCAGTGGAGTAGCCGGCCAACGCCAGCCGTTTTATTTTAGATTCCCGAGCCAGGTCACCACTGGCAAGGGTTACGCCGGCCGAATAACCCTCCGGAAGACTCCATTTCGGGAGATCGTCCTCCGGAACGTGTATCAATAACCACTCTAACGCTTCTTCCCTATCCTTACATTCCGCCACAGCTTCTTCAACATGGCTCTTGCGGAATCCTAGATTGCTGAAGTCGTCCACGATTCTTTTCTTTTCAGAATCATGTATCTTAACTCCATAGGGGTTCCAAAGGGCGCTTTGCCTGACCAAATCTTCGATCTTTCTGCGTGTTTTCTCGCCCATTTCAATCTTGGGCGCCTTTTGCCAACGAATACCAGGGGGAGGCTTGTTGTCACCACCGGCGGAGCCCAATTGCACAAGTGGTTCCTTTTGCTTCAACTTACCCTTGCTATCTTGCTCAGCCTTGCGCTTCGTGGAGTCGGCGACAGCATTTTGGTGCTCTTGCTGCGCAGTAAAGGGATCGGATTCATACATCCAAGCCTTACCCGCTTTTACGTCGTCCACCTTGAGTTGGGCAAATTCCTTTTTCCAAAGATCACGATAGGTAGGAGGCATCATCATATGTAGATTCTGCATGCTACACACGCGAAATAAGGCATAAGATGCCGCAAAATGACGTGCTTCCAGTGCAGTGGGCTGAGCGGCTAGTTTGCTGTGCGCTTGAGGAAATCGCATTGGGGGAAGCGTCACCGTCTCCTTAGTCTTGGGGTTTGTCTTCTTTAAGATAACGCTGGATATAAAGCCGTCCGGACTTTTGAACTATAGCCAGTGGGCTTCTGTAAATACCAAAAACGTTTAAGGCGATCCAATCTCGAGTCTGCAAGGACTTACCATCGTATACTCCGGCTTTTCCCATTTCTGTCTCTGACAGTGCTCTGAAAGCATGTTCACGGGCAGCTTCCCCGTCCATGATGCGCCGCCTATAATCGATCTGACGGTTGGTTTCTTAGGTTGTTCCGTTTCACCACCGGCAGACGATTCACCGCCAGCCTTCTGGCCTTTGGATTTGCCTTTCGCATTCTTGGAGTCTCCCCCCGCTACAAAATCATCGATGGAAATTTCTTTCGGCTGTTGCTTTGGTGGATTATTCGATTTTCCTCGACTGGCACCGCCCCTTTTCGGGGCCATCGTAAAACCGGATAAAAGGTGTCCCACCCCGGAGCCGTTGCGACCTGATACCTTGTGCTGTTTGGTCTCGATGGCTTCGGCAAGACAACTTTTTGATATTCACGGAATCGGATTAGTCAGCATCATCTTGGGATAACTTAGTCCGACCCCAGCCTTCGACAGCCTTCGAAGACGGACAAGCATTGTTGAATCTTTTAGGAACGAGACACGGAGGATTTGTGACATCACCAGTAGCTTTCAAATAATGCCTGCGACACCGCAAACGAGTGAGAAGGACGCGGAGAGAGCCGCAAGTCCTGAGATGGCTGGAAAGACGACCAATGCCTGTATTTCTCCATAGCAGATGGCCCACAGGATACAGCCGGCAATTTCTGACCTGACTCTTCTGTAGTCACGGTTCTAATGTCTAAAAAGCCAAAAGATTCTACCAATAACCCAGAGCTATCGCGAGACAGAACAAAGTTCCCCCGAGCCTTCCAGAGTCGAGATGCACTGGGCGCCTATATCGAGAGACCAGAATCTTCGCCGGGAATCGTGTATCATACTGACGACTTCGTCGCGATAAGTGATCTCTATCCGAAAGCTAGCATTCATCTTCTTCTCTTGCCGAGGGATCCATCGAAATATCGCCTCCACCCGTTCGATGCATTTGAAGACCATGAATTTTTGACAAAAGTCCAGACAGAAGCCCAAAAGCTTCGGAAGATAGCAGCATCAGAACTGCGGCGTCGTTATGGCAAATATTCTGTGTCGGAAAAGGCTCGCTCGGAAGCCATGGATGCCGATCCCGCTCCCGACGAGCTACCCCCCGGGCGGGACTGGGAGAAAGAGTTAATGTGCGGCGTGCATGCTCACCCATCGATGAACCACTTGCACGTCCACATCATCTCCAAGGATAGATGTAGCCCGTGCCTGAAGCACAGAAAGCACTACAACAGTTTCTCCACACCTTTTTTTGTTCCCATAGATGATCTGCCACTCGACCACCACGACGCCAGGAGACACCCCGGAAGAGAAGGCTATCTCCAGCAAGACTTAAAATGTTGGAGATGTGGATCCAACTTCGGAAACAAATTTGCGTTACTTAAGGATCACCTCAATCAAGAATTCGAAACATGGAAGTGCTATTAGTGCCGATCCTCCAATTTTGCATTTTCTATTCTACGGGAACTAAGGTACAGACCAACCCGCCATGTTTACTCTTGGTGGAGCTCATGTTTAAGTCCGGAGAACTGGGATCTCGAGATGATTGCACCTATTCCCAGGATTTTGCTCTTCAGCGAAAGGTCTTTCGCGCTACTTTTAAGTCTTCAATCTCCTTCTTGAGCTGCTGGCACTTAGGTAGCACGAGAATGTCTTCTCGAGCAATATCTTGAAGGATGTCCGGGGGCAGTTGCTGGTTAGAAGTTGCCGACAATAAACTTGAACGGCGTTGTGGGACCTGTCAAGAGATGGTTGCGTATCCCTTGCGTGGTTACGGTATCGATGAGCCGCTTATGACTAGTATCATAGGATGACTCCAAAATATCGTGGATGTCTTAGGCCGCGTTATCCGCGTTACGCAACGGATGAGTGTCTCAGATCCTTTTTCTTGATACCCTAAAGTACCCTGTCGCCTTTCTCAATGCAGGAAACCTCAACCTTGTCGAAATGCTCTTGGCTTTGCATGTTCTGACTGTGAGTCAAGGTTGGCCATATATTTATTCTTATTATACAAGTCTGATCGGATTATACTCACAAATTTTCTAGTTTGTTACCAAATAAGTAGTCCTCTTTATTTTACTCTGCCAGGTAATTGCACTGTCAATACACACTGGAAGAGTAAAATAAAGAGGACTGCACGCGCTCTTCGGCGTAAAAGGACGTGAACTCTGTCGAGATGAATTGATGAATCACGATGATGGTGTCGCTAACATATGCGAGAGAGATGACTCCCCGCTTGGTCGACTGACTTTTCATGAGAGTCGATAACAAAGACAGATTGAATGGTCCCATTTCGAAGCCCTTTGAGCCATTATATACACTCTCGATCAATTCTAGAATTGACCTAAAAACTTGTACTGACTGAGATTGCGAACTACATTCCAGCCCAGCTTGATGCCAGATTTCTTGCCTTTCAACATGTTAAGACAGCTTTTTCTCCCCCCTTATCCACAAAATCTGGTATGGTAAAGACTCCCAAGGTGCTGTTACCGTCGGATCGAGGTCCTTGCAACGTTGAAGAATATTCTGAATCGCTATTTTGGGACCACTGCCAGCATAGTCGAACGCGGTTTCTTCATATATCTGAGGATCATCCCCTGAACGACCCGAATATCTTCCTTGAATGTGACACCTTCAACCGTATTGGTGAAAGGTCTGGGGAAGTCAATTACACTCAAATAATCTAGCCCCTAGGTCTGACGAAGAACGTCTTCGGAGAAGATGGACAGGCTCGGACTACCCTTGGTTTCTTTGGGGCGACAGATTCACCGCTCTGTGGGCCTTAAGACAGTTAGAAAAGCAAACCCGCAACTTGTGAAAGCATTCCGCATATCTCTATCAAAATCTCCGTTAGCGATATCGCGGCTAGTTTGCCAACTTCTATGTTTCGACTTTTTCCATTCTTCACATGCTCCGGGCTTGAGTTTAGTACAGGAATGACGGACATCTTGATGCTTTCCACTATCGCATCTTCTCTTACGCCAAATCTAAAAGCTTTTGGGGAGTGATATGAAATGTGAAAGATAGAGGGAAAAAACAAAGTGATGTAACAGCTCGAACCTGGTCTACGCAAAGGTATGGCAATCGCCTGTTTCGACCGGAAACTTCGGCAAAGCTCCCTTTCTCACCCTCTATGGCGATGAATCAGCCCTATCAATCACTATTGTTGTGTTTGCATCAGTTGTCGGTCAAGGACCTGATTTCCCTATACCCAACACTTTTGCTCGTGCTTGCGCTCCAATAATTATTGATCCCTTCATCATTACCATGAGCAATGCAGTGTATTCATATACTCCTAAAAGGTCCATTTATTCCTGCCAACCCTTCTAGTGTAGTCCTAACTTAACCAAGTCAACATTTCCACAATATATACACATCCTTCAAATCCTATTCTCTCTGTGTTCTCGTGTTTGTCGAGATTTGCCGATCAAACAGAGCCGGATCGCGGAAGAAACATGTGTGCTTAACTTCACCCTACATACCAGATAGGTAGACCCTCATTCTTCTCTGCGACTCTTCTTCAAATTGTCTCTAAGATGCATGCAAGATATAACCTCTCAACTTAGAAGAAACAATCAAACAAAAAGAACTTTCATCCTGTGCAACCTCACGAACGAGCTTAAATAAGCTTAAAATGGTCCTAAGCTTGGCATCACTCTTTCTCCCTTCTGCCACTAGAGAGGACCCGTATTAGATGAGAAGGCCTCAGCAGCTACTCGCCAACTCCCATTGACGTGAGTATCGAAAGGAAACATAAGCTCGCAGAAGACTCATACAATTCAATTAATCATAAGGAAAAACTAAGGTTCTAAATAAAAGCAAAAAGAGAATACCTCACAAAGACCAATCTGATAACCCATATTAGAAACTGAATTCAGTCTCCCAACCCCAACCCATGCCCAGAGAAGACTCCCATTTTTCCCACCCTACCTTGAATTCTTTGCTCTCACCGAATACGCCACATAATATGAACTCCATCGCCAATCCGATGGAACATATGAGATCCAATTGCACCGCAAAGATAGACATAGGAAATCCACACTGGGGGAGTCCAGAAAAAAGAAAAATAATCGAGCCACGACTCTGATCCGTGTTGTGTCCACAGTACCATGTCGAATGGTAACTTAAGTCGAGTCAAAAGTTGAAAAATTGATTGTTTCAGGAGTCAGTTAAGAAGGGAAAGCCGAAAGAAAAGAGAGGATTCGACGGACGGCCATGTTGTTTGAAGGCGCCTTTCACTGGTTTATGCACCTCAACTAGCAAAGATAACCCTGTGTTCTGGCCGATCGCTAGTAGAACATCGGATTCATACGAACAAGGCCAGAGTTATAAGATATCGTGCAAAGGCACCTTAATGAAGAAAGATCCAGTACAATAGGAGATGTGAATGAATGTGGAATGGGTGGGAGCGAAAGTCCAGTCGCCGCAGCCAGGTCGGAGGTTGAATATCATGGCTCGTCAACTTCATCGTCTCATAATAGAATGGCATGGTTTTAAAAAGTCCAAAACATAAGAAAAGTTGTCGCGAGAGAAATCACCATAGTTCATAATAACCCTCACGGTTTTATTGCATCCATTGCATGTGAGGTGTGGTGAAATAAGGAGAAGATAGCAGGTAAGACCTAGAAGCGCCGAGGTGCTTGGACGTGATTATGCACGGAAACGAGGCGGTTTGAAGGAAACTGAGGGGGCTGAGGGACTTGGAAGCCGCTCAAAGACTCATGTTCAGCAAAAGAGGCTGCTCGTTTAAACCGGCGATCAGAATATTTTTCGTAGATGGCAGGGTGGTGTCTCTGTGGCGCGTCACAGCACTCAAACATCAATTTCATGACAGGATACAGCTGGGAATACGTGTATTTCGAGTAGTGAACATGGGCCGCACCCTAGAAGATGACTCGGTTAGACAAGTACATCAAAGCGCAATCAGCATGAAAGTGAGAGCATACCCAATCCCCTTTTCTCAGCATCATTCGTGCAAGGCAGTGTGCAGCTGCCGCAACAAAACTCGGAGGACTGCCAACAAATCTTTCATCCATGATGGTGATTTCGAGGAAGTACTTGGCCAAGGTTCGGGTCTCGAGGTCGTAATCATCGGCTTTGCTAATTCGACGTAGAAAGTTCATTGGGCCTGGCCATCCAAGCTCAAACTGAAGCAAGCTAAGCATGAATCGTTCCGCCTTTAAGATTTCTTCGGCGGTGTAACCATTATCAACCATGTAAACGATCTCTTGAACGGATGGGCAATTAATCTCTTCGTATTTTGCTGCGATGAAAATTGCAGTTGCACCGACAAGCTGAAGCTTGCCTAGCGAGACAATTTTGCAAGAAAGAAACCGATCAATGTAATTGACACAAAGAAAAAGAGTTTCGGGAAGCAGGTTAAAACGAAGGTGGACTTGTACAATCCAATCCATGAGAACTGAGCGCATAGACCACTGAATTTCAGCTTGAGTGTCCATATAATGGGGATTGGGCATCAGTTTAATCTATTATATCAATAGTCAGTGTTAGCTTTTAACCGGGATGGCGTAGAATCGGTACCTCGAGCTTCCTCATGTAATCAAAAATCTCATCCCCGTATTCGGCAACCATGGTGGGATCGGAGCATTCCTCTTCATAATCCTGGACGGCTCTGGTAGATTCGACTACCTGTTTAGCAAGTGCCAGCTCTTGCTTAATATTCACACTAATTTCGGGAAATAGGACTGTGGTGGCGTTAACAGTGGTGTTATCAGTACTATAAAGCTGCGAGCGAGCAGTCACACATCCATCGTCCACATAGGGCCCATTATCCTCATCCCATGTTTCTTCCGGATCAAATTCTGTGGAATGATGAGCATAAGGCACCATTGCTTCCTCTTCTGAAATTTTTGCAACAAGGCCAGCGATGGGCCTTTCCTGGCTTGTTTGAATGTCCGGCGCAGGACCTGGGCCTGACTTCACTTCAGTTGACAACTCAGGGATCCGAATCGCAGGATTGTGTGGCTTGTAAACCTTGATCTCTCCATTGTCTTCGATGTAAATTCCTTCAACTTTTTGAAGACCGTCAGTCCCATTGAGCACAGAAGAGTTCTCCTTAGGCTCCTTAGCGTGAATGCTAGAGGCATCATTGTAATCATGTGAGGTGCAGTGTGCATTGGAGCTTAGGGCTCCTTCAGAAGTGGTATGCTTGGCTTGTGTTGAAGAGGGATTTTTGTCGGCAGCAGAGGGAGCTGCCTCGAGCAAAGCGGGCAGAACAGATTCCTGAACAACGGTATTGCGTCTTGCAGGCGGCTTCCGGGCGTTTACCGGCAATTTATCCAGAGCAGTAGTCTTTATAGTCGCGGTTCCTGCATCGGCAGTAGTGCTTTTGTTCAATATTTTTGTCGTGGAGACTTGAGAGGCGCGTTGGTTCGGTCGGGCGATGGCAGCAAGCTTCTCCGTTGGTC